TTTTCAAGTGAACTGATGAAAGTATGTGCATGAGCTGTCTTTGCTGCCTCCTCAATCTGGTCAGTTGTGGCAGATCTTCCATATGCAATATTTTCCCTGATGCTCAAGCTCAATAAAGCCGGTTCCTGGGTCACAAGTCCTATCTGGCTTCTTAACCACTCTAACTTCAGGTTCTTTATATTCTCTCCATCCAAAAGCACTTCACCTGCAACATATAACAAAGATGATTCAAATTCATAATTGAGTAAACAGAAAATAGCAAAGAATAGCTTGTAAGCATAATACCTAAAGTTGGATCATAGAAACGTTCCATGAGAGGAATAATGCTGCTTTTCCCTGAACCATTTCTGCCAACAAGAGCGACAGTCTTTCTAGCAGGTACAGTAAGGTAGAAACCACTTAAAATGGGGATTTCTGGGCGGGATAGATAACTGAAGTAGACATTGCGGAACTCAATGTTGCCTTGCACTGAAGGTAAGGTACGGCCATCCTGGTTTACAACAGAGGTTGAACGGCTAATCATTTCATAGAGCCTGTATGCAGCTATACGTCCTTGTTCAAAAGAATAGAAGTTTGTTGCTGCTTGATTAAGTCCCCTACAAACAATTGGGAACCATGAGTGTGCTGATCAATATAAAACTATAAGTAAGGCAATCTCTTAAAATTGGATGCTTACAGGCCACTCAGGATAATAGAAAACAGGGCTACTACAACTTCACCACCATTAGCTTTTCCATGAGATATAAGGAACCTCCCAACCCAAAGTTGTAAGGCACAAGAACATATGGCAAGGCCATATGTAAATCCAAGACCAAGACCTTGCACCAGACTTATCAGGATTCCATAGCGCAGTGTTGCTTGAAGTGAAGTAGCATAAGAATATTTTGCGAGGGTCTCATTTGTGAATGAGTACAAAGTCCTAATGTATAAGATTGCCTGCAATAATGAGAATGATTCAAATGGATGCATACCTTCATTAGCAATTAATAATAATGCTACATGCAGTTGCGAAAGGAAAGTGTGTTTTGTATTTTAGCAAGAGGTATATTCCTAGCTAAATCCACCATTCCGCACATCACTAGAGGCCTACCAATTTCAAGACCATAAATTTATTATCCTTTTAGACGATGATGTTGTACTCTCATCTTTTTAGAAATAGTCGTTTGTAGCGAGAAAGTAGGACAAACCAAGGTTATTCACGGATGAGATGTGGGCAGTCATTACAGGATAAAAGAAAGTCAAAGAATTTGAATACCTGTTCGGCAACGCTTGCTGCTTCACCATACGCATCCTGAATGTTTTCTGCAAGCCTGTGGAGAAAAATATTTGATATTCCTCCTGCAGCAACAATGAACGGACCAGTAGCCAATGTCAAAAGAGCTATTTGCCAACAGTTGACCAAACCGATGATAAGACCACCAAAAAAGGTAGCCATGTTGTGAATGTAGTTCCCAACCTAAAAGAACAAAGCCAGAATGGGAGAATAACCCTTGTCAGTCAGATAAGCATGCGATTTGTTGTGAATAATCATGAAGGCTCATAATTACTCACTTTCTCACTCAGCGCAGACTGGATGAGTAAGACATCACTCAGCACTTGACTGACAATATCACCATTGTTCCCATAGGTATCAAAGAAACTCATGTCTTGATTTAACAACACTTGTACATACTTTGATCTTATCACTGCTGTCTGCCTTTCCCCAGTAAGAATCCAGCATGAAACCTCTATAGATATAACAGACAGTGAATTTGTTAGAATAAAAGAAAACAGAGAGTGCATAAAAAGCTGATGTAGCCTCATCTTACCTATCCATCCCGCAAAGAAAACGCCAATGGCAATATATAGGAAGTGTAAAGCATGCTGCGGGTAAAACACTTAGTTACTAACTTCCAAAACACAAAGATACATAATTCTGAGAAAAAATGATTATACAGAGATAGAAGGACAAGCAAATGCTGATATTCACATAAAAGTGAGTGTAACCAATTAGATAGATGGACAAGAGATGCATAAATGAGTGTAGAAATGCACAGATATTAGTGTGGAGGTTAGAAAATTGTGAAGGTTTAGAAAACCAGCAAGCTGCCAAAGTAATTTTACTAGTAAATGAATTTGCAAAGGTTCATCGCGTGAGAGCGAATTGTTTCATTCAGTGTGTTGGAGCGAAAGGTTGGTTCCAGCTGAACACGCATAAATGCATAGGTCATAGAAAAGCTAGCGAAAGCGGCACATTCAGACATGGAGTGATATAAGCTTCAACCATACGCCTATAAACACCGGTAGCAATACCATATCGTAAAAGGTCAGCAGCTTATCTAAATCAACATCAGAGAGAGGCAGAAATAAATAATGACAGCTTACCAAACAAGCCTAAGAATAAATCTGCAGTCTAATACTAACTAGGTAGTTTGCTTATGAAATTGGAGATAACTAATGCAAAGCTGGCAGAAGAATTGTAACTGTAACAACCAAGGAAATTTGCATGATTACTGCGCCAAGTAAGAAGGAATGTTGATTTGCGGGGTGGGGCGGGGCGTACGTATACCATATATGTAGGAGTGGAGTGGCATGTATATGAGAAAAATGGAGATCTGGTAGTACGTATGAGAAAGGGGAATGAAGGAACCTTACCTGGTTGATGTGGTGGAAAAGGTCGTGGTTGTGGCGGCCATGAAGCGAGTGGATGGCGGTGCCGAAGAGGTGGAGGTAGACGACGAGGGCCACCCCGTGGGCGGCGGCGGCAAGGGCGCCGGCGGACATGAGCGCCCAGTCGAGGCGGTCGGCGCAGGCGAAGAGGCGCTTGAAGGGGACGGCGGCGGGGGGCGGATCGGGCTCGTCGTCCCCATCGTCGAGGGCGGCGGCGGCGTCATCCTCCGGAGGCGGCGCGGCGTCCCCGGCGAGGTCAGCGGCGTAGGGAGAGGGGGATTCCGGCGGCTCGGAGGCCTCGGAGACGGGAGTGAGAGGCTGGACGTGCGGCGGGGACCAGCCGAAGAGGCCCCGCGAAACCATGAGCAGCGGCTAGTACTCGTCGGCGGCGGAGGCAGATTTGAATGGCATCCACACTACCTTAGTAGCTAGCTAGTCAAACAAGGTAGTCCAGTCTAGAAGAAGACCCAAGAAGAAGAAGAAGAAGAAGAATGCTTCATGGGCGGGCGGCGGGCGGCGAGGTGAATCGGTCAGTGGTGGCGGACCTCGATCGCCGGCCGACCCGGATCGGAGCCCAACACCAAGACCAAGAGGGGAATACCACTACTACTCGCCACACTAGCCTACTACTGCTACTGCTACTGCTGTTGCTTTCCTCTTTAGGTTTAGGTTTACAGGTTGGCTCTTTTTACCGCTCAACACCTCCATCTTCTGCTGTTTTGCGTTTTCGGGTTCCTGCTACTCTACTCTTTGCCTCTTTACTCCTCCTCTTTACTCTCTTATTAAAAAATAATAAAAGTCATAAATAGCTCAGATAATATTGGACAACCATGTAAAATTCTAAGCACAAGCCCAACTAACTGATCTAAGAGGGTGTAAAGTTTTGGTGTGTCACATCGGGTATTATATATGGTGTTGTATTGGGTGTCCGCGCACTAATAAAAAAACTAATTATAGAATCCGTCAGTAAACCACGAGACAAATTTATTAAGCCTAATTAATCCGTCATTAGAAAATGTCTAATGTAGCACCACATTGTCAAATCATGGAGCAATTACGCTTAAAAGATACATCTCGCAAATTAATCGCAATCTGTGCAATTAATTATTTTTTTAACCCATATTTAATACTTTATGCAGGTGTTCAAACGTTTGATGTGACATGGTGAAAAATTTTGGGGTGGGATCTAAGCCTAAAGATTCTCGCAACTTCATGTTTTCCATACTGAATTTTTATAGCCCACTTAATGAATTTCACACTCTGTTAGCAAAATGGGCAGAACTCTACTCTAAATTCCAAGTGCTATAGTTCTTGTCAATGATTTCCATCATCAACTAGAGCGGCAGAGACCTAGGAGTTCGGGCGGAAGAGGATTTCCTCGACGTCGGTGGAGGAGAACTGGGATTTCAGCAAGATATGCGGTCCTAGGGGCGGTGGAAGGTTGGGAGTCCGGGAGGCGGAAGAGGATCTCGACAATGACAGCTGCTCTATATGCGGCGAAGGCGCGGAAGCGGATCCCGTCTAGTCGGCTAGTTTTGACTGGACGACAACTAATGAGGGTGGGCTAACCAGCGGCACGTGGCATCAATTCAACTCACCTAAAGCAAATGTGTACCGAGGTCATGGTTTTTTTATGGTTGTATGTTCTCTTCTTGTTTTTTTTATGGTTATATGTTCTCTTCTTGTTGAGATGCGAGTCTAAGTGTTTTAGGTATTCATTTCGTTATATATACCCTATGTGGATAATTTGGTTATGTATATCCTTGTTGGATATTGAGACTGGATTAATGAAAAATCATTATTTTAAAAGAATCATCAACTAGAGCTGCGAAACAAGTTCTGTTGAACAGTAGAGGACAAGATACCATAACGATTTTTGCAGATGTACCACTAAAATGAAATTTAGGAGCACACGAAGTAGTATTGATTTCAGGACTACGGGAATTATTTCAGAGTTTAGATTAAGTGCTGAATTCATAGCTTAGATTCAGGAATTCCACAAAAGTTAAGATTTGAATTAATGATTTCGAAAGAAAAATCAGAACACTAAATTCAGAGCTATAGCAGTGTGCATTTCCCCTGTTCAACAACAATGAAAGCAGCATGCATGCATGATTAACAGCTCATCTCCCTCTACAGTTCATCTCCTAGATGTAGGAGACAAGAAAACACAATAAACAGGTTATTTTGTGCAATCATCATGCGTCCATCTATTATGATCTATCCCACGCACACTCGCCGCCTTTGTTTGTTAGCGCGGGCAGCGGGGATATATGGCGCCCATTCATGCAGCCAATTTGTTAGATTCATATATATCGCGCGCCTCTCAGAATAACAACTCCACTCCACTGTAAAACAAACAAAATCTGATAAAACCAGTTCGTTCATGCATGGCAGATCGAATCGAACGGCTGTTGACTTTAAAACAGAGTTTTAAAAAAATAAAGAGGACATATGCATGATAGGACTATCAAATTCCACTCCATCTCGAGCTTATTGTTATTATCAAATAAAAGAGGTAGGTGATGCTAACAACCAAAGAACCGAATTAAATCTAACGACTGACATGATCTAAATAAAAGGAAGGAAGCTGAATCTGCTGATGCTGCTAGGTGGGCAGGTGCTGGAGATGGAGGATGGATATTGTCCATCAAATCGAATTCGAATTGGGGGCGAAGAAGATCTCGGAGTCGAGCCTCTTGGAGCGGAAGAGGTTCTCCATCTCCGGGGTGGTGTTGAAGGAGGCCTGGAGCACGGCGGGGGAGATGGCCTTCCAGACGGAGGTCCTCCCGGCGAGGTGGGAGAAGATGGGGTTGGGAGTGGTGATGATGGAGAACCACTCCATGCCGGTGTCGTCGGCGATCTTGGAGACGACGAAGAACCTGGGGACGATGAAGAGGCAGCCACCCTCGGCGCGGGTCTCCAGCACGCGCGTCCCGTCGATGCCCACCACCTGCACGCGCCCGCTGCCCCGCACGATGTACGTCACCTGGTACGCCGAGTCGCACGAGAACCCCGGCGAGCACATGGAGTGGCCGTCGATCCTCACCAGGTCGGCGCCCAGCCCCACCTCCTTCACCAGCGGCAGGTTCTGCGTGTTCAGCACCACCACGCGGCCCCCGTTCTTGATGTCCACGTCCAGCGGCGCCTCCAAGCAGTTGAGCACCATGCCCTCCCTGTCCTTGTCGCAACCCTCGGGCATCCTGAAGCCATCCTTGAGCTTCACGATGCCGGCGCCGGGCTGGGTGGAGACGAGGGAGGCAGCGGCGTCCTGCGGGAGGTCCCAGGCGCGGGCGACGAACTCGGTGGAGAAGCCGGTGAAGATGCCGGTGGAGCCGGTGAGCTGCATGTTGGTGAAGCGGCCGGCGGTGTGGCCCTTGGATGTGTCCCCGAGGAAGAGGACGACGAGTTCGGTGGTGGCGGCGTGCAGGTTGTGCCACCAGGTGACAACGCCGAATGGAAGGGCGAGCGCGTCGCCCTCTTTGATGGGTAGGATCTTCTCGGAGGGGGTCTCGGGGAGGAGAACGGCGCAGGTGCCCTTGCCCTGGAGGACGTAGGCCACCTTAGCCGAATCGGAGTAGAAGGGGAGGGCGAGGCCTCCGGCGGCAAGCGAGAGTTTGGCGGCGCCGATGGAGGCGGCGCGGAGCATGGGCAGCTCGGAGGGGGACCAATCAAAGTACGAGCCGCCTTCGCCGCCGTAGGACTTGGCGGGACGCTTGGGACTCAGGTCCATGACCATGGCCTCAGCCGACGCCGCCGAATCGGATGAAGTGCGCTGCACCATGATCTTAATTGCTAGGAAGTGATCGTGGATTGGATGAACTGAATGAAGAAGGTGAAGTGATTAACTGGGAGGGAGACTGATCATTGTAGCTATTTATAGAAGATGCTCCAGTCCAGGTGGGGTGGGAGTGACTGCGTACATGCAGCAAGTTCAGTTGGTTGCATTCAAAGATAATTATCGTCAGTTAGCCGGATAAGGAAGCTGATGGCCTGCGATCCTTGGATCCGTTCCCGGTTGGATCGGATCGGGCGATGAATCACTTATCTTCCGAGACGTCCGTTCCGTTCGTGTATTGACTCGTAGTACTGAGGCCTGGCCGGCCCAGATCGATTACCTGCCGCCCGCGCCAGCGCGACCTTGCGTGCATGGACCCCATCTCACCACCTCCGCACTTCCGCTCCATCATCAACCCAAAATATATTAATTAAAATTCCGAATAAGAACAAAATAGATTCCAAATAAGCTTTAAAATATCACTAAAATTCAAAAACAAGAGTAAAAATTTAAATAAATAAATACTGCATACCAAGACTACTAATTAAAATCCGAACTAAGTAATAAAATAAATCCCGAAATTGATTTTCAATACTAATTTCAAATAAACCTTCAAAATAAGAAATTTGGAATAAATTCATAATAAAATTTATTAAAAATACAAAGTGTGTAATTGCTAGATATATGGGACTAAAAGAAAAGCACCGATGTTCACTTTCGATAACTAGAAATTACCATATATTAATTGAAGAAAAAAATAAAAATACTACATAAATGAAAAAATAAATAAATGAAGTGTTCCATAGGAATTAGACAAGAGGCACATATGTGTTCTATTTTGATTATCAAAACAACAAAATATAACATTAAAAATTTTAAAAAAAGGTACACATCAGACTTTAGAAAAAAATATTATGTAAATTAGTTTTACTAGAGCCGCGAGAAGGCAAGCTGCTCCAGTGACGAATATTAGGAGCTGTGGGAGGGCTCCTATAGCTCCTCTCTCCTTGCCTTCGTCCTCTCATCCGCTGCCGCAGGACACCACGACTCCCTCCTCGGTACCTCTTTGTTGTTTGCTGTGTTCCTTGCCAATAGCTTGGGAGCAAAGGGAATGACATAGAGAAGAGAGAGAGAGAGGGGGGGGGGGTGAAGGGGGTTTGAAGGAAGTGGGACTCACCGACATATGCCTCCCCACTATACTTTTTATTTGTTTATCTCACGTATGGACCCAAACATTTTATTTTATTTTTTAAAAAAATATTGCTTATAGTGCCACATCAACGCCACATGGGACATGAATCAAGTCAAACCATCCACGTAGGCGGTACATCAGTTGAAACCGTAGTTTAAACCGTTTTGGGATCTAATTTCGTTTCAGGGACAACTTAGGCTGAGTTCGTTTGGAGAACAAAGGGAGTTTGTTTGTTTCGTTTTCCGCGCGCACGCTTCCCAAACTACTAAATGGTGTGTTTTTTGTAAAAATTTTCTATATGAAAGTTGTTTTAAAAAATCATATTAATCTATTTTTGAAGTTTAAAATAGTTAATAATCAATTAATCATGCGCTAATGGCTCACCTCGTTTTGCGTTTCTTCCAATCTTCTCAATCACCTTTCCCTCAAACACAGCCTTAGGGACCTTAAGTGAACTTATCCTAATACTCTTACTCCGGACGGGCTCACTGAATTAACTTTGGCCCAGAAACTCCATCTCTCCCTTATGCCTTTCTTTGCAAGGCCCAATACCGTATCTTCCAATTTTTTTTTCTTTTCTTTCCCATTTCCATACCTAGTATTCTACCTTGATCATTGAAGCCTTTCCAAAAGAAAAAAGAAATGATCCAAAAAAAGAAAGAAAATAAAGGGATTGATCATTGGAGTAGAGTGCTCCGTAGTCCATTGGCTGCCTGCCTGCCTGGCAGCATCAGATTCTATTCTAGTCGTGGATGAGAAGCTTCTCACCATTGCCCATAGATTGCAAACCTTTTTCTGAGTGTGAACCAGATATGATATGAACAAAAACCTAACAGGATTGATCAGAATCATATCGAAATCAATAATTTAACATGAATAAAAAGACAAAAAAAAACTAAGCTAGGGCTATGTTTAGATCCAAAGTTTGAATCTAAACTTCAGTCCTTTTACATCACATCAACATGTCATACACACACAACTTTTTCAGTCACATCATCTCCAATTTCAACCAAAATTCAAACTTTACGCTGAAGTAAACACAGCCTAGCTTGAACGCCGAATTTGCTGCTGGTGAACCGTACAGAACTCTCAACATTCCAAATGAAGAAAAGGAGCTAACTACAGGGGTTGTTCATATAAACCTCAACATTCCAGCAGCCATTTGCATATACTATATCAGAAAAGCAAGCACGATGTATATATGCAGATAGAGCATACTACGATTAGCTAAAAAGTGAAAGGAGGTAGAGTATATATTTGTCCCCAAAAAAAAAGGAAAAAGAGGAGACTGCCAAATTATTTTCGATTATTCCTCCGGACCTAAGGTGTACAAATTAACGAGAGTCGGAGCTTCACCAGAAGCCGCCGATGGTGCATAGCATGTGATTTTTTTTCTTTTCTTTTCTTTTGCGGCCGGGGGTTTGGGCCTTGGGGGCTACTGTCTACACTAGTCCACTCGTCAACTGAATTTGCTTAGCTTTTGATTAATTCTAGCTTAATCAGTGCGTGTATTAATTCTAGCTTAATTAGCTAGCCGTCTCCTGGCGTTGCCATTTGCCTTTCTTTTTTCTTCCTTTCTTTCAGGGGTTAGGCTCGAGGTGAAGAAATTCAGGGAGCAATTACTAGCTAGTACTATATAGTATATACTAATGCAGTGGGTGCCTATATATGCTTACATTCTTAATCTTGTTAAAATTTTGTGATTCATTCTTTTTTCTCTTGACCAACAAGAAGCAACCATCATCAGCCTTTTTTCTGCTAAAAGGAGTGACTGACTGTCTAACTACTTGCTCCATTCAGATGCAGCAGTAGGAGGAGTGTCTCCATGTTGAGCATATGCACTTGAGATGGGAGAACACGTAGTAAGACTGGGAGTAATTAAAGATGAACAAGTAAGTATAGGTGACAGGAACGGAGCACCGACTGAAGAGCTTACCGACCGATTGATTGTTCAGTTCAGTGCAGACAATCATCATTTGATCATGATGAACCAATTAATGACTCACCAAATTAAGTAAGAAAGATAAACCCAAAGTCGTCAATATGTAGGGTCCCTAAAGAAAAGAAAAGAGCAGTAATAAGTACCAATGTCAACAAAGCAAATTGCTCAGCTGATCCGTGCCTATTTTTTTATTATTTATATATACTTAAACCACTGACTCATACTAATTCGTAAACAAGTAATCCTGCACTGCATGAGTTTCAAACTGATGGGCCGAAAGGTAAGGTACGTGCAGATGCCTTATTCATTTCCGCGGAGGAAGAAAGAGTGGTTCTCCTTCAGTTGAGTCAACCTTTACTAATCCAATTTCTACATTTCGACGGCGACGTACCTGCAGTCTAATTAGTAAACTGTAGTAGTGAGCAAATTGTACTAGAATTTTAATAATCCGCTTGCATCATTGCCTAGTTGCCTCTTGTCTCATCTCTCATCTCTCATCTTCTAGTTGTGGTACACAGTCTATCAATCTGCATTTGACTAGCTTGCAGCTAGCACTTGGTCTATGTCTCTCTGATTATTTCTTTTACTAATTGTTTGCTAATTAATGAATGTATGGCGGCCTGATTAGTTGTAGTAATTAGCAGAGAAAAATTAAAATAAGTGTGGTAGAGCAGCATGTATGTACGTCCTGTTGCGCATGTGAAGGAATCTGTATACGTATGTATTTATGCAGTGTGGATGCCATCTCTTATACTGTATTCATGAAACAGACAATAAGACAAAACTAAAAGACCCGATGTTGATCTCGATCTGTACGTACTTAATTATTGCATAGTATATGGAGTACAGTATATAGGTAAGTACAAAAGATGATGTTTATATAGGAGTAAAACACTAGCGCAGTATACTGTGGTAGCTAAAATTAAAACGAATAAGAAATGGACAGCACAGTGGGGGCAGGGGCAGAGAAGCAAAGCAAAGGTTCGTTTGGTGGGCCTATGCTGAAGTCGCTGCTGCTGGGGTGGGGAGTTTAAAAGAAGCAGCAGCAATCAGCAAGCAAGAAGAGGCACGCGCGCGCGATGCGAGAGCAAAGCAAAATCAGCAGCAAACTACAGTAGTAGTACAGTAATTAACAAGCAGAGGAGGCAGTAGGCATGGCGTCTGTGGTGTTGAAGGATCTGAACAAGCGGCTGCTGGGCCTCTCCTGCTCCTCCGCCGCCTCCACCTCCATCGTCCTCTCCGGCCACTCGCCGCCGCACCTCCGAGACCCAGCTCGCACCAGCAACAGCAGCAAGAAGAAGAAGACGAAGGCGAACAAGAGCAAGCAGCAGCTGGTTAGCCCTGCAAGCTCGTCCAGGTTCCTTCTCAACTCCTCCCGGATGCAACCCAGCGCGGATGAGTTGCCGCCGCCCTTCGTCATCCCGGTTGCTGTCGCGGCTGCGGCGGAGGAGAATGAGATCGTAGCTGCTGCAGTGGAAGGAGGAGGAGGAGAAGAGGAAAAGAGAGAGTCATCGTCGCAGGTGGAGGTGGTGGTCCTGCGGGTGTCCCTGCACTGCAAGGGATGCGCGGGGAAGGTGAAGAAGCACATCTCCAAGATGGAGGGCGTCACCTCCTTGGACATCGACATCGCCACCAAGAAGGTCACCGTCGTCGGCCACGTCACGCCGCTGTCCGTGCTCACTGCCGTCTCCAAGATCAAGCCCGCACAGTTCTGGCCCATCTCCTCCTCCTCATCGCCCATGCCTCCACGCGCTTCCGCTTCCTTCTGATTTCTCATCCACCCTGCTTACTGCTTGCTTCACCCTTAATTTTAGATTATTATGTGCACTAGTATCTGTAAGTACTACTGTATACGGAAATTTATAAAAGCCATTTTTTTTCATGAAATGTGAGGGGGTATCAATTCACAGATTATGAACTACGAGAAAGTTATCGATGCATCTTAATAGCTAGTGAGAGAAATATCATCGATACAACTTACCTCGTAAATGCTCTCAAATTATACTTCAACAATTTTCATTTTAAATATAAAAAACTTACTATTAGCACTAATTACGCCTAACACAACTGAACCATGGTTGGAGACCTATGATTTTGAATAGGATGAAACGAGTGTAGGTAAAAAGTACAGTCTGACGATATTTTAGATGATGTGGAACAGTAGTACTGTAGTACAATACAAATTAATATGACGTTGAATTAGTGTGAACCGAACAAATTCCTACTAGTAGCTACTAGCATATCTAACTTGAAACGAAAAGAAAGGGGAATTCTTCTTCTGTCCGCCCGGCTTAGGTAGGTGAGTGGAGAAGAAAAAGAAAAGATAAGTTCAAGTTGGAACTTATCCTGGTGCTAGCTTGTACCACGTATCATTTTTTTTCAGGATCTCTATTAGTATTAATTAATTGAAGTAATCAGTGGGTGGATGGATGGATGAGCGCGTAGTACGTGTTCCTGCTAGCCACTTTCATATTCTCTGCTTTGGTTAGATACGATGCTTCCTAGATACAGTACTTACAGAGATTACTACTCCTTCCATGTCTCGCATGCATCCCCAGAGTAATCAGCGCGTTTTTTTTGCCTTCTGGCTATCAATTACAGTACATTTGTGTTTAAAAGACAGGCTAATCCCATACAGTCACAAGTCTTCTGTTCAGTAAAAAAAAAAGGTACAGTGATTGTTCTGTACAAATAAAAAAAGGATAAAGCAGAAAAAGAGAGGCGACCGCATAGCGCAGTGGATTAGCGCGTCTGACTTCGGATCAGAAGGTCGTGGGTTCGACTCCCACTGTGGTCGTTTTCTTTTTAAATTTTTGGGCCTTTTTTTTTTGGTTTTGGTGGGGGCCCTCTTTTGTTGGGGCCCAAGAAGGGCCTTGTTGAGCTTAGCTAACGCAAAGGTCAATCCCACGACTCGACTAGCCAGTCTCTGCTCGATGCGATTCCGCTTCGCACCCCGCCGCTGCGCCGCCGCCGCCGCCGCCTCCGCCTCCAAGGTATTTCTATATGCTTCATAATATATGGAGTACCTTCAGCTGCTACTGCCTACTACTATTACTAATAATAATGTTTTGGAATTCAAAGGGGGGCGGCGGCGGCGGCGACTGCGACTGCTCTGTATTCCTGCGTTGGCTGCGCAGCAAGTCTGGAACCCACATTTCTTCTGTATTATCTCTCGGAACCTCCTCTGCCTTTGGAAGGTCATTCTCATTCTCATTCTCTCCCTTAATTTGTTCTCTTAATTTCTACTACTACATAATAATCTGTTACTAGCTGCTAGCTTTTTTTGTCCATTCAGGTCATTATTTGCATCGGAGCCCATTCAAGAGGGGGACTGTATAATGCAAGTTCCTTACCATGTTGTATGTTCCTATAATAACAATACTTCCTTCCCCCTCATCAGCTCTGCTACAACCAATCTCATCCTTTCTACCACATCTATATTGTCTCTATGTATGTGCAGCAGCTTACCCTTGATAAACTTCCTCAAAAGTTTAACACCTTACTTGACCATGCTGTTGGAGATACATCTAAGCTTGCTGCGCTCCTCATCATGGAGCAACACTTGGGAAATGTACCTCCTTCTCTCTACTCTCTACTATTTCCCCTCCCCTCCCCTCCTCACATATCATTCTCAAGAAAGAGGCTTCCTTTTATGATGTAGGAATCAGGATGGGCGCCGTATATTAAATCTCTTCCCACCAAGGATCAGATGCATAACATGGTATTTCAATATGCTTAACTTGGGGCCTGATTGTTTTACCTTTTCTGTTCTCAAATCTGCATATCCCAGTTTTTGAGTTTTATATGCATTTCCAACAGAGATTTGATGCACCAAAATCTCTACTTTGCTCTAGGTGCTCTGGGATCTAAATGAGCTCCATGCGGTCCAAAACAGCTCAATTTATGATGAAGCCATTGAACACAAGGAACAAGCTAAAAAGGAATTTTTGGCACTGAAGCCAGTTTGTACCCTCCTTTTCTCTATCTATGCACGCAATATGCACATCCAATCTATCCTTCCTTTTCCACCAATCTCATTTTTATCCTTTTCATATGCAAGGCTCTTGACCATTTCCCACATTTGTTTGGAGAAGTTAAATTGGGGGATTTCATGCATGCTTCTGCATTGGGTATGTAGTAACATTTCCTCGCTGAATTCGTGTTTGATGTTGCTTAATGCATGCAAGTTGAGTACATCGGTCACACCATGCAACATTGCTATCATATGGCTCCCATGCACTGCAGAGGGTTGTAAATAAATATAATCAAATCAGGAATAGGGAATACATAATTCACATCAGGTTTTATAGCCACATGCATATACACTTAAATGGATGATGGCATATGATGCAATCATTTACAAAGACACTAAAGATTCTGATAGAGGAGGGGTTGATGTAGAATGTGCCACCGCTTCAACTCCTCATTTAAGGAGGAAAATATAAATTAGTAATTAATCAATATATTAAACTAGTTTTGGCATTTCAACATGTTGGAACCAGGCTGGCAACATTCTTACTGTTTTGAAACTATACATGTTTATTTCCACATGTCAGACATTGAATCCCTCTGATTGTTGGTTAAACCAAATTAGTAAGAAGGGCACTTCCACCTGGACCTTCTTGCAATGTACAGTGGTATTTCATTTGAGTTTTAAATGACCAAAAGGAGCATAATAGGAGAGACTGTAAACTTGGGGCATTTTTTACATGGCACATGCAGTTTCATCTCGAGCTTGGCGGACTCCTAGAGGTGTATTGTTGGTACAGTTTCTCTCATTTGTTTCCTATCATCTTTTTTGCAGATTAAATGGATCGCATGCATAATGCCCTAACATTTTCGTGATACTGAAAGCGTCATTTAGATTCCATTTGCAGATTTCCTCAACCATGATGGTGTTTTTGGTTCTGTTTTGATATATGATGAGCAGAAAGATGTTTGTGAGGTAACCATCATTAGTTCCACATCTATCTGTGTACTTTTGTGCCTATGTTGTATGGTTACGAAGATCTTTTACATAATTTCTTATCCACCTAGAGATACCAAAGTAACATTCTTTGCTCTTATTTCTTACAACTTGCAGATCATTGCTGACAGAAATTATGCTGTTGGTGAACAGGTGATTCTTGCTACTAGTTATTATGCTTTATTCTATACACTTAAATAACCTGATAAACTGTGAGTAGCCAAATCCATGAGCTGCATCTTTATCCTTATCACAAAAATGTTTCTGGGAATGGAGGCAACCGTGCTTCATTTCTTTTTATGTGTTTCTGCTAGCTCTGAAATCTCAAGTGTTCACTACAATTTTAGGTGATGATAAGGTATGGGAAATACTCAAATGCTACACTGGCACTCAACTTTGGATTTACACTCGCCAGAAACATATATGACCAGGTAAAACAGCAGCCTAGCTCTAAATTCAAATGTCCTGATTTCCAGGAGGCACGAATGCTTACTATAAATTGAAAGGGCACTTATATTATGTAAAATAAAACAATAAAAAACAAATACCAATTTTTCGCATCTTTGTCACTTTGAAAGATTAGTAATTTTATTATTGAGGACTAGATGTCATTAAAAATATAGTTCTTAAGGTCTAATTAAACTTCCTTTTCCATTGACCAAGAAATATTACATATTAATTGCACATTGATTTTTCAAAAATCGCTGCCCTTTGTATGTATTGTTGCACATGGTGTTCGAGTAACTCCTTATCACTGTTCAGGCACTTATTCGAATAGATATGCCAGTCCAAGATCCACTATACAAGAAGAAGCTTGACATATGGCAAAAGCATAGGCTCCCAATATTTGAAGATATGTGCAATTTAAGCTCTGCTACTTCTTTTGTCATAAAGTATGTTGTTGGTCAGCTCTTTATGACCAGTTCAATTCACTCTTCAGTTGCTATATTTTATCTGCTCTATTAGTATAGAGATACTGGACATATTTATGCTGTAGACATTTTTTCTCTGACAGCATGCTGAACCTTGAAATTGAGTAGAGGTAGGCTAACTTCATTAACTACATGAAGGTTGGAGGGCCTTGGACCGAGGTCGTCATGAGTTCAACTGTTCGTGTTGAACTATGACCGCGGACCCGTTAAAAACAGATTGCAAAGTGATATGCTAAGCTTGAATGAACTTTGAAACACTAGCTTATGTATCTAGAGAAACTTTATCAGTAAATGTATTTCTCGTGTGCATTAATTCAATATTTTCTGGAATGAGACATTTGAAATAGTCAAAAAATGAAGGGAACAATCCCTCGCGTCGCTCTCGCGCGGGCGGCTCGGGGGGCGAAAAACCCTAGCCGCCCGCGCCTCCACTCCCTCCCCACCGCCTTGCCGCCGCCAGAGCTCGCCGGCGGCAAAGCCGGCAGCGAGCAGGGAAGGCGGCGGCGAGGCCCTTCCTTCCTGGCGACTCCCTCCCGGCACGACGTGGACGGGACGACGCCGGCGAAGACCCTCCACCGTGGTCGGAGGTGGTGACGGCGGTGCGATGAGGGGAGGCAGCAGATCCGGCGCCTCCAAGGCCGGATCCGGCCACCACGCGCCCGGATTTGGTGCGACGGCGGCGCGAGGCGGCTGGGGGGCAGTGGCGGCGGCTCAGCGGCGGCGTGGCCGGCCCAGTGCGGCAGCCTGGGCGCGGTGGCGGCGGCTCGACGGCTGTGACGGCGGCAGCCTGGAGGCGGTGGTGGCTGGGAGCGGCGGCGGCAACACGGCCGGCCCGGTGCGGCTGCCCGGGCGCGGCGGCTGGGAGGCGGCAGCTCGGCGTGCGGCCGGTCCGGGCTCACGCGGCTCGGCAGTGCGGCCGCGAGCCCCCATGGCGCGGGCAGGCCTCGGCAGCCAGGCAGCCAGGGTGCCGCCGCAGTGCCCTCCTCGGCCGGGTGGGCTGTGCGGCGCGGCCAGATGGGGCGCGGCGGCTGGGTGACGGGGGCGCCGGTGGGTTGTGCCGGAGCCGGAGCAGCAATAGCTTCACTGGCGTCGGCGCAAGCCCAGATGGTAGTGTAAAGGGAGCTGGCAGCGGTGGGTCGTCTTCTCCGTTGCCGGTCGTGTCACGCCCAGAAATTCCCGAATAGAATTCCAAGCAGAATGTGCATTAAAATCCCCGTCCAGGACCGGCCGGGGTACACAAAAGACAATGTTGACATTCAGATCCACGTCTTACAAACATCATAAAAGTCTTACATAAATGCAGCGGAAAAACGAAAGACAACAGGAGCTAAGCCTTGACTAGAACTGCAGCGGGAACACCACTCCACAGGCATCCTCGACGGCACGGACGAAGCCTACTCCTCGGAGAAACCTCCATCGGACACATACTCGCACTCTGGGGTTGGGGGAAAATAGAGCAAGACTGAGTACTACCCACTGTACTCAGCAAGTCATACCGGAATAGGGGTATGATGCAGGGAATTATCAAGGGAGAGCTAGAGTGGTTCATTTGCATAAAGCGAGCATTTATAAACAGAAGTTGAAAGAATTAAACAGTTGCAATAATTAATTAATATTGATCATCCGCTGTCCAACGCTATCCCACGTTGCAACAGGCCCAACCATCCACCTATACTATCCAATTTCATTAGACTAAACTAGGGTGAGACTAATCACGGTGAATCTGGTTGACCGCCCATAACCGCGGGCACGGCTATTCGAATAGTTTTACTCTGATCAGAGGTGTACAACTGTACCCACAAGACACAGCCCCACGACACGTTTCCGTGCGCCGACATGCCACCACGACATACCGGAAAGAGGCCGTGACAGGACCCTTCGCATAACCCCCTCTAGCCAAGCACACCACACCTCAGGTTTCACCCCCGTCCCCAGCGGGCGACGGGCAGTCCCCTCTCGTGCCTAGGTGAATCTGGAAGCCGCATAGGCCGTCGCAGGGCCCATCCAAACTCCATCACGCCCACCCTTGCCTGGATGCGTCAGCTAGAGAAAAGCTACACTACAAGCCCAGCCGTTGCCCACGCTGGCTTGTGGTAAGTACGATAAGTTCTTCCAGGGCATCCCGCGAACCGGTCCTTAACTGCCATGGGTGCGACCAGCAAAACCATGCACCCACAGCCCACCATGTGATTTATTTTAATTAATCAACACCAAAGCGGTGGCACTAATCCAACAATACCATTAGAACCAACAGTCTAAACATTAACAGGATTTTCCCCATTATATACTAGTTGAACTAAGCATGGCTAAGCAACTCCTAGTCCAACGTCTATTCATGTTATAACCCAAGCTAACAAAGGAGCAAGGTACCAAAATAGCATGGCTGTAACAATAGGTAAACATCCCATAATAACATTATAAAACGATGCAGTATTTGAAGAAAAACAATAGAGCATTTGTAATATAGGATCAACATGTTCAAGTGACAGGTATGACTTGCCTTGCTCTGCAGCTGGAGGAACCTCGGCGACTATCTCGAAGTACACCGGAGCGTCGGAAGAACCGGAATCTAGGCGACATACAAAGCAAACAATACAAACAGGCTATAAGACTACTGAAACAGAGAACAAAACCATTTTTAATGGATTCTACGCATTTTTCTTGATTTACTCGGATGAATTAGTTATGAATTTTAGAAGATTCACTTTGTTTATTACTATAACAAAAAGTCCTTAAATAATTTATTGCGCAATAATTCCCAGGGTTGACGTCATCAGGGGGGGGGGCGCGGCGCCGACATGTGGGGCCCACCGGTCAGCGGCTCGGGAGAGAGGGAGAAGGGGCGCCGGCACGCGGGCCCCACTCGGCAGCGGCTCAAGGGGGGGGGGCGGTGCACCGTGGACCGGGACCACGCAGGTGGTCCACCGCCGGTCCACGGGACCGACGGCCCAGATCGCCCCCGGGGCTGATCGGACGGGCGGCGGCGACCTGGCTCGGCTCGGCTCAAGGCCGGCCGACCGGCCACAGCGATGGCGACGGCGCGCGCGCACGCGTTGCCGCGACGGCAATCGGCGGCGGAGGCGGCGGCGCAAAGGCGACGCGAAGGCGGCGGCGCTAAGCGGCGGCTAGGAAGGAGAGGGAGGGGAGTAGAGGGGAGAGGACGCCTCACCGAGGGTGGCCGGCGCGGAGGAAGACGACGGTGAACGGCGATGGCAAGCCACGGGAGGACGATGGCAACCGGTGGACGGGCTTCGGGGTGCCCTAAGGAAGGAGGAGAGAGAGATTAGAGAGAGGGAGATGAACCACGGCGGCCGGCATCCTTGGCCAAAGGCGGCGGTAGAGGTAGAACTCACCGGAGCGCGAGGGGATGCGAATTCCGGCGACGAATCCCGACGGAGGAAGGGCGGACGGGGTGGAGTTCGTCCTTGCGAACCCGACGGCGGCGAGCCTAGCGGCGGCTAGCGGCGGGAAAGGCGGCGGCGGGTGGGTGCACGGCGCGGGAGCGATGGGGAGCACGAGGGAGTTCAGCGAAATGGGGAAAAAGAGAGAGGGGGCGACGGCGGAGCTTAAATAGGGGAGGGGAGTCCCGGACGTGGCCGGTAGGGGCGAGATTCTGCCGGCCAACGTGGGGGAGTGGGAGAGGAGAGAGAGAGGCGGGATTCGAAAATCGAATCCCGGCCATCTCGGGCGCGGGCGCGGGCGGGAGAGAGAGGGGAGTGGGCGCGGGAGGTGCGGCGCATGCGCGGGCGTGACCGACGTGGCCCGGAGGAGGCGGAGGCGTGGGCGCGGCGGCGCAGGCGCGAGGTAGGAGACGGGCCCGACAGGTGGGGCCCACCTGTCGGCGTCCCGGGTGGAAGGAGGGAGGCGGCCGGCCTAGCTGGGCCTTGGCCTTCGGCCGGCCCAGCGGAGGGGAGAGGAGGAAGGAGAATGGGCCGGCGGCCCACTCGAAAAGAAAAGGGGGAAAAAGAAAAAGAAAAAGGAAGAAAAGGATTTTCCCTGGAATTAAAATATTGCTTGCTCAATTTTAATTGGTTAAAATTATTTCTAGGGCTCTGAAAATTCCACTAAAAATCCTGTTAGTGACTTTCGACATGTAGAACTCAAGAAAAATTCCACATGCCAGATTCGATTATTATTTGTATTACTTTCTTAGGGTTTTCTCTTAGATTTGCACCGGCATTTTCTTAGGGTCATTTATAAATTAAATTTTAGGCTTGGGAGGAGAACTTCAGGGTGTGACAGGTCGGCACCCTCGCCCTTCTTGGAGCTCCTCCCCTTCTCTGTGGGGAGTTTCTGGGTTGGATTGAGGCGGCAGCTCGTCAGCGGGGGAAGCCTAGGCTGCCAAAGCAATGCCATCCAGTCCCGGGTTCTCCTTTCGTCCAAAGCTGGCGAGGAGGCCAGCGGGTGGTGGAACGGAGGGGTCCTGGGCCAGCTCTCAGGCAAGGTTGTCAGGATCGGGATAATAGGTAGTATCGTTTTACTCAAAGTAATATCGTACCGTAGGATCGTATTGTAGTATCGGGATACTATGGGATTTTCTTTTTTTAAGTTTAATTAATATTTATATTAATTATATATAGCCATTCTATATTAAAAAAATATAGTAATGATATATGTCATGCAAATAGAGATATTTATCGAGAGAAACCACGTTGGTTTTGATATATTTAGCTGATTTTTATATAAATTTGAGCATATTTATTTATATTATTTATTTGAAACCATGTTATTTTAAATAATATTTTGTAGTATCGTAGGGATCATAGAATCGGGATACCACCTAAAATTTTGTAGGATCGTGTAGTAATGAATAGTATGATCGAGATACTATGAATATTAGGATACTATGTGGGATCGGTATCGTTTCGGCTTGGTAGGATCGTATTATCGTAAGATACTAGAATACGAATCGGGATACTGACAACCTTGCTCTCAGGGGCGGTGGTTGATGTCGGCTGACGGAGGGGCGTCAGTGCGGTGTGGTTCAATGAAGTCGGCCGACGGAGGGGCGTTGGTGTGGTATGGCGGAAGCTACGTGTTGCCATTTGTCTGTGTGGTGGTTCTGAGTTGGTGGACGGCGATTTGCAGTCAAGGTTGTAGGGTCCCAGGCGAAAGCCTAGTCCGGTGGTTCACCGGGCCGGCAGCGGCTACGTCTTCGGGCGTCGTAACCTCCTTGGGGCGTTGTCGAGGGGTATCCTCTTCCTTTCTTGATGAGCTTCTCTGGGTGAAAACCACATCTTTTTTAGATGGGCGATGGCGGCATCCTGGATGTCGTGACCACCGTGGTGGCATCGTTTTCAGAGTCTTGTCTCTGTGGTGTTGCCGTAGGCCTAGCGGCGTTCGGCCACGCTTAGCGGGGGTCGTTTGGTGCTAGGCTTCACCCTCAGCGGTTTGTGCTTGGGTGGTAGCGCGTGGTGTGTGGTCATGCACCTTGGTGCATTGTGATGTTTTTTTCTTGTAATTTTTACTCCTTCTTAATACATTCGGATGGCCTCCTTCGGCCTTCCCGGCGAAAAAAATAGTCAAAAAGTTATCATTCTGTAATAGCTTTGGCATGATATAAGAAAATGGTCTCTGCTTGTATTTTAAATTCAAAGAATGGAAACAGGGAAGTCAAATCCTCTCAGAGCAAAGGCATTGGGATTCCTCTGATTCTGCGCGCATTTCTTCGGGTTTTCTCTGCCATGTCACTTAAAGGTGCTATGCTAGTAGCATATTTTTCTTGTTTTGCATTTAGCCTGACAGCCCCTTTAGGTTAGATACTAAAGAGTTTCTGTTGATGTCCAATGGCATGATTACAACGTCTTTAGAACTCGAAGAGATGGCCATGGAGGCTGCTGAAAGTGATGGTAGGCTTGCCAGATGTCCTTTGAAGAATATGGAGAGAGAAATCCATGCTCACCGCAGGTTGCTCTTGCACTTCGCTGAAATGATTCAGGGCCATTCTGCAGCTATTGAGGTGAGGGCACCAAGAATAACAAGAGTTTTGTCTATTAAAAAAGTAACCTACAATTCCAAATATCCTTTTGCATTTTCCCATTCTGTCAGCACTTATGTTTTATGGTATGTATGAAAACAATGTTGCTATTGTTCTTAAGTAGAAACATATTCATACGATTATAAGTGGCTATGTAAAGGAATGCACTTGGCAAATTATACACATGCATTCTTTGACAAAGACGAATACTCCCTCTAATCCAAAATATAAGTCATTTTTAGCTCTCTCAATTCTGCTCCAAATTTAAGTCATGCCAGAATTTCAATGCATTGTTTTCTGTTACATAAATGCTGCTTCTCTCATGAATAAATTGCCCATGTTTTCCAATGCAAAAATAATTTAAGGCCATCAAATTCATTAGTCACTTTTATTACTCTTTGTGCACAACTCCAAAACGACCTATATTTTGGATCAGAGGAAGTAAGACACACACACATATATACAACTCAGGCATGGATGTTCCAATATAGTAAGTTAGTAATCATATTTCATGATTATTACAGTGTTTGGGAGATTAATTCACCAATTAAAAATTTGAATACATACTATACTAAAAAAATAGGGACACAAATTGAAATTATCATGAAAGACTTGAGTGAAGCAAAACTTCAATTAAACAGTAAAATTGAATAATCTAATTTAATTTCTATATTGCAGCAACTTGAAATTGTTGATGGCCCTGCCTCTAGGAGCATGCATCCATTCAGAAAAGAAATGGCCAAAGATCTACTTGTCGGCGAGCTCCGAGTTTTGGAAAGTGCTCATGCATGGGTTGCAAATTATTGTGAAACAATAAAGATTCCACAATAATCTCATCGAGGCAATGCCGCTTTGACAGGAGCAGGAAAGGGAGTTTAACATCAGAGTCACTGTTCCATGCATGGAAGACACTTGTCTCTCTGGCGTATGTCAACTTATTCAAAGAGAAAAAATAAATCCCCTGCCAACATATAGGCTGGTATCTTAAGCCTGTTCGAAATGTATGAATTTTGCAGGAATTTCAGAGGCTTGATATTTTTTTCATTAAATTCATGAATTCTAAATGGCCTTTACCTATTTATCTCATGTGAGAAGATTGATAATTAATCAGATTGCCTTTGGAACAATATGAAATGTCGCTCTTCTTTCTGAAAGAATATAGCAAGTAATTTAGAAGTAGAACCCTATTCCATTCCATCGTGGGGCACAGCTAGGTAGCAGTATTGTGTGCCTGTTGTCTCATTTGATCTGCCATTTCAGCGCAGTTATTATTTTTCCTATCTGCATTTAAGCAATTCTATTATGTACATGTTTGTGCATCTGCTGTGTGTTCTCCTTTCCTTTAACCTCTCACCATCTTAACTATATTTAGCCATTGAATGGACTTGGCTATGAGCCTCTCAATGGCATCTCCTCCCTCCTCCTTTCTTGCTCTTTTCATTTGCCACTTCTCTGTTCTCGTGTGTTAGTTTTCATGCACAGGAAAGACTAATGCTTTGGATTTTGGAGAAGGTGAAGGAGGAAGAGACAGAGGAGGCAGGATGCTGCAGCGGGCGGCGAGCAATGCGTATTCATGGTGGTGGGCGAGCCACATCCGCACCAAGCAGTCCAAATGGCTTGATAGCCATCTCCAAGGTGACCGTCCAATATATAATCTTGATCTTTTTTATCATATATTTGATTTCTGTGAGTTATGTATGTACTTATATGGGAGATTTGTTGGTTTGTTCAATCCTAGAAGTTCTTCAATGGGGAGAATAACGAAATTATTCTAAGCCTTCCATCCATGTGATTCTTGATATGAGGCTACAGATATTCTTATTTGGAGTAGCACGAGATCTCACATCTCTAAATTAATACACATAACCTCTTCACTTTTCTGGGTAAATCTGCACAATCATAATCAGCTTAGGCTTGTTGATCTGAAGATTAAACATGTATTGCTTATGGGAATGGGACTGAGGATCAATTTGGACCAAATCGAATGTGTAAATTCCTGAACCTCCAGAACTGAGGTGAATGCATATGCGTACAATTGATATGATGCAACCTGATAAAGGGGACAAAGAAACATTATACATCTAGATGGAAAACAATCGCCTTAAAAATATATTAAATTTACTTTAGAATATTGTCATATCAGGAAACTGTTTCTCCTGTTTGGGAGCTTTATTCCTGTGTTTTCAGCAGTTTCTGTTGCAGTTATACTTGCTAGCAAAACAAAATAATGTTGATACCCGTGACATAATTAGGGCCTTTTTGAAGCTATGAAACCAATAATGTATGTGAAATCTTATCTGCTGTAAAATCATCATAGAAATTTGTGTTTCTGATCCCATGAAATGGTCTTGTGGATATATATGCAGATATGGAACACAGAGTGAAGTGCATGCTCTTACTCCTTGGAGAGGAAGCTGATTCCTTTTCAAAAAGGGCAGAGATGTACTACAAAAGGCGGCCGGAGGTGATCACTCAAGTGGAAGAAGTATACAGGGCGTACAGGGGTCTAGCTGACCGGTATGACATCATTTCAGGGGAACTGCACAAAGCAAACCATACCATCGCGACAGCTTTCCCTGACCAAGTGCAGTATGCAATGCTAGAAGAGGAAGATGACAATATCCCCAAGGCATTTACCCCAGTCGATCCACGTAAAATTCACAAGTCGACTGTTGACGGATTGATGAAGAAGAAGAAAGGAGGAGAGCAGCCTGCAGGGTCGATGAACAAGAACACGACGTCAGCTCCAATCGACAAGGACAACGCACGGGAGGAGATCAGCAGACTACAGAAAGAGATACTTGTGATGCAGACCGAGAAAGAATTCATCAAAAGCTCGTACGAGAGTGGCATTGCAAAGTACTGGGATCTTGAGAAGCAAATCAATGACATGCAGGAACAGGTGTGCCATTTCCAAGATAAGTTTGATGAAAGTGCGGTGATTGAGGATGATGAAGCCCGGGCACTGATGACAGCAACAGCCCTTAAATCTTGTGAAGACACCATTGTCAAACTGCAGGAACAGCGGAAGACATCTGCTAGCCAGGCAATGGGCGAGTCAGAAAGAGTCAAGGTTCTACGTGAGAAGCTCAAGGCTGTAATGGAGGGGCATGGGAAATCCTTGCCGGATTCTCCAGATCCTTGTGATAAAAACGTGAGGAAGAATCATGGCTTTGAGATGGAAGAGGTACAGCATATCAAACTGGGTGAATTTGAGACGCAGACAGTGCTCGAGAAGATCAAGGAACATTTTGAGAGGGACGGCAGCATCTCGGTGGCAGAAATCACAGAACATATCGATGAACTTGTTAACAAGGTGGTTGATTTGGAGCTTATGGTGTCATCGCAGAGCTCACAGATAGACAGGCTGTGTCGAGAGAACAGCGAGTTGGAGAGTTGTCTGCAGAGTCTGGAGGAAGAGAATGTGAGTGACCCAGATAAAGTAAATGAGAAGCTGAAGAAGCTAGAAGAGGAGCTGGTGAGAGTGCAGGCTCTTGAAAGCTGCTTCCACAAAGACGAGAGCACGATCCGCTCGAACTTCAGCGAAGCCATAAGCAGACTGAGTGGTATATCAGAGATGTTGCAGTCATCTGAACACGGTGGTGTAGGAGGCACATTGGCAGTGGCGGATGGGAAGGAGGAGGAGGAGGACAATGATGCAGGAGGCATAGATGATGTTGCTGAACCCCAGGTCCAGACGGAGGCTGCATCTGATGACGTTGATCCTGCGGGTAAATCAACAGCTGACGTTGATCCTGCGGGTAAATCAACAGCGACGCAGGAGGAGGCCCAGGCGGTGGACGTTGGACAGGAGAAAGCAGGAGGATGTTCGCGGGAGAGAGGGTCGTTGGTACGGCTGCGTCACATCTCCTCCGACGACCTGGGAGGCTGTGACGATGAAGCTCCAGCTGCAGTGGATGACCCCGATGGCATGCGGAAGCAGAAGAAAGGACAAGAAGGAGAAGGGGTTGAAGAAGAGAAGAAGGTTATCCTGGTGGCGGAGTACAGGGCGCTCCTTGAGGAAAACAAGGATGCCAAGAGGAGGCTGGCTGAGGTGGAGAAGACGAACCAGGAGTGCATGCATGAGATCCGGTCGCTGCGTGAGCTGCTCAGCAGTGGCTCATCCGAGGCAGGAGCGGCAGCAGCAGGAGGAGGAGGAGGAGGAGGAGACAGCAGCGGAGGTCGGCGCGGCCATCGAAGGACGCCGAGCTATTCGCTGGGACATCACAGGAAGCAGAGCCTGTCGTCCATCTCGAGGATGATCAGAATGGGGTCGACCATCCATGAAGGCGACGAGAGCGAGAAGGTGAAAGCTGAGGAGCTGCGGTTGCCAGCGGTGGCCACATCGTCGTCGCCTCTGGAGAACAAGTTACGCAAGGACATCGACACGCTGCTGGAGGAGAACCTCGAGTTCTGGATGAAGTTCAGCTCGTCCCTGCAGCGGGTGCAGGAGTTCCAGCGCAAGCACGACGAGCTGATGCAGCAGCTGCAGCCGGCGGCCACCGACGGCAACAGTGACACCAAGCAGAAGCAGAAGCAGGAGCAGCAGCTGAGGGCGCTCAAGACGGAGCTGCAGGTGTGGTCGGAGCAGAACGCGATGCTGCGAGGGGAGCTGCAGTGCAGGTTCGCGGCCCTGTGCGACGTGCAGGAGGAGATCACGGCGGCACTGGAACAAGGAGGAGGAGGAGGAGAGTTCACGTCGTACCAGGCGGCCAAGTTCCAGGGCGAGGTGCTCAACATGCAGCAGGAGAACAACCGGGTTTCCGACGAGCTGCAGGCCGGCCAGGACCACGTCAAGGGCCTCCAGGCCCAGATCGAGAAGAAGCTGCAGCACGGGGGCGTCACCCTGCCTGACGCCGACGGACCTGCAGCCGGAGCCGGAGCCGGAGCCACAACCCCGCCGCCGCTGCCATTGACGCGCGTCGCCTCCAAGTCCAAGGTGCCCCTGCAGTCCTTTCTGTTCCCGGCCAAGGCCAAGAAGCCGTCGCTGCTGGCGCGCGTCACCCCTGTCCTCCAGAAGCAGCAGCCCGATCTCAGGTTCCTTGCCAAGCTGCAACCGAGGTAGCTCCTCTCTTCTCTACTTCCACCATTGCATTCCGCCCTTCCTTCGATTTGGACTTCTTTCCCAACTGTAACCTCGCTCATTCCTTGTAACATCTCAATTTTGGACATGCATAATGGGTCTTGATAGATAACGACTGCAATTAGTTCTACTTCTGAAATGGGCTATACGTACAATCTGTGTATATGACTCATGTCCGACTCAACTATTGTTTTACTAGCTCCTATAGAGATAAGCTGATCCTAAGGATCAACTTCCCATAACTATTATTTTCCTATCTCCATAGAGATAAGCTGATTGTAAGGATTGATGGATGAGAAGTAGTTGGATCAGTCTTATAAAAGACGCATAACTATTGTTTTCCTATCTCCATAGAGATAAGCTGATCAATATCTCCATAGAGAGAAGCTGATTGTAAGAATTAATGGATTCCTATCTCCATAGAGATAAGCTGATTGTAAGGATTGATGAATGAAAAATAGTTGGATCAGTGTTATAAAAGACAACTAATTGTAAGAATTGATGTATGAAAAGTAGTTGGATCAGTTTTATAAAACACGCATAACTGTTGTTTTCCTATCTCCATAGAGATAACCTGATTGTGAGAATTGATGGATTCCTATCTCCATAGAGATAAGCTGATTGTAAGAATTGAGAAGTAGTTGGATCAGTGTTATAAAAGGCGGGAAAAGATGGTTGGAGGAAGATGATAGTAAGGATTACTATTGTTTTCCTATCTCAGATAAGCTGATTGTAAGGATTGATGGATGAGAAGTAGTTGGATCGGTGTTATAAAAGACGCATAACTATTGTTTTCCAAGCTGATTGTAAGGATTGGTGTATGAGAAGTAGTTGGATCAGTCTTATAAAAGACATAACTATTATTTTCCTGGTTAGATAAGTGTTATAAAAGACGTTCTTATCCCCGTAGAGATAAGCTGATTGTAAGGTTTGATAGATGAGTAGTAGTTGGATCAGCGTTATAAAAGATGGGAAATAGTGGTTGGAGAGAGGGTTGATGGATGAAACGTGGTTGGATCAGTGTTATAAAAGATGAAAAACGGTGGTGAAATGGAATGAGTACCGTTAAGCGATTAATCGAATTACGGATAATTAATCAGGATTAAACGGAATTTTGGCGTTCACACTAATGGGCCTGTTCGGCAAACTGGGACTGCAGCTGCGGCTGCTGTAGCCCCTGCTATCTTAGAGCTTGCCGGACTATTCCGGTTGGCTGCGGCTGCTGCAACCCCGGCAGCCAAACAGGCCCAATAACGATATATTTGATAATTTCTTATGGTTATAGACATACTTTAACATATATTATCAAAATGAGATAATATGCTTGCATCACCATTTGATTATACTGAAACAAACAGTAACTTTTGTTACGCATATAGCCGGAAGGGTTGACCAACTCTTGTGGGTTGCTAACCATTTAAAACAGGTTCCAATATAACTTAATTGTGACACATAATAGGTCTAATCTAATAATTATAAAAAAAGGTGATTAAGCAAACAAAATGTCCAGATTTGGTCGCATTTTCAAACACCGTTTCGACATGCTGAAACGGAACGGTTTGGCCGGCGTTTCCGTATATACGGCCGTATGGTCGGCCGACTTTTACAACACTGGGTCGGATGCTACTAGTACAGCATGGTCGTCTGTATAACACAACAACGTCGTTACATGTCGCTCACTGCTTGCCATCATCCAAAGAATGATGCAGAATGCAACTGAAGCCGGCGGGAGCTGACAAGACCAAAACAAAGGCGTGAGAATAGGCTGTAACTTTTCTGTCAATCTAGTGTGACTCCCTTTTAGTTGTTTGTTTTGGTTGTCAAAACAACATTTTATGCTTTTCAGTAAAGCTGGGCTGTCAAAAGCCTTTCATCTAAAAAAAATAAATACAAGAAACATGTACAGAAACACTGCATGTATTTATTGCAATGCTAACTACTGGTACAAGATTGAGTTAGTTTGTTCGTTAGGTCCTGATTCTTAACGCCCGCTTCACAAGACCTTGCCGTTGCCGTAGGAGTAACAGTAAAGTATCCATCAAACTTGAAACCCAGAATGTTCTACAGTTTCAGTCCAGAGTGAATGGCAACCACACCACCCACCAGATTTTCGTATTCTACCCTCTCAAATCCGGCTTCTTGGATCATCTGAGCAAACTTTTCCTGGAAAAGCACAAGTTTGATCACCAGATATGCAAAAGATACATCTCAGCTGTCTCCGTAAAACTTCCCTACATTTCTGCTTAATGCCTCTTGCCGTGGGCACATAAAGCAATATGTATGAACCTTTTATAAGTTACTGGTTTCTAGTTGCCTATACTGGAGTGGATAGCATACAGTAGAAAGCCTTTTAGAACCAAAATTCTAAGCAACAAATGTACATCCATGTTTTGTCAATAGTTAATCCTAACATGGCAGCTCAGAAGTAGGCAAGGATAATAAAGAACCAGAATTACCTGATTTGGAAACCGGCGGATACTCTCAACCAAGTATTGGTATGACTGGCGATCACCGGCCACTAGTTCTCCCACAGCCGGAATCACAGAAAATGAATAAACATCATAACTGAAGAAAAGGCCAAAAGAATCAACAACTTGTCAATAGATCAATGGAAAGGTAACTGGCAACTATATACACATAATAGATATGCTATTTCTGTTGATTTAAAACTTTAACTGCCTCAAGAATGACTCCTTGTTAAATACTACTAGTAACTATGCATATTTTACAGAAACTGTCCTGCTGAAAATATTCTGGTCTAATGGTCTCACAAATGTTGGTCACAGCTTTGTTCACGTGTACAGATTCACTCTCCGTTAGTAACAGAACTATGCCAAAAACTTTGGCGTCAAATTTCCACAAGAACCAGCAGGAAGAAGCTTCAAATATATTTTCTAACAGAAGGGAAACTTTTCCGGTTGGATTAAGCTGTCCACTGACAAATCACCACAAGTATTACTTTTGTTTTTTACAATCCTCAGAATTGTTAATTTCCGCAAGCATTGGTAGGAAGAAACATCAAATATTCTTTTTCCCCAGAAGAAGGGAACCTTTAAACCATTGAGACATCTCAAGTAATATTTTCATTTTTAGAACCCTCAACGCTTTAATACATAGCTTGGTATAGAACTACGAACGATAGCTTTATAGAAATGATTACCAGTTATGAAAGCTAAAAATGTAATTGTTCACAACTGATTTAACTCTGTTATTTTCTCTTTTATTTTACACCATGTGTAAGAAGACACTTGGAAAATACCTTATATGAAACTATCCTACCTGTGTTTCTAAATTAGGTAGAAAAGAAACATATACTTGGCTAAAGAAACTTACATCTCTTTAAAAAGCGGAACATCCACATGACTCAATTCCAAGCATAGGAACCTTCCCCCTCGCTTTAGGACTCTGAAACATGTAAATCCATGTGAAACTAACAGCATTTGATAGAAGCTGAGATTAGACATTAATAAGAAAAGAAAAGCGCTTTGGACACATCTAATGATTTGATCCAAACATACTACACATACACAACATTTGAAAATCATGATCAAATATAAATACAGTCAGTTAGTTCAATATTATGGGCCGACCTATAAGCTTCTGATAGAGCTTTTTCAATGTGTGTCACATTTCTGATCCCAAACGCAATAGTATAGCCATCCATAGATCCATCCTCAAAACTCAGAGCTTCAGCATCTCCTTGTATCCAGCTAAGGCAATGGCCTTCTTTGTATCCTGAAATAAAAAGAAAACAAAATCAACCATGGGACAACAGAAGCAGTATGTGAAATAAAGGTGGCATGATGCTAAGAAATTTCATGAATCCAAACCTCTTTCTGAAGCACGTTTCTTTCCAACATTCAGCATATTTGGATTAATGTCACAAACATAGATTTGTGTTTCTTCTTCAATATCAGTAAGAGTACCCTGCATAGCTCTATGGCTCACGCTATTGATTCTCTCGAGCGCACGGAAGGCAACATCCCCTGAAGGCATAGAGAGTCATTGGATGAATTACTTTCCAATTTCAAAACGAGATTAGCAAGCAACTAGATAAATTCTTTTGAGAAGGGAGTAACCGTTTACTTGGACATGTTGAAATATCATTCATGAACAGACTAGTAGTAATTGAAACATTAGGTGTAAAATCACCTTATTTTAGGACAGCGCGCATTTTTAGAACAAAGAAAAGTTCCGAAATTAACATGTCACCTAATTGATGCACATTTCATATAATTTGCAGTATTGCACAGGAAATGGGGATATTAGCACATGGAACACAGCACAGCACATCGACGTTTTAGACATGCCAAAAAAATGCAGAGGAGTTACATAACACAAATACACTAATATCTTTTGACTAGCAAGGCTATGTTTTTAGTCGGGTGGGTCAGTAAGCTATGCATGGTACATGGCATCTTAGGATGTTAATGCTGAAGGTAAGAAAGGAAGAATACCTGTTCCACCAGCCACATCTAGATGCTTCATCCCAGGAAAAGGATTAAGCTTTGAGATGAGCCTTAAAAAATAGAGAAGAGGAATGTGGTAAGCCTGACATGAAAAAAAGGAGGAGGAGGAGGAGATTGGAAGCAAACCTGTCCTTCCACAACCTATGTAGTCCAACGCTCATAAGATCGTTCATGAGATCGTAACTGGAGGCGACGCTGCTGAAGACGTTACCGACCAATTTGCTTTTGTCCTCTTCAGCTACTTGCTTGTATCCTGATGAACCAACCAAGAGGAAGGAGTTTGGACAAGAAGAAGAAGAAGAGTTAGGTGGTAGGGTAGGGTTTAGGAGGAGAAGGGTACCGAAGCTGGTGGCGTGGGAGTGGAGGAAGGCCGTGTGGATGCTGGTGGGCGGAGAGAGGAGGCGGCGGCGGCTGGACGACGCCAGCCTACCGGCCGCCGATCGCAGAGCCATGGTGCTCCAAACTTACTTCCTTACGATCAAGGCGGAGGCGGCGGCGGCGGCGCCTGGTGCAGCCGCGTCGGTGAGTCAGGGATGCCGGCGGCGGCGTCAGATTGAGATTGGGATCGGTGGCCGAATGGGATGGGGACCGACGACACTAGCGCAGCCTAGGGTTGTGTGGGCTATTATTGGGCCAGATGATATTGGGCCACTGCGACGTGCAAGGACAAGTGCGGGTGATGTCCAAAGGAGGCACCAGCGCCCGCCAACGGCCACGGCCGCTCTAGCAAGACCACCACCGCCTCAATTACCGATGTCGAGAGAGTTGAACATGATTGGGCCACTAACATGTGGGTCCCACGTCGTCATGCCAGTTAAAACCGTTTCCAATACTGCCTTTCAACCTAATGTGACCCAGTTTTTCAACATTAGCGATGCGTTACTACAACGATTTTCAAACTCGACGACAAGATGGGGATCTCAAGTGAACTTCTTCATATGTTGATTGATGATTAGGACGCATAATTTTCTTTCCATTTTTTTTGGGTGAGTTTAGTAATTCCTTCCACTAAATTACCAATGCAGTATAAGTAAAAGGCAAATCCTATGTCCGTTGCTGACAAATCCTGATACATCAAGTACCACGTAATTATATTAGCATGCGTCCAATGTGTTTTTGTTATCATCAATGGACTTGTTTAACTTGTGTGAAAACCACCTCATTATAAGGTGTATTTTCAATTTCACAAAGTCTTCATGGTAATCTTGAGTATTAACTTCTCATCATAAAATATGTTCTTAATGATAGTTATAAAACCAATACTAGTCCATGTTCATTGTACTCTTTTTGGGACGAAGGTTACTAACTTTTGCACCGTAATATGCATGGACTAACTAGTTGGTCAAAATCTTCAAATTTCGACCTTTTGAAATCAAAATGGTCCTATAAAAATGGGCAGAGCAAGTAACTAACAAATTCTATAAATTGGATATTTTGCTCACATCGCTGCAACTCTTTACATAGTGACAAACTGATGGATGACGATCACTAATTTGCTCTCAAAATCCAAAGACTTGCCAAAGGAACGCTTTACAAATAGGGCAGTTCAATTCGATGCTGCAATCAAAATTGTGATTCTCACTTGCATGTGTTCTCTGTTATATAAATATATGTACTACCGCAGAACGAAAATACTGAATGAACGAGATGGAATGGATCTTTCTTCTGCCGCGGTGAAGATGGACATACATTCAAAGTCCAAAGCTGAAAGCAAACAAGTCCGGCTCTCATTGCACAGGGCTACCTCCAGCTTCAAACTCTCCAAAGCCCTCTCTAGCACATAGTACAACGGAGACTTGAGAGGCGGAGGGAGATGCTGCAAAATGAAAGGAAGGATATGAGATATAATCATCTCAAGCCATGTTTCAAAAAAAAATTGCTTGAGTTTCATCCACTGAAAGATTAAGCAATGGTACCTGAAGTTATGCAGCTCCCAGGTTTCGCCAACCGCATAGGAGTAATATGATCAATATTTGCATTCCTGAGCTCATGCAAAGGTACAAGTCTATCCGTACATATTATAGAATCAAAATTAATATGCTCCACCCTTTAACCAGCCAAGATACCATGGATTATTCACTCAGAAAACCTCTATGATCTTCATCATTTCTGTGTAAGCGTTGAAGCACCATCACCACCCCTCAGTGAAAGTAATGGGCCACCATAGAATCTCTTGCCAACTAGAGCAGAGTCCAGGAATAGTACTACAACAGTAATATCATCGTGAAAGTGTCTCCTGACCCCGCGATCAATCTTTTTCAAGTCTGAGTACCTCATTTCTCTTTTTTTTGCTGCCTCTCGCAGAGCCGCTTTTATTAGTCTTCTTGCAATACCCTACAGTTTTTTGGGGGGCAAAAGTTAGCAACAAGATGTTAGCATCAGAACATTCAGAGCACGCAGCGATTATAAAGAAAAGGGGATCACGGTTGCAAAATATGAACATGAGACATGTGAAGATCTACCTGAGCAAGGCAAATTCACTTTGCCCGAGATACTATACTCGATTCTACAAAGATACAACAAAAATCAAAAGACACAACAATAAAGCAAACCCTGGATAAACATAAGTCAATGAATTAATTCAGAAAACAGAGTGAACTCAGGGGAAAGCGCACAGTTAATCTGGTTTGAAACAAGAACTTAAGGAACTGATCAGCGAATGGAACTTATAAATTCAAAAGATATTAATTCCATTAGAGCTAAATATATGGCTTGAAGCATCTGAAGCAACATCATGTTATGTGTGACCCAGCACAGATGTTGTTGAATATCCCTAGGATGTTTGCTGTTCTAACAAATAAACTCAGCACGTCTGACATAACAATTAATGTTGATTCTTCTTAAATTTCAACGATAAAGACATGACTGACATGGAAACTAATTCAGAACTCCACGAAAAAAAATTATTGTCAGAGAAAGTTAGGATATCATCTTACATTTCTTGGCGCACAGTTAACTATATCCACAGCCTCCTGATTGGTCAGGTGCTCCCATAGCCCATCTGAGGCAAATATCACAAATTGGTCTTCTGTACACAGTTTATGTACTTCTATGGATGGTTCTGGAGAAAGAATTGGTTTGTGGAAGGGTTCTGAAAGCCGGAATCTCGCCAAAAGAGGCTCTCGGTTAAATTCAGTACTTTTTAGGTAAGCATCGCCTAACGTTCTGGAAACCTGAGCACATCACAAATTGGCAAGGCAAAAGGTATGAGTACTTGCGCTATTATATGGTAAAGGTGAGCAATATTGTGAAACGTCACAAATTGTGCACCCACTCAGTTAATAAACCGGAGTGCGGTGCACATGGAATAATATTTTGAGGCACAATCTGTCATACAGAAGTGATCAAAGTGAAACAAATACTACCTGAATAAGGCCTTTGACACGCCAAACGTTGTGCTTTAGGACCACGATTCGTGGATCGTCTGGGTGAAACTGTCTTAATTCCTCCCTTACAGACTCAATGCTTGCGTTATGCTCGGCTGACAGCTGAACCGCCTTAATAACACCCCTTTCAAGTCTCCCTAGAACAGCACGGGAATCACCAGTATTTGCTACATAAAGAACTCCTTCATTGATGATGCCAACCAAACAGCAGGAACCAACGGAGGCAAGCTGCGGTTTGATGAGCCATTGCTTCCTTACAAGATTGAGAAACCCTTCCTCCGTGGCAGCATAGGATTTGCGAATGACATCAACTGAAACAGTTTGCTGTTCCGTAGCAAATTCTGCAGGGAAGCAACATACTCTTTAGATTGTAGTAGTAGTAGTAGTATTGAGAGAAATAGAGGAATGAACATACTCTTTAGATTGGGGAAGAAATGTTGTGCGATGAAATGAGCAGTCTCCGGGCCACCATGGCCATCGTAGATGCCGACAAAAGTGGTGGAGGAGGAGTGGGAGAGAAGAAGAGGGGCAGCTTCGACCTGGCTGGCATCCTCGAGAAGGTTGTTTGCCTGCACGAGGGCCATAGAGAAGTCGCCGCAAGCGTGCCTCCCGGTGTCCTTGTACCAGAGCAATCCATCCCTGGTGCCGCCGACGGCGAGCTGGTGGTCGGGCTTGAAGCAGGGGCGCACAATCCGCATGACCGTCTGCCCAACCATGTTGCACTTGCACCAGGAAACCTAGGTAGTAAGAAAGATCCAAGGAGGAGAGGCTTGACGAAGAAGATGGAGGAGACTATCGATCAAGATTGCAAGAAGCAGGAGCTTGGTGGTCAAGGGATTGGGGGTTGGGGTCTGGCCCCAAGAAAGAAGAAGAAATTAAGAGGCGGTGCATGAGAAGGAAGAGAATCTTGCGGCGTGAAATCGGGGTTGATTGCTTTGGCTTTGGCTTGGCCCCAAATAAAGGGAGGAATTGAAGGGTAGTAACAAAGAAAAAAAAAACACACGAAAACGAAAGAGAAGAATCCCAAATCCAAATCAAATCGGGCGGAATTCCTCCGCCTGCAGGCTGCTGCTATGCTATTCCTCTCCCTCCCTCCCTCCTATCCTAATTCATACTCATACTGCTGTGCTGGAGTAGAGGAGAAGAGAGAAGCGGAGTGCCGTGGCCAGATCGACGACGAATCGCGTGGGATTGATTCCGCCGTGAGATTTCTCCAACTTCTTTCTTTAGGATTAGGATTAGGATTGGAAGAGAGGGGGAAGGAGGAAGGAGTATCTATCTATCCCATGTGACCTGCAACAAGAAGAAGAAGAAGAAGGAGAAGGAGAAGGGAGGGGAGGTCGTTTGATTATTAGTATGGATTATAATTAGCAACAGCAACTACTACTTGTACTTTATTACTCCTATCCCCTAGTCTTAAGAGTGTTAGCACTAGTGTACTCCAGTTAGAAAGAAAGAATATGATGAATTGATGACGGCGACGGGGGCAGCCCATGGTGCTTTGGTTTGGTCTCTGTCCCCTCGTCCCCTCCCCTCCCCTCCCACAGATTTTCCTTTCCATGATATTTTTCTGAATTTTCTTTTTCCACGACTTAAACAACATCTACGACTCCAATATTAAGTATTAGTGTAAATTGCACCTACAGTACAACAACTTGACAGGTGGGTGCGGTATAGTGCAAGAACTTGGGAATTGAACGTCTGAGTACAATAACTTGACAAATGGGTGCGTTCTAGTACAATTTATATCCAATTACCTTTAAGATTTTTTTTTTCTTCACCTTCTCAAATATCAACCGAAATATAATAATTTTTACATCCACTTTAATTGACTTTCAATTATTATTTATTAGGATAAAAATATAAATATACTTATACAAATCCGCGCTACTATATTGTCAAAATAAGTACTTAAAAATTGAATTTATATAAAAAATACTCCAAATAATTAAGTTGCCGTATAACTTTTTAATTTATTGTATCAAAATCATATCTACCTTGCAAGTTGTTGCATTTATACTATCACTTACAAAGTTCTTAAACTAAATTGCACCTACCTACCAAGTTGTTGCACTAGAACGCTCATTTTTTAAGTTATTGTACCAAATTACACCCACATACCAAGTTGATGCACCATGGATGCAATTTACTCTAAGTATTGATTTTTCTCAACTATCTGACGACTAGTATTATCTTACCCGTATCACGCAATTGCTAAGTTGAGTTACAAAACCGAAACAATTGCAAAGGATTAAAAAAACGAAGTAGTATAACAAAACTAGCTGGATGACCCGCGCAATTGCGCGGCGAGCACCCAAACAAAATTATATATTTTTCAGTATGATTTTACTTAAAAATTATTAAGTAGATATCTCGTTGTCAAAAGACTTTAAAAAATCAAACCTTATCATCCCGTATTTCTAATATAGTTTTTAAAAGTTACACCAGCTGCTACCCCTTACTTATGTCATATTCTTCTTTATTTGCTTGCTCGATCTACCACTATTTTTATTTATTCTCCTTGAAACCTTTAAAAATTGAATCTTAGATTTTATTATCTCATTGGGTTTCTTTTTATAATTTCTAGAAGTCTCGTCAAACACGGTCATTATGCTCATCTACGGCCCATCCACTACCTTTTCTCTTTATTGTCATTGGGATTTTAAAAACTGAATATAATTATCATTTGGGTTCATTTTTAACTTTCTAGACGTCTCGCTAAACCATCAGCGGCTTTGCCATTGTACTCCTTTATGGCTCGTTCGCTGCCACCCTTTTTTATTGCCATTGAGATTTTAAAATTGAATATGATTTTCATTATTTTTTTTACTTTTTTAAGAAGTTCCGAACCTTTAAAAATCATACCTGGTAGTTTTTAGAGTTTATTGTCTTATCGGGTTTCATTTTTTATAACTTTTAGAAGTACTGGCAAACGATGGCACTATATACTCATCTACGGCCTATTCACCGCGTATCATTGGAATTCTAAAAATCGAACATAACTATCGTTGGAATTCATTTTTTATTTTCTAGAAGTTCTGCCAACTGTTGGCAGCTCTTCAACTATACTCCTATACACCCCGCCCGCTGCTTCTCCTTCTTATTGTCATTGAGATTTTACAAATCGAATATAATTATCAATGGGGTTTTTTTTTCTTTCTAGAAGTACCAGCAACCACCTTGCCCATCTGCTTCACTGCATGCCTGTCGTCTCTCCTATTAATCATTACTAGGATTCTATTTGTTGTTTTACTAATAGTTTTTATATGTCGTATTAACCGCCACTACTCTACTCCTTTATAGGCCTCTTACTTAATTTATCGCGTCATGGGTTTTAGATGGTCTTTTTTTCAATAGTATTTATTTTATATCACCAATTTTAGTTATTTATAAATGGTATTCCTAATTGAAATCTTTTTTTTCTTTTTCTAATTTCAGAATTTATTTTTTTTTCAAATTTTAATTAATAACATATAGTGTTCTTTTAAAATTTTTATTTTTAATTTTTGAATTTCAGTTGTTTCAAAATTGTTTGTATTCCCACTTGAAGTCTCTTTTAATTATTTTGGATATTATTTTATTTTTTATTCTGAATTTTAATTAATCTCGTATTGGGTTCTTTTATAGATTCTTCATTCAATATTGCTTATTTTCAATTTCAAATTTAAGTTAATTTTAAATTGTATTCTTACTTGAACTCTTCTTTTCTTTTTCTAATTTTGGATTTTATTTTTATTTTTATTTTTATTTCGAATATTAATTAAACTCGTATTGGGTTCTTATATATACTCTTCTCTCAATATTCCTTATTTTTAAATTGCAATCCTATTTGGACTCTCATTTTCTTTTCTAATTTCAGATTTTATTATATTTTTATTTCGAATTTTGATTAATCTTGTATTAGGTTTTTATATGGACTCTTCTTTTAATATTGTCTATTTTTAATTCTGAATTTCAGCTATTTTTAAGTTGTATTTTTACTTGGACTTCCTTTTCTTTTTCTCCGATTAATGTGGAAATTTCTAACCCCCCCACAGCAAACATGGTGTCTCTTTTCAAAGCTGTTTTAATAATATAATAGATATAATAAATACTTTTTTAACCGTTGGATTACTTTGAGATTCGTGCATATATCCCAACCTTAATTCCTTTCATTTTTTTTCTTTTCCCCTCGGTGTCGCATTCTTGAACGACGCTTGATGCCTCTCACCGTTGCCTCCGCATAGCGTGTTATCACCCGGTCTTGTCGGCTAGGCAGAAGACGTCAACGGCACAGGGAGGCATCCCCTTTCCTGGGCTGGTCTACTCCCTCCTCCCTCCTCCAATCCAACAATAGTGAGGTGCCCCTATTCAGATGGCTCCCCGTCGCCAGATCAGCCACCACCACCGCTCAGTGCCTCTTAATATGTTGCTCTGTTTTGCTCCCGCCACCAACACCAACATACCACTACCTATTGATCTCGTGGCTTCGGTGTGGCACCGCCGTCACCTCCCATGGTTATCCCTCTAAGCCCGATAACATCCTCCTCTTTTGCCTTCCCCCTCCAACCCTCATCCAGAACCCCTAATTCGTAGGTACCTCCCATGGTTATCCCTCTAAGTCCGATGACTTCCTCCTCTTTTGCCTTCCCCCTCCAACCCCCATCCAGGACCTTAATTCATAGGTACTCTGTCGAAATTTAAGCTTTTATCGGTATCGGAGAAGAAGAGGCTGTCAGAGTAGGAAAAGAAGCACCTTAGCGCATGAATCACGATGCATATCTAATGATCGCTTGTCCAAATTCGTTGTTTTAAGATGGATCACATCCCATTCTAGGTTAAGTTATTTTGGGAGGGAAGGAGTAAAATCTAAAGATTTAATGATGGATTTTTGGTCGACAATGGGTCCAAAGATCTGTGGTTTCCTTGACGATGCACAATGGTGGTGTTTGAATCTCCTGAAGATGAAAATGAAGATTAAGTGTTTCACGTAAAACGAGGTGGTAGTACCGTGTGATTAATTGAGTTTTAATTATTACAAACTTGAAAAATATATTAATATGATATTTTAGAGCAACTTTTATATAGAAAGTTTTTATACAAAACGTACTGTTTAGCAGTTTGAAAAGCGTGCCACGAGTATCCAAAATTTAGGGCCTTTTTGATTTGGAGGAAAAACATAGGAATTTTGGAGGATTTCAATCCTAATGGAAAATTTCCTATGAAGCCCTTTGAAACAAAGGATTGAATCATATCTAATCCTTTGAAATTCCTATGGAATGGACAAATCCTATAGAGATTTTGGAGGAAATTTAGCAAGAGCTTCAACCTCTTGGTATGTTTCCTTTGAGTCTATCTCTCTCATCCAATTCCTACGTTTTTTCTACGGTTCAATCAAACGGTCATTCCTGTGTTTGGGGGAAGCTAGCTCGTGCGCACGCGCCGGCGACGCGCACTTCCGCGCGCGCGTAACTAACCCCTTAGTTAACGCTAATGACAGTAATTAGAAAAAAAAAGTGAAGATTTTTTTACTAATAGATTGAAAAAATTTTCAGTTAGATTTGAAAACTTTCGACTTAAAGATTTAAATTTTTAAAGTCAAATTTTGAAAACTTTCAACTCAGATTCGAAAACTTTCAACTCGAGATTCAAAAACTTTCAAGTCCAGATTTGAAAATTTTGAAAACTTACATCTTGAAATTTGAAAATTTTTAACTTGAGATTTGAAAACTTTCAACTCGAGATTCAAAAACTTTCAAGTTTAGATTTGAAAATTTTGAAAACTTTCAACTTGAGATTTGAAAAATTTTAAACTCAAGATTTGAAAACTTTCAAATCCAGATTTAAAAACTTTCACCTCGAGATTTGAAAACTTTCAAGTCCAAATTTAAAAAATTTTAAGTTCAGAATTAAAAATTACTAGTAAAAATAGGAAACTATTCACTAGTAAAACTAATTATGATTTTTTCTCCTACCCATACGGCATCAAACTGCGTAAAAAGCAAAAAAGAAAAAAAGAAAACGACGATAGATGTTAGCGAGAAAAAAGAAAAATCGCGCACGCGTCGGTGGGCCGGGAGTGCGTGTTGCCGGCGCGCGTATTAGGTTTCTCGTATGTGTTTTTCATGCGTTTTGCAATCCTCTGTTTTACACTTACATTCCTATCAAAATCCTATATTTTTCCTGTTCCTACGTTTTCTCAATCCTTTGATTCAAAGAGCCCTTAATCCAACTTTTGTTGGAGAAAAGAAGAGGGCCAATGACTCCTCCATCAGTCACAGTTGCTTTCTATAAGTAGAGATAGTAGTAACACCTGATCATGTAGACTAGTACTTTATATACGCCAAATGAGAACACAAGTAGTAGTAATGGCTCTGGCTTTTCCCTTTGACCTCTGTGACTTGACCAACGCATCAAAGGAGGAAATACAGGCAGGCACATCATCATCTATAGAGTCACAGTAACAGGGGCACAACCAACCGAGAAGTAGCAGTACCAGCACGAACAGACAGGATGGATGATTGATCAATAACCAAAGCTCAAGCTCAAGCTCCAGCTTTAGCTCTTTTTTTCTTCTTCTTCTTCTTCTTCTTCTTCTCTTGTTACATTGCAGAGAAACCAAACTTGAATGTTAGGCGGTAAACTACTACTACTAGTACTAGTACAGAGACACAGACAAAGAGTCGCATTACAGACGTCGTTACAGCTTAAGGCAAGAACAACAAGAGCTACTACACCACAAGACAAGATTGATTATTAGCTAGCTTCGGTGACTGCCATAGCGCCGGGGGGAGGGAAAAAAAGAGAGGGGAAGGAATCGCTGCTTCTTCTTCCTGCCATGGCGCCAGAGGTTGATTCGGTTGGAGGTTCAGGCGTAGATGACGCCCGAGGAGAGTGCCATGAGCAGGATGGCGGCCCTCTCCTCCTCGCCAAGGCATTTCCTGCGGCGCATCCGCCGGCGCTGCTTGAACACAGCAGCGTCCTTGCTGCGGAAGCCCACCGTGTGGAGCTCCATGGTGACCTCCTCCTCCTGTGCCTTTTCCTTCTTGGCCTTAGTCTTCTTCTGCTGCTCCGCTCCGTCGGTGGCGGTGGCGGTGGCGGAAGAGTCCAGGCCGAGCGCCGCCCGCCGCCTCTTCCGATACCGGATCCCGCATGCGTTGCACAGCGACTGGAAGAAGGGATCATGGATCGGATCTCGGATCAGATCAAAACAACATACGACTACACAGAAACCAAACGAAGAAGAAGAAGAAGAAGAAGAAGAAGAAGAAGAAGAAGAAGAAGAAGAAGAAGAAGAAGAAGAAGAATGGGATATTCACCTTGGGTCCTCCGGGTCCGCCTCGCCATAGCGGAGTCTTGGTAGTGTGGCAGTCAGCGCAAGCCTTAGAGCCGTTGCACTCGTCGGGATCCACCTTGTCCACCGGGGAGGAGGAAGAATCCATATCCATCTGCAGCTGCAGCTAGCTACCGGCGGCCGCGATCTGGGGGCGGATCGATTGATCGGGCGGAGAGCCAAGAGAAATGGATGGATATGGATCGCGAGAGGGGAGGCGGCGGGAAATGGAGAGAGCGATTTGGGGTTTAGGGTTTAGCGGGCGGGGGCGGGGGCGGGGGCGGGAGGGGTTGGCTTTTTGTTTAAGAGAAGAAGAGGCGGAAATGGCGGCGTCTCGGGTCAGTGGGAGTGGGAGTGGAGCGGCGGGGACGACAGGGAAGGAAGGAAACCCTAATCCATCCCTCCCCCCGCCCGCCCGCGTGCTTGTGAATTGACCCATTCGGCCCTTAGCTGGGCCTCCCTTTCCTTCTGCCTGCTACGGCCCAATAAAGGCCCATCCACCATTCACTCCGTTCCTTCATTCTAAGCCCAAAACTCTGACTACTGACCGCGCGCATATGTGTGTCTTTTTTTTATATTAGTGTACTTAGTTAGTACTAACTTTGCTAGTCATTCAAAAGTCAACAGAGTTATACTGTACATTATTGATTGCATACTTCTCTAGTACAGTAGGAATACTACTACCAGTAGAAATCTTCTATTAACAACTTATTAAAGTAATAAATAAAAAAACCTCCACATTTGCTCTTACAGTCTAGAAATAAATTAAGGAATATTGAAAAAGAGACTAGTGTCCATGCCGGTATACAATTTAGAAATAATAGAAATTCCGAATTTAAAAATAGAAAAATTAAAATTTGGTCAGAGTCCATTTAGAAATAACAGAAATTCGGAAATTCGGAAATTCGGAATTAAAAAATATAGAATATTAGAAGAAGGGTATCAAGTCCATATAGAAATACAATTAAGAAATAATAGAAATTCAGAATTAAAAAAATAAGAAATATTAGAAGAAGAGTATTGTCATGGTTATGGATACCACATACCCACTAAGCTCGGCAGGACCCACCATACACAAGTCTTATATGGAATCATATCTCAAATATAGAAAGAGTTTCGGATAATGAAGGACGAGTAGAGTTCTATATGAAAACGACAAGGATTACTCGTATTGTATCCATATTGGTCTCCCTAATTCTACTTGAACAAGAGAACATCTATGAGTATAAATACAAGACCTTCTAGGAGGAGGAGGGACAGACCGATCGACACACAAGTCAGAATAGACACCAACACACGCCGTCAAACATCGACATCAGAGATAAGCCTAGATAGACCTAATGGTGCCTGCGGAGGCCGACAAGATGGATATAGCGCCATATCTGATCTCAATGAGTTCGTACTCGAGGAGAAAGACTACCCTGTCGTCGACTACGTGTTGGTTATCTATGTCGCCAAGTCGACGACAACTAGATAGGTTATCCCAAATATTGTACTTGTGTGATTCTGATGAATATAAAGCAACATCGGCTACGACCAACAGGAGTAGGGCTATTACATATCAGATAAGGGGCCCGAACCTGTATAAACCCTTGCATACGTCTCTTTTACTTTAATTTCGCATATACCCCTGGTACCAACGGTCTCCATAACATGAAAATATCGTAGTTGTGACCTCAAAAGTTCACAAATATAGAATCCATATAGGATTTTAGAATGAACTAAAATTTTGGGAAAAAAATTAAAAGTAGATTTTAGAGTCCATATAGAAATACTATTTAGAAGTAACTGAAGTTTGAAATTAAAAAACAAGAGTATTGAAAGATGAGTTTAGATTCCACGTAGAAATACAATTAGAAATAATGAAAATTCAGAGTTAGAAATAAATAATATTGGAAGAAGAGCTTAGAGTTTATATAGAAATACAATTTACAAGTAACAAAAATTCAGAATAAAAAATAAGAAATATTGGAAGACGAGTCTATAGTCCATATAGGAATATAATTTAGAAATAACTAAAATTTGATATTAAAAATAATTAATAACTATCACGTATATAAAACACAGTATGAATATTACACATTAGTATTTTGGTAAAGTTAGTACAAAATTTAAAACTTGTCATTTTAATATATTTAAATAATAAATTAAGAAAATACATATGCTTATTATATGAGAGAAAATATAATGATGCTAGTTAATATAATAAAGTAAACATAAAACTAGGAGTAAAGATGAGTTTCTCTATCTGGATGTGCGGGGCAGGTTAAAAATTAATATTTTATTTTTATCCATGGTGTTTATTCTTTCTCATCTCTCTGCATTTCATAGTTAATATATCATGTTTGAAAAACAATAATATTTGCAATGATAGCTCAATTTAAGAGAATATCTGTAGATAGAAATAAATATGATATAGCAAATGTAAGCGTGAAAAACAATACCAGCCTCCTATAAAAAGATAATACCAGCCGCGTAATTTACGCGTGATGAAGTAATTAAACAGAAAAATAGGAGTAGAGACGATCGAGCATGTCTCTATCTGGGCGTGCGGGGCAGGTTGAGGGAATCGCAGAAGCTGGAGTCGTACATGAGGTTGTCCATGACGAGGTCGTGCGACCGCACCGTCGCCGAGGAGCGCGCACCGGCTGCCCCCGCCCCCGGAGAGAAGAAGCTGGCGGCGGGCCTCTCCGACTCCGAGGACGGCATCTCCAGCGCGATGGCCTCCTGGATGTCCTTGACCACCTCGGGCATGGACGGGCGCCCCCGGGGATCGGCGTCGATGCACCGCACCGCCGTCTCGGCCACCTTCCACACCGAGTGCACGTCGCGGTAGCGGCCGCGCAGCGACGGGTCCACGATGGCCTCGATGTCGCCGCTCTCGTAGTGCGACTTGGCCCAGGGCCCGAGGCTGGCCATGGCACCGGCGCCGGGCGTGAGCAGGATGGGCGGGCGGCCGGAGATGAGCTCGAGCAGGATGATGCCGAAGCTGTAGAGGTCGCTCTTGTGGGTGAGCTGCTGGGAGACGTAGTAGTGCGGGTCCAGGTAGCCGAGGGTGCCGCGCACGTGGGTGGTGATGGTATTGGTGGTGGAGTTGGTGGCCTTGTTGGACTTGGAGAGTCCCAGGTCGGACACCTTGGCCCTCATGTGGGCGTCCAGGAGGATGTTGCTGGTCTTGATGTCCCGGTGGATGATGGCCGGCGTGCAGCCGCAGTGCAGGTACTCGATCCCCTTGGCCGCGTCCTCCGCCACCTGCAGCCGCCGGAGCCAGCTGATGCTCATCATCTGCAGCTGCTCCTTGAGGCTGCCGTTGTGCATGTACTCGTACACCAGCATGTAGCTGCTGCTGTCGCGCTCCCAGCAGTAGCCCAGGAACGCCACCAGGTTGCGGTGGTGTATCCTGGACAGAAGCGCCACCTCGTTGGCCAGCTGCTTCTTCCCTTGGATCGACTCGTTGCTGCTCGCCACCTTCACCGCGATCTCCCTCCCGTCTCCCAGCCTCCCGTAGTACACCACCCCGAACCCGCCCGACCCGATCTTCCTCGCGAACTTGCTGGTCGCCTCCTCCAGCTCCCTCACCTCGAACTCCAACGGACCCCGCGCTGCCATAGCCGCCATCATGTTGTCTATTTCTCCTCCTCCTCCTCCTGCTACTGGTGTTGCCTTCTTCTTCTGCTCCGCGGACACGACTATGCTCTTGCTCTTGCTGTTCCCACCCGCACTAGCACCTTGTAATTGTTTCCTCCCGCTAACACTAACATTATAGGCATAGCACAGGGCAGCTGCAAGCAACAAGCCTATTCCCATCAGCGCACATATCCCAATTATCACATTCCGCTCCTCCTCCTCTTGCTTCCCCACTCGGACATGCTTGTTCCCTGAGTACCTGCAAACATACGTACATATGCCGCGCGCATATACTGGAGTAATTAATTTCACCATTCATTTTATTTCATTATTATTATAGGCATACATCATATATATCACTCACTTGAAAACAATGGTTCTACTTAGCAGAGCCCTGGGAATGACTCCAGACAGCCTGTTGTTCTCTAGGTACCTGCATTTTATACATACCATGCCGATTCTCTTATAATTTAATTATCAGCATGCATTTTCTTAACAAATCTCTCACTTATATGGTACTATTATATATGTTCCTAGACTAGGATATATAGTAGTACATACAGTATATAAAAGACTCACAGCTCGCTGAGCTTGGGCAGACCGCTTAGGTATGACGGCACACCGCCCTCCAGTTGATTGTTCTCTAAGTGTCTGCAAAAGAAAATTTCAATTCGACAATATTGTTAGTTTATAATATGGACATAAGGAGTATATACTATAGAAAAAGGAAAACAGAAATAAGCCTGGTGCAAGTGCGTGCAAGTGGTGAATTGAGTTACTCACATGACTGTCAGGTTTGTACAAGCACTGAGGTCCGGAATTGGGCCTGTCAGCATGTTGTTGTCAAGCCGGCTGCAAATTCGTCAGAGAAGAGAGCTCATCGATCAGCTTAATTAATGGAATTAAGAGCGAGTCAGTCGCTTGTGTTACGTACATCTCCTGTAAGCATGGGAGCGCCGCTAGCTCCGGTGGAATGGCGCCTGTCAAGTTGTTTCCTGAAAGATTTCTGCACCCGTTCCGTACTACGTTACTACTCCAAGGAAGGAAACGCCCGGGAATAATTGAAAGAGTGACGACGTACGTACATGGCGATGACTCTGGATGAGGTGCAAGTGAGCCAGGACCAGGGTGCGGGAACACACGGGTCGCCGCCCTCCCGCGCCCAGCTGTGCTGCTGCTGCTGGTAGCGCGCCGCCAGGGCGTCCATGGCGACGGCGTCGGGCGAGGCAGGGAGTATGGGGATATAGCTGTAGATCTCCATGGCATTGAGGATGGGGCCCCTGGCGGAGTCGTCCGTCTTGCGGAAGGCGAAGGGGAGCACGAACGGCAGCGAGATGTTGTCGTAGCCCGGCTGGTACACCCGGTACTTCCCCGGCGCGTTCTCTCCGATGTCCACCGTCGGCTTGCTCACCTCGGCCAGCCCCGGGATGTAGAGCTTGAACCTTCGCGCCGTGGCGGCCGCGTCGTCCTCGATCTCCGCCAGATACGAGCAGGCCCACCCGCTGCCCGGGAAGCCGTTGAGGTCCAGTCTGTAGGTGAGCGCGCCCAGCGTGCCCACCACCGCGGTCTGCATCACCTTCTGCGGCGGGCGCTCGCCGGAGGCCACGAAGACGGGGTTGTCGGTGGCGACGCGGATGGTGCCGGGCGCGGCGTCGACGAGGAAGTTTGGCCTGCGCGCCATGTCGGACTCCCAGACGCGGTCGTAGGGGTCGTCGGGGTAGCGGACGGGATCGGCGGTGGGGGCGCCGAAGTTGATGCGGGCGGCGAGGGAGAGGAAGAAGGCGGCCTCGAAGGCGGTGTGGTAGAGGGAGGCGTTGAGAGGGCGGAGCTCGAGGGTGGAGATGAAGGGGTGGCCGGTGGTGGCGTTGGCGAGGCAGACGGAGAGGGAGGGTCCGGACTGAGCCAGCGCCACCATCTCCCTCGTCACCACCTTGGACTCGTCGTAGATGACGATGGTGGACCACCGCGAGGCGCCCACGTACAGGTCGAACTCCGGGAACACCCTGCTGCCGTCGAAGTTGCCGTACAGGAAGCTCGCACGCACCAGGTACCTCGTCCTGGCCTTCACGCTCACCCTGTAGCAGTACTTGCGCCCGTCCGCTGGGAAATACCGCACCGTCCTGTAAGGCCGCCGCCCCTGCCCCGAGATGGACGAGATGCTCGCCGTCGTGCCTGCGCCCCCGCCCACGTACGCCTCGTCGCCCGTCCACTCCAGCCCGACCTCGTCGGTGTAGTTGCCGGAGCCCCCGCAGTCGATGCTCTGGAACCCTGCCCACGCATTACGTACCATCTCACTCACTGACCCACAACTCCATAAAATAAAATATAGAGATTATTAGACTCACCAGGTATCTGGGCGACGGAGACGGAGGAGAACAAGACGACGGCGACGGCGAAGAAGAAGAAGAAGAAGAAGAAGAAGAAGAAGAGGAGCCGCCGCGCGCGCAGGAGGCAGCAGCAGAGAGGAGCCATCATCTTAATTACCTAGAGTAGCTCCTTCTAGCCAGGCACCAACACCCAAATTAGCTAATGCTATAACTTAAGGGCACTGATAGAGAACTTTGGCTGGGAAATACTACTCCAGTGAATAAGTACTGTATCAATCAGATGAAATGCGAGTGTGATAGTGCTATTGGAGTCCAATGGAGTAGAGTAGTACAGTGTACTAGTACAATGCAAGCTGTGAGCTGCAGCCTGCAGGGGAGAGGGAAAGAGATCATGCATCAGGAGAAAGCAAAGCAGTGGGATGCGAGTGCGATTAAAGCAGAGTGAGATCCCATCCCATCAAGTTCCAAACTAAATTAAATAACCAACCGTAAAGCTAACCCACCTCCAGTAGTATTTCATTCTCAAGTGTCTGCAAGGTACAAGGTACTAGTGATACATTATGTGTTACTGCTCCTGCGGTTGATGATAGGATCTCTCATTCCCTTCCCTTACTGTCACGCCTGCCTCTGCAGCGTACTCCAGTATGGACTACTACTAGAACGCTGCAGTAGCAACCAGTAGCACAATACTCGTACTATGGCAAACCAAAGCCTGCATCGGCACCGCCCTGAGAGCAAGGCTAATAGTATAGCCAGTTGCTGACTAATAGCTATTTGCTAAAGCCAGCTACTGTTGGAATTAATGAATGGGCCTTAGCCCACTCGAAGATTAATTCTTTGGAAAATCACAAAAGCCCACCTCATGGGATGGCATGCATGTGGAGTTTAGTACCACCTTGCTTATTCTAGGAGAGGGGGACCTCCTTAAAAGGGAGGATGCCCTCCTAGCCACTTGAAGCATGTGTGGTGGAGAGAAGAGGAGAAACACACGCGCGCGCTCGCTCGCCTCGCCTGGCAGGGCAGGCGGCGCGCGTGCACGACGTACGCGTCGAATGGTCCGAAAAATTGGCTCCTCACCCTTGCGCAGATGCAGCCTCCTTTTGCAGTTTTGTTTTGCTGCAAATTCGGATTCGTTTTTGTTTTGGAAACGTTCCGAAAAATCCGATGCGTGCAAACGGCGTGGAGTCCGGATAAGTTACGCGCGACTTATCCGGTTCGGTTACGCGCAGTAGAGATCGTGCGGGCGCCCTGATCAAGCGACCCTTCTCTATATAAACCGACCCACCGTCTTCACGCAAAAAATGCGAAAATCAATCTAGGGTTTGCCTCCTACTCTGTACTGCGCCGTCGCTCGTAGACTACTCCATCCCGCTCGCCGGCGTGCACCAGCGATCAGGAGAGCAGGTCTCCGGAACCTCTGCCTTTGACGTCCTGCACCGGGAGAAGGCGACAATAAGGTTTTTGGGAAGCGCTTCGCGCGACTGCTCCCTGTTCGTTCGCGACGGCTCGCCTTCCTCTTCGCTCGCGTGTTTCGTGCCTTCGTAGACACCTGTGAAAAGTTTCGACCAAGCAGCCGGTCTTTTCGTCACCTCGGTACGTGTTCAATATGCTGCGCATATTTGATCTGTTCATGTTATTCTGCGTAGTTTACATGTGTAGATCTAATGATGCGTTCATGCTAGTTTTCATCTGTAATGTCATGATTTATTTATGGAATAAATTAAATCATTATATGCTGCCCATAATCTCAACAGCTACTAGTACAATAGATAGTCTGTTGGCTGGCTACACCTCATAATCAAATAGTAAATTATATCATGCACATATCAATGTGTGTGATCAAGAGTGAATTGCATCTTTGTAGCCAGTTGTGCCAATAGCATATTCACATACCATATCAACCAAAATCTCTATAGTATAACAATTACAAGACAGTATTACTACATAACAATAACTCAAATACCATAGATTAATCGATAATATCATGCCAGTCCGAACACAAGTCTTAACAAAAGGACATGGTAATGAAAGATATCTGTAGTTCCAAAGAACTGACAAGGTAATAGAGGATAAAGCAAAATAAACATAACGGTTTACAGATCCAAAAGTCACATCAACAATAGGGCATTAAGCAAAAGTACATATAAATATGCTGTCCAACAAGTGAGAATGATTTATTCATCGAAGATAGACTGATTTCTTCATCGAAGATAGACCCTTGATAGCAGGATCATTGCATCATATTACCATTGCCTGAGCTATCATCAACCTAATGGGAGAAGAAAAACACATATAATATCCTGAGTAGTTTGTCACTTGATGAATAAATGAAACAATGAAATCTCTTTTCAGTGAAACCTCACTAAAAGGAGTAATCAGTACATGCATTTTTCTGCAGTTGGTATATCTTACAAAGAAATAGTTGCACTGTCATAAAAATTGAGAATTTCATTGACCATTTCGTAACAGTGTGCAGTATGCCCAGATGCATAACAAGTAAATTAAAAGTGAGTTTAGCAGGTAAAAGCAATAACAAAACACCATGCTACTGCATCATAAGAAAGAAAAGAGAAATACTGAACTGTGGCTATTAGTAGTCTGAACTAGGAGTACATTTAGTTCAAGTAAATCATCACAAGAAAGAAAAGAGAATCATTAGAATGTGTCTGTAAGTAATCTGGCCTAGTACTAAATTTAGTTCATATAAGCTACCTTTGAGAAGTGCAGCACCATGATTTGGACATACTGAGCAGAGCATGTTCCTGAAATAAATTAGACACAAGGGTTAATTGATATAATCTACACACGGCAAAGAAAAGGCAAAGAAACCACATGCTTATTACCCTACCATGTTTATGCCTGTTGCCTATGTCCAAACCGACGCCAAATATGCTCAATTAAATCAGTTATCAGTTGGGTATGCACAGAACAAGCACGAATAGCAGATTTTCTACGTAGCACATCAGTAAAACATGGATTATCACCAGAAGTTACTTCAGGAGGCAGGACTATTGATGTCCTAGGAATTCTATTGAGGTCAATGTCACATATCGCATCCTCTCTCTCATCTTCAACAATCATATTGGGGAGAATCACACAAGCTAGCATGATTTTCCCAACACTCTTCCGTTTCCACTTCTTCACTGGACAGCGCACAATGTTGAAACGGGCTTGTAACACTCCAAAAGCCTGCTCCACATCTTTTCTTGCCCCTTCTTGACGTTCAGCAAACAATTTATGCTTCTCTGTTTGTGGAAGTGATATAGATTTCATGAAGCTAGCCCAATCTGGGTATATACCATCAGCAAGGTAATACCCATTGTTATACTCATTCCCGTTAACAAAAAAATGAACCCGAGGAGCCTCCCCTCTAACTTGTTCAAGGAATAGAGGGGACTGATTCAGCACATTGATGTCGTTGTTAGAACCAGCGACACCAAAGAAAGCGTGCCAAATCCAAAGGTCATGTGAAGCAACCACTTCAAGGATAATTGTTGGGACTTTGTAGTCACCACGGGTGAATTGGCCCCTCCAAGCTCTAGGACAACTCTCCCACCTCCAGTGCATGCAATCTATACTCCTTAGCATACTTGGAAAGCCACGAGACTCGTTAACCTGTAGTATATGCTCTATATCCTCACTTGTGGGTAGTCGCAAATATATCCTCACTTTAGGGTTTAGGGTTATTGTGGGGAGAGATTGATTTACAGCAAGGGACTAAAAATAATTTTAGATAAAGATCCCAGCTCAGGATATGGTATAGGCATTTTTTTAGTAATGCAGATTAAGTAATAAAACTCACATGCTATGTTTTATGTAAAAAAATGCTACTACAGCCAATGTCATCTGATTCTCATTTTAATCGACATCACGTATACTAACATTCATGAAAAAAATTGTAAAATTTTAACATGGTCCTTAACATAGATCGCAAAAATATCTTTTCAAATTCATTTAACGCACGAACACAATAGTAACAGGCATATAAAATCTGAAATATTAGACAGAACTATGACAAATTCGCAACTAACTTACCATTCTTCAAAATCGTGTTGCAACCCGATGTTGGTCTTGGCAGCCATAGGGAGAGGACATACAGATGAACTCGGCATGGCTTGCGATGGTGGAGAAGCAAACCAAGCTGGCGGTGGGGTGGCGAACCAAGGACCTCTATAAAGATATGGCACTGCCGACGGAGTAGGAACACCAGGAGGATAAGAAGAGCTGGTATGTGGAGGTGGCGCAACCTCCCTCTTCCTCCGGTGAGACATGGCTGTTGGTGGAGAGGAACTAGCGTTTTCGGTACAAATCTGTGGCGTGCGGGCGGGAGAGATTAGCGAGGGGGAAGAGGGAAGGCGGATAGTGGGAGGCGGAGACAGTAAATCTTACCGGATTTTTGGGGCCGGCAAAATAGTAGATGGGGATTTTTTTTCGGTGGATTTGTGTCAGGAGGGGAAGAGATCTTCGCGCTCGAGAGGGGAAGAGATGGTGCGTGTGGGAGGGAAAGAAATGGCGCGCGGCGCGGGAGATCGAGCGCCATCACCCGGGATCGCGCGGGAGATCGAGCGCAATCGCCCGGGATCGCGCGGGAAGGGCGGAGATCGGGCGGGCGCTGGGTGGAGGGGAAAGGGGATCTTGATCGGCTACGGTGGGGAAGGGATCGGCCGCGGTTAGTGGGGTCCACAAATCGTGTTTTTTATCGCCCAGGTAGGCTGCAAGCAAGCGATAGCGCGTGGGAAAGAGAGCTATCGCCGGGCGATAGATTTGTCGCTCGCTCGCTTCTCTCTCATCGTTTCTCTCCCCTCCACATAGGAATATGATGATGTGGCACATTTTTGGAGTCCGTCTAGTCAGCTTATTGTACCTGCTCTCAGAAACATTTTTGGAGCCCGCCTAGTCAGCTTATTGTACCCGCACATTGATGGCCGATATATGTAAATTTAACAAAGAAACGAAAGATGTCCTGCCCTACATTACATTGGCCTGGAATAAAGACAGCTAGCCCAAAAGGTAGTGTGTGTGTGAGAGAGAGAGATATCCTACAGTCCATACCGCAAAAGTTGGACTCCAACAAGCTTTGTTGGCCCGCTACCTTTTCATGCATGGCCATTCTTTCTTGCATTCTCATTAGCTTTTACACTGTCAATCGCATCTCCATGAGGCCACAAGTCCATAAATCATCCAAGAAGCTATCTATTAATATGTTTTTGAATTCTCATTAAATTTTTGTGTCGATCAACTGTTAATGATGTAACAAAAACCGTTAACGATACAAGAGAATTTAGACGTGTTTTTCTACAATTTAGACTTGTATAGGTCGAATTTGAACTTAGCTTAAATCCATATGTCCATAGAGAAATATATCACATATATTAATTCATTTTGCTATTTTTTTTAAAAAAATATCATAGCTATTTGAATGACCTGCGAGCAGGCTTGGAAATTTCGGACTGAAATTTCTGAGATTTCGGTCATTTCGGACCCCTCTGATACGATATTATTTCGGCCAAAATATTTCAATTTTTTTATTTTTTTTCATGAATTTTGGTAATATTTGTCCAAATTCAACTAAAATTATTCAAAATTTCGGTATTTCGGTGACATCCGATCAAATCGACTAAACCGAAAAGTTTAACCCTACTTGCGAGAAATGAGAAAACAAAAAAAAGGGAACTATTCTAAACTCTCAAGGGGATGTTCCATCATTATTTGCATGCCACTTAAATAGTTAAAAAAATAAGAAAATGTATTAACATGTGATATATCACTCCACAAACATGCAACTTAAAATTCACTTTACATGTCACACCGAAAAAACAATATGCCTGTGAATATGTGTTAACTAGTTGTAGTTTAATTTAATTTTTTGTTGCGACACGTAGAAGTTGAATTTAAGATGCATATTTGTGGAGTGATATATCAGATGCTAATACATCTTCTCAAAAAGAATTATTTTTTTGTTAACTCTTTGAGTGTAATGTAAGCAACGAGGGGATATCTCTCGACTATTCGAGAGTTTATAATCCACTTCACTTCAAAAAAAAATCTCACTTTTCATGTCTCGGTAGATCTTGCAGGTTATATATGCTTGTTCTTAGTTAAACCATATCGAATATACGAGATAGATAGATCTCAGTAGTAGTGAAGAGCAGGCGCGCGCAAAAAACAGATTTGAAATAGTTTACTCCAGTAGAAGAAAAAAAAAGAGGTTTGGGGATGCGCAAAAGTTAAGTAGAGACGGTTCCAGATCATCGTTAAGTAAAGCAAAGTAGATAAAGAAAGTAAAAAAGCAAAAGCAAATTAAAGCAGAGCGCTATAGTAGGTTGCAGAGGCGCAAGTAGCTAGGTAGGTCGATGTCGATATATGGAGGCCGGAGCACACAAGAAGAGGAGGCTGGATCAGATGGGAGCTATATATGTTAATTATATTATAGCTAGCTGAATTTGCAAGCACGTACTACATTGTTAGATTTGATCGATCGGTGAGCATGTATAGCCGGCGGGCAGCGGCGGGAGGAGAGCAGCAGCACCTGAGCAACAGGGTGGTGGGATTGGTGAACCTGGTGACGCTTGTGGCGTCCGTCCCCATCATCGGCGCGGGGCTCTGGCTGCAGGCTCACGGCGGGTCATCGCCGTGCGGGTCCGCGCTGCAGGCGCCGCTGCTGGCCATCGGGTTCGTGACCCTCCTCGTCTCGCTGGCTGGCTTCCTAGGCGCCTGCTACCACGTCCCCTCGGCGCTGTGGCTGTACCTCGCCGCCATGCTGCTCCTCGTGCTGGCCCTGCTCGGGATCACCGTCTTCGGGCTGGCCGTCACCGCGGGAGGGGGCGGCACGCAGGTGGCCGGCAGGCCCTACCGTGAGTTCCGCCTCGCCGACTACTCGTCGTGGCTGCAGCGCCACGTGCGGGCGGAGCGGTACTGGAGGCCGGCGCTGGCCTGCGTGCTGGCTGCCAGGGCCTGCGACACCCTCGCCGCCTGGACGCCCCTCGACTACCTCCGCAATGACCTCACGCCCGTGCAGTCCGGTTGCTGCAAGCCGCCCACCGCGTGCACCTACTATGACGATGCCCAGCAGCAGCAGCAGCAGCCCGACTGCTACCGGTGGAGCAACGCCCCCGGCGTGCTGTGCTACGGGTGCGACTCGTGCAAGGCCGGCGTGCTGGAGCAGCTGCGTCGCCACTGGCACAACGTCACCATCCTCAACGTCGTCCTCCTCCTGCTTCTCATCCTCTTCTACTCCTGCGCTTGCTGCGCCTTCCGTAACACTGCCACTGCCACATCCTCCAAGACGATCTTCCATCTCCATCCGCGCTGGGAGTACCGCTGGTATCTACTTTATCTTTGCGCGCGAGAGAGTGAGCAATCATCCATCTCTACTTCTCTAGCTAGCTTGTAATGTAATTGATCTGGTGCGTACGTGTGCAGGTCAAGGTGGTGGCATGGACGAAGATAGCTAGCTGCACTGGTGAAACCAAATTAAGTTTACCTCCTTTGCCTTCAGCAGGATACTTACATAATTTAGGCACACGCGCCGTACCGCTGCTGTAATTAGTTCTCAACGTTTCTCAGGTTTTTTTTTACCTAATTAGTTCTCAGTGTCTCAGTTTGTTCATGTGGATATACATTTACTTATTTTGTTGAGAGAAAGACATGCATGCATCCATCTCAACATTCATGCATTTTAGTATATCAATTGCATGCTTATGTCTTCTCAATTCTGTTGTTGCTCCATTCCTCTCTCTAATATTATCTCCTTTTTTTCCTTTTCGTTTTTTTCACATTTTGTTATGGGATGGTATGGTGGTGAAAAAGGTTGAAAAAGAAAAAGGCATGTGGATTCCCTACGCACATGCATGAGCTTTCCGACACACATGTTGTCGGCGTGCCATACGTGTTCACACGGCGATACATACATTTCGCGCATTAGACCTCCCCCAATTTTGGGGCATTTCAACAAATAAGACACCATATATTATTTGGATTTATGATTGGAAGTGTAAATTGAGTCGTTCTTCCGTCTGGGAGAGGCAGGCGGCATGTGGAGCCGACAATGGGAGGTCACCGCTCGGTCGATGGGCGCCGTTGACGAAGGTAAGTAGCAAGTGTCTTGGAGGATGACTCGGCAAATGGAAAAGGGTGCTCATTAAACACCACATAGCAGGAGATAATAACTTGATTAGAAATATGATCCAGACACCGATATCATTTATGGTATGTGGGATAGCCAAGAGAAATGAACAAGGTGGAGCAGGAGAGAGAGTTTGTGTGGGACAATAGCCGAGAGGTTTGGATAGCATTTACAGTCGAAGACACGAAAATGGTTTAGGATGGGTGGATGCCATTAAACGCAAAGTACGATGTGTGGAACTCTTAGAGTTTTGGTGGGGGTGGCGGTTGATAAAATATACGGTGGTATGAAGGGCCTCAACCCAAGAAGATGAGGGGAGACTTGCCTGGAAGAGTAGGGAGCGCACGATGTTATATATTAACCAAATGACCCATGCTCTCAACGTTGTCATTCTGAGGAGAAATTGGGGGTAGGACACGCGCAACGCAACTCCCTCCGTGAGGAAGAAGGTGCGGGAGGTGGTGTTATCTAACTCGTCACCATTTGTCGTACTGCATACTGTGGATAGTTTTAGAAAACCAAGTCTTGACATAAGCAAATATGTTAGATAAAGTGCGAAAAGTGTCAAACTTAAAACAAAGAGGAAATATCCACGGATAGTGAGAGTAGTCTCAAGTATAACCAAGTAGTATTTATATTTAGAATCACTAGGCACAGGAGAAGTCCACAAAACATATATAGTGAATTAAATCAAAATTGGAGGTAACTCTAGTGAAACCGGTGTGAGGCAAAGAGGTGGTGTCGACTGCCTCTGTGAGGGTAGGGGGGGTCGGTCATGACACGTGATAGAGAGAGATGGCGGCAACATACAGTGCGAGTTAGGGTTTGGAGCGGAAGCGGAAAACATCTAATACCATGAAAAACTGAGTCAACACGATAATTGTTTTAATCACAACCATGAGTACATAGGCATGTACATCCTTATTTACAATCGACCTGTAGAAACAAAATCGAGAATCAAATAAAACCGGTAATAGATAAGATTATAAAACCATATCTCTAATCGTGATCTATTCATTTATATACGTATTTCTTTCTGAGGTGTTGGATTCTTTTAGACCGGTATAGGTTGGATTTGAACCAAGATTGAGGAATAATTACATGAAAAATTATTAATATCAAAGTATGTCATTTAGGGGAATATCAAAGCATGTTTTAGTTTGATATACTCCCTCCATCTATACTTTTAATAGTCATATTTCTAAATCTGAAAAATTTATTTTTGATAGGCATATTTCAATCCAACAACCTATTATCTTAATGATTTTCTCAGATTTAATGCATGACTCTCCATTTTTCCACACAAGATTGGTTACATGGGCATCGAGAAATATATATATATATATATATATATATATATATTAATGAATCGCTTGTTTACGAGGAATTACTAGTAGCATGTTTAAATTGATGATAAGTAGAATTACTTATCCTTGGTCTATATGCTAAGATGAAATATGATTATCAAAACTAGATAGAGGGAGTATTAGGAAAATGCGCATTTGGTCGAACAGAATTACTATTATTAGAGCAAGTACAATAGCAAACTATTAGCCAGCTACAAATATATTTTAATAAGATAAAAGATGAGAGAGAAGAGCAACGGGCTATAGATCCGTAGCCAGTTGCAGCACGGACTCCAAGACGCAATGTGTGTATGACAGGTGGGACCATATACTAATAGTATAGTAAGTAATTATTGTATGAATTAGCTATTAGGGGTGTGTTTGAGGAGAAGGAGATTGGGGAGATTGGGAAGATACGTAAAACGAGGTGAGCCATTAGCGCATGATTAATTGAGTATTAAATATTTTAAATTTCAAAAATGGATTAATATGACTTTTAAAGCAACTTTCCTATAGAAAATTTTTGCAAAATACGCACCGTTTAGTAGTTTGGGAAGCGTGCGCGCGGAAAACGATGTGCTTTCTCACCCTATATCACACAAACGAATGCAGCCTAGATTGACAATAGATGAATTGGAGCTAGTAGTGGGCTATACTATTATCGGCATGTTGTGAGGAAAGGCGTATTTTCGTGAATCCCGTGTTTATTCAGGGGGTAACGCAGAGCAAAACAGACGCCACGCGTCATGTGGTGATTGGTCCTGGCTACGTGTCCCGTTTCCGTCCCAGTTAACTTGTGTACGCGAATGAATGAGAAAATTTGAGTCTAATTTAGCAGGCAGAACTAAGAGAGCACGGCGGCGGCGGCGGCGATGGCGCGGTGGCCGTGGAGGTGGAGGGTGCTGCTGCCGCTGCTTCTCCTTCACTCCTCCCCCGTCTTCGCGCAAGGTACTGCGACCCCCGCTTTCTCTCTCTCTCTCTCTCTTTCTTGCGCGGCGGCGCTTCCTCTTGGCCCCGCCACCCCCAGCCCCAAATGGCAAATACTGCAAGTGAATCATCCATCATACAGATAAGATGAACGCGAGACTCGTCATCTCATTCCACCACAGCAGTGTTCTGCATCCATCTGCGATACCATTGGATCGTTTCTAACACAAGATATTTGGATCTTAGAGCCACCCTTGGATCCTAAATTTAACGGGACCACTGCATCCTAAATTTGCTATTTAACATATTGATTTCATGGATCAGCAATGCCCTAAGTTTCTTTTCACTCCAATTAGCACTACGTCTACACAAAATGGATGTTTCCTTTATGCCTCCTGGTAGACTAAGTATCATTTTTCCCCTCATTTTTTCAGAAGGCCAAGATAATGATCCCTCTACTTTGTTCAAACGAGCCTCAGAAATGATGAACCTAAGGAAATATGATGGATCACTTGGTCTGCTAAATGCTGTGTTGGAGGTTGACCCAAATCACTCAGAAGCTTACAGGCAGCGTGCATCTGTGCTTCGTCACAAGTGCAGGTAAAAAATTTGTGTGTCCGTTACTTTAGTTTATAATCCATTCATGTTTGATTCACATATTTTCCTCAGTTCAAAGTTACTTACCAGAAAAATAATTACTTGCCACCGCCAGAAAGCTAAACTCCCATTTTCTCTTGCCCCAAAAATGTCTAAAGACTTGTACCATTAAAGAACCGTTAAGCTAATATGCCTACTTATAACATTGTCAGTTTTACACGTATGTGTCACCTTTCCGTATCCCTTACTTGTTTCAATGTGTTTTTTCTGAAGTCTAGGTACAAGGAAGCGGAGGGTGACTATAGCAAATACCTGGAGCTAAAACCTGGGAGTTCTTCTGTGGAAAAGGAATTATCTCAACTGCTTCAGGCTCAAAATGCATTAGAGTCTGCTTATGGCCAATTTGAATCTCATGACTTCTCAAAAGTCCTGGAGTACATCAACAAAATTGTGCTTGTTTTTTCTCCAAACTGCTTAAAGGTATATTTCAGAGGATAGTAGGAATCATGGACAGCTAAATATTTCATCTAATTTTGTCTCAGTAAGCTGCAGTACTAAAGATTGATTTTTCAGGCGAAGCTTCTCAAGGCTAAAGCATTGCTAGCACTTGAAGACTACTCAAGTGTTATCTCAGAAACAGGATTTATTCTGAAGGAAGATGAAGATAACCTGGATGCCTTGTTGCTTCGTGGCCGAGCATATTACTACCTCGCTGATCATGATGTTGCATCCAGGTAAAGCGTATCTGGTATTTTAGGTTTGGACAAGTGCATGCTTGTTTGTGCCTGCACACACAAATGCAGTACTAGATAAATGTGCTAGCTTTAAATATTTGTACAGTGATGACAATATTAATTGTTTAGGCACTACCAGAAAGGCCTTCGTCTAGACCCTGAACATTCAGAACTGAAGAAAGCATATTTTGGGTTGAAAAATCTTCTGAAGAAGACTAAGAGTGTGAGTATGATTTCTTTGTATCAACAAATTAGGGGCTTACTGCATCATAGTAATAGGATCAAACGGTGTGCATGCAGGCTGAAGATAATGCTGCCAAGGGTAAGCTACGTGTGTCTGCTGAGGACTACAAGGCAGCCCTAGCAATGGATCCAGATCATACTTCTTACAATGTACATCTTTATCTTGGGCTATGTAAGGTTCTGGTTAAACTCGGAAGAGGCAAGGAGGCTATCAGTAGCTGTACAGAAGCACTCAACATAGATGGAGAACTTGTTGATGCATTAACACAGGTTACATTACTTGCTTGGCATGTACAGAAATACACATTTTTCTAATTTAGAGTTCGTATTATTCGATGTTGAAATTTCCGTGAAAAAAAGAAGGGAATTTCAGTCTGATTGCCCTGCCATTAATGTTGAATCTTGGACTCCTTCCGCACACTGATGCCACATTATTGAGCAAGTTGTGAGCATGCAGACATGCAGTCGCATTAGCCTGTCCTGCTAATTCTGTATTTTAAACCACAAGACTTGGGAAAGCTGCAACTGTTATTCAGAAACCACAAAAAATGTAATTCAGTATGCACAATCAATGTGTTCTGATTTTGTGAGTGAATAAGTGATGCAAAAAAAAAGTAATGTATATTTGTTTGGTAGTGTTGCACCAGGAAACTAAGTTATGCACCAGACAATGCAATTGAATTAGTTGTTATAGCCAGATCTCACTAGTCTGTTACTTCATCTGCTTGTTGTATGTTACCTTCTACTGGTTGCAGAGAGGTGAAGCTAAGCTTCTTACAGAAGACTGGGAAGGAGCGGTTCAGGATCTAAAAGAAGCTTCCCAGAAATCTCCCCAGGCAAGTTTTATGTGGACCTATCTCTTTTTTCCCCTACCCTCCTAGGCAAATGTTAGGGATAAGTGTGCTCATATATCAGCATATCTTCTTTTTTGTCGTTTGAAAACATTCATATTGCTATTTGAGTTCCCATCAAATAATCTGCTTATGTGGCTACGCGGTGTGTTGATCTCATTTTCTTTTAGATTTGGGAACACAATATTTTTAGTGTAATTGTGCTGCAATCAAATTATCATGAAACATAGTTCCAAATGGATGAAACATCTAGTTTTAGTCGATTGGATAGACAATATGCGAAAACAATTATTTGTTTTTTACGGTAGTCATCTGATGATACTTTTACTCCCCGTGATGTATTTCTATTTGCTGCCCTTCTGCCAGCAATCTTTGTTATCCGGTTTTTGCAGCGTGGGATCGTAGGTTGCATATATTTCTCTAGCACCTATGCATGCAATGGATGAGTTGATAAAACTAGATTTGCACATTACTATTGTTAGTACTACTAATAATAAAGTGGGGCACCGAAGAGGAACTTTATGCCAATGTATTTATGAATAAGCAACAGGATCTCATCAAGATCTTAAACTAGCGGAAAAGGTGAGGGCGGTCAGAGTATCGAACATGTGTGAGCCCCGCTTGACGGCTGCCCCTTCCAGCACAGTTCTCAAATAATATTGATAGTTACACAAATTGCTTCTCAGCTATATTACAAATAGGAAGTTAACTTGTTGCTTCCATGTTTCTTTAACATCAGGAATTGAATCCAAAGGTCATGTGCTTTTAATGGAATGCTTTATTAGATTTATCTATCTAGCAGACTTGGTCTCTGCCCCTTTTCTGTATTTTTTTGGTACAAATGTAACAACGGTTTGCACTGTTCATGCTCAGGACATGGGAATCCGAGAAGCACTAATGAGAGCTGAAAAGCAGCTTAAGTTAAGCAAAAGAAAAGATTGGTATAAGATCCTTGGCATTTCAAAGACGGCATCAGCTGCAGATATTAAGCGTGCCTACAAGAAGTTGGCACTGCAGTGGCATCCAGATAAAAATGTAGATAACCGAGAAGAAGCAGAAAACATGTTTCGAGAAATTGCTGCAGCTTATGAGGTATGAATAAACAAAATTGAACCGTACTAAGTATTTAATGTTCTATGAGATGACATTTTCTATTAATATGGTTAATTTAAAATACTCATGCATTCCAAGTTTCTAGCCCTGGTGTTGTACTATGAATAAGAACTAGCTGAAGTGCATTTCATCCACAAAATATATCATGCTAGACACCGCGTGTGTCCGAGAGAAAAAAGTGTCCCAATAACATAAATTCTGGTCACCCATATTTAGCGATAGGCATGTTTGTTTTGAATCAGATCGACATGCTGCAGATGCCACGCGTGTCTTTTAACAATGCGCAATCGGCAATTTGCAGGTTCTTGGGGATGAAGATAAACGTGTAAGATACGACCGAGGAGAGGATCTTGATGAGATGAATATGGGAGGAGGAGGTGGTGGTTTCAATCCTTTTGGGGGAGGTGGTCAGCAATACACATTCCATTACGATGGTGGATTCTATGGAGGAGGAGGATTCCCCGGGGGCGGCTTTCCTGGAGGATTTCAGTTCAACTTTGGATAGAAAGTTACTGTCTGTGGAGTTGGAGTTTGTATGTTTGTTTGTTTTAGGAACGCTGATAAGCTTAACAACAGGTATTGATTGTAGGCAGTCAGGCCGACCGACCGATCGATCAAGATGAGAATCGTATACAAGTGTTGTTTAAGCACCATCAAATTTTCCTTAAGTTGTATCCTTCCTTGGGATTTTCTGACGCATATGATCCAATCGAAATAAACTGAGCCTTACTGTGGAGCTAGCTGTTTCACTTTCACTAGCCAAGGATTTGCGCCGAAACCATAAAAACCGAAGGTCCATTCCATGTATTGTGATCGGAGTCGGCACGCAACAGAAAAACTAACCCAAAAAAAAAACTTAGATCCTCTGAAGAAACATACTGAACCACTCGCTGGACCGTCTAGCCATCAGTCAACCATGAGCGTCATGTCTAACAATCTCCATGTTAACTGTAACATCTGGCTAGCTAACTTTCTCTGTTTTATATTGTATAAGAAGCTTTCTAAAGTCAAACATTTTTTTAAACTTAGATCAAATCTATATAGAAAACATAATAACATTTTAACATAAAACAAATATAATATCAAATTATATTTAATAAAATTAATTAGGTGTTTTAAATGTTGCTAAGCTTTTCTATAAAAATTATTAAACTTAAGAAAAATTGACTTAAAAAAAGTCAAAATGTCGTATGATATGAAAGGGAGAGAGGAGGTTTAAAGTGATTTGGAAGTCAAGCATGCAACTCCTCCTGAGAAATTTTTATTTGATGATCGATCGATGTTTGAACAAAGTCTGAAAATGAATGCTCCTAATTTGGGGGCCTACGGCTGCAGGAGGCCAGGGCCATGAGGGAGTAGGCGAGCTGCGCAGTATGGCGCTGCACCTCTTCCCTCACCATCTGTCGCATCACCTGCAACATGACACGCGATGCCGATGATGATCTGCTGCTGCCGTCTTGGATCTCAGAAGCAGCTGCCAGTGCCCTGGGCGGCGGCGGTGCCACCTCAACCTCAGCAGCAGCAGCAGCGGCGCCGGGCAGGGAAAGGCTAAGGCTCAGGGTCAGCGACGGTAGTGTCTCCTGGGCCTGGGCCTGGATGATGGCGGGCGGCGTGACCGGCCGATCTGCAGGCTCGTCGTCGTCGTTGAGCACGACGATGCAGTCAGGTGGAATATTAATTGGATCGGGCAGCAGATCAGGGTCCTTGGATTTGAATTTGGCTTGGCGGCGGAGGCACCTCCGGAGGTTGGAGTTCCAGTGGTTCTTGACGGAGTTGTCGGTGCGGCCGGGGAGGAGGCGGGCGATGGTGGCCCACTTGTTCCCGTGGCGGGCATGGGCGGCGGCGAGGAGGGCATCCTCTTGCGGGGTGAAGGGGCGGTGCTGCACGGCCGGGCTCAGCTGGTTGCACCACCGCAGCCGGCACGACTTGCCGGAGCGCCCCGGGATGGCGCCGCTGATGATGCTCCACCGGTGGGGGCCATGCTGCGCCACCAGCCTCGTCAGCAGCGCGTCCTCTTCCGCCCTCCACGACCCCTTCTTCCTTGTCTTGCTACACATCCCCATTTACCTTCACTTCAATTCCCTAGCTAGCTCCCCTCGCTCGTCGACAATGCAAGCGCGCTATATATCGCACTTCATTACCTACTGCCTGCAACGTCCGGGCAAAATTAAAGCAAGCAAAAGTAATAAGTCCATTAGCAAGTAATTAAAGTATGACGCACGTATGCATACGTGTATGGGCGTCTGGACGATGCGTAGGTGCGGCCATGTCGCCTAGCTAGCTAGCTAACTCGTATATCGCACGCACGCATGCATGCACCGATCGATCGATGCTGTCTTGTTCCTACCAAAACGTACACTACGCTTACTCGATCGATCACGTAGTATTCGTTGATTCTTTCTTGGTCGCTCGATCGTTTTGGGTTAATTGCAAATTGAGATTATATTGGTCCTAGCTAGCGAGACAGATAACGACTACACGTCGATCGTACGCAGGTGCGACGCCACAGGGATACTGAAAAAGGAAAAAGTACGTACTATTGGATGCATGCGCTTCAAAGGGAGATAGAGATAGCTACGTCGAGGTGGCGAGCTAGATTACAAGAACACGGACGGACGATCGATGTGCCACGCCCGTTTGTGAGAAAAGCTAATTTAACCAGCAGGGGAAAACGGCATGCATGCACATCGACCATGCATGCCTAAATTACAAACAGTACCAGAGGTAATATATAATTTTCTTTCATTCTTTAATTTATACCAGCTTAATTGCCGATCGAATTCACCACCGGGAAGTTATTTGTCAAAATCTCTTTGATGAATGGCCAATATATACGCTATATATAGAAACATCTTTATTTTTTCTAACTGCTAAGAGAAGACCCGTATGTAAAAATAAGGAGGTGCCCGCTTTTGTCATCCAACGCTACAGAGATAAAGAGAGAGGGGTCGACTGATATATGTCTATTGAGTTGGTTTTCCCTTCTTTTATTGTCACATAGACGATGTAGACCAAGAAACAAATCTTATAGTTGGAGATGGACTTATTCCCGGCTGAAAACACACTGGCCCAGCAGGCCATCGTCTTCGCTAGGCCGGGCCATCCTCTTCTCGCGGCCCAGCAACCCAGCTCCCCTCCTCCTCCACTCCACTCCGGCCCGGCAGCGCACGTACACCAGCTGCTCGTGCAAATGCGCACCAGCGCCGCCCGACCTCATCCGGCGCCAGATCGCCCCGCCGCCAAACCAATCTTTCCTCGCGGCGGCGTTTGGTCGGCGTTATGTAGGGTAGGTCCCGCCGGCAGCGAGGAGTAGCGGGCGCGATGCGTCACCGTTCTCTTGCTGCTGCTGCTTCTGCTTCTGCGCCGCCACCACAAATGCCGCCCTCGTTCCACTTCCATTGGCGCCACCATGCTGCTCGTCGCCTCTCCTCCACCACCGCCTGCCTCCATCCACCTCCACTGCAACCTCCTCGAGCGTCGGCGTCGGCGTCGGCGTCGCTCCTCCTCCAGCTACAGGACCACATCGCCAGCGGCCACCTCTCCCGCGCTCACCACCTGTTCGATCAAATCCCCAGCCCGGACGTTCGCACCTACAACGACCTCATCCGAGCCTACTCCTCCTCCTCACCGACCGCCGCTGCGGATGGCCTCCACCTATACCGCCGTATGCTCCGCCACCGCGTCGCCCCTAACAACTACACCTTCCCCTTCGCCCTCAAGGCCTGCTCTGCGCTGGCCGACCACCACTGCGGCCGCGCCATCCACCGCCACGCCATCCACGCGGGCCTCCAGGCCGACCTTTTCGTCTCCACCGCCCTCCTCGACATGTACGTCAAGTGCGCTTGCCTACCCGACGCCGCCCACATCTTCGCCACCATGCCCGCCAGGGATCTCGTCGCCTGGAACGCCATGCTTGCCGGCTACGCGCACCATGGCATGTACCACCACGCGGTTGCTCACCTCCTCAGCATGCAGATGCAGATGCATCGGCTCAGGCCCAACGCCTCCACCCTCGTGGCGCTCCTTCCGCTCCTTGCCCAGCAGGGGGCGCTCGCCCAGGGCACCAGCGTCCACGCCTACTGCATTCGTGCCTGCCTCCACCCCAACCGCAACAGCAAGAGCAAGCTGACGGACGGGGTGCTCCTCGGCACCGCGCTCCTGGATATGTACGCAAAGTGCGGGAGCCTGCTCTATGCTCGCAGGGTGTTCGATGCCATGCCTGCCAGGAACGAGGTCACCTGGAGCGCACTTATCGGAGGCTTTGTGCTGTGCAGCAGAATGACCCAGGCCTTCCTTCTGTTCAAGGCCATGCTAGCCCAGGGCCTCTGCTTTCTTTCTCCCACTTCCATTGCCAGTGCTCTCAGGGCCTGCGCCTCCCTCGACCATCTCCGTATGGGTGAACAGCTGCATGCTTTGCTTGCTAAATCTGGTGTCCACGCCGACTTGACTGCAGGGAACTCACTTCTCTCGATGTACGCCAAGGCTGGCTTGATTGACCAGGCAATAGCTTTGTTTGATGAGATGGCCGTCAAGGACACTGTCTCCTACAGTGCGCTTGTATCAGGGTATGTGCAGAATGGCAGGGCAGAGGAGGCGTTCCTTGTCTTCAAGAAGATGCAGGCATGCAATGTAGAACCAGATGCTGCAACAATGGTCTCGCTCATCCCAGCTTGCTCACACCTGGCGGCTTTGCAGCATGGAAGGTGCAGTCATGGTTCTGTCATAATCCGTGGACTCGCATCAGAGACTTCTATATGCAACGCGTTAATAGATATGTACGCAAAGTGTGGGCGGATCGATCTCTCCAGGCAGGTTTTCAACATGATGCCATCTCGGGATATTGTGTCATGGAATACTATGATTGCAGGATATGGAATCCATGGACTAGGGAAAGAAGCCACTGCATTGTTCTTAGAGATGAATAATCTAGGTTTTCCACCAGATGGTGTCACATTCATCTGCTTACTTTCGGCTTGCAGCCATTCTGGACTTGTGATTGAAGGGAAGCACTGGTTTCATGTGATGGGACACGGGTATGGTCTAACTCCCAGGATGGAGCACTATATCTGCATGGTTGATCTTTTGTCAAGAGGTGGTTTCCTCGATGAAGCCTACGAATTTATCCAGAGCATGCCACTGAGAGCAGATGTTCGTGTGTGGGTAGCCTTGCTTGGAGCTTGCCGGGTTTATAAGAACATTGATTTAGGAAAGAAGGTGTCAAGGATGATCCAGGAGCTAGGGCCCGAGGGCACCGGCAACTTTGTTTTGCTGTCCAACATATACAGCGCTGCTGGGAGATTCGATGAGGCGGCGGAGGTTCGGATAATACAGAAGGTACAGGGTTTTAAGAAGAGTCCAGGCTGCAGTTGGATTGAGATAAACGGCTCCCTACATGCATTTGTTGGGGGAGACCAATCTCATCCACAATCACCTGAAATATATCGAGAGCTGGATAACATTCTAGTAGGTATTAAGAAACTGGGTTACCAGCCCGATACCAGTTTTGTTTTGCAAGATCTGGAGGAAGAGGAAAAGGAGAAGGCACTCATCTGTCATAGTGAAAAGCTAGCTATAGCCTATGGTATCCTGAGTCTTAGTGAAGATAAGACCATTTTTGTTACTAAGAATCTCCGCGTTTGTGGGGACTGTCATACTGTAATCAAGCACATAAGCTTAGTGAAGCGCAGGGCTATCATTGTACGAGATGCTAATAGGTTTCATCATTTCAAGAATGGGCAATGCAGCTGTGGAGATTTTTGGTGACAACACAACGCGTGGTTCAGCTACTGAGCTACGGATTACAATCCGAATCTTGATTTTGAATTTTATAGTTCGATTCAATGATTAATTTTTATGGATTATCTTCACCACTTTCGTTGCTTTGGCTCTCTTTTCATGACCTGCTGAAGAAAAATATAAAACACTACAAAATATTTTTAAAAAACTTTAAAATTCAAAAGCGCTTTGGATAATGAATATTGTTATATTTCATGACCCTAATCAACCATGTAGAAAAAATTGACAAATGCAATCAAACTTTCTTTATTTTTTTTTTAAAAAAGAAAGGTCATAGACCAGCCTTATATTGAAAGCCACAGTGGCAAGGGTTTAGGTTTCTGGGGTTAACAGCTTTATAGAACACAAAAGCAAAAGATCTCATGGCATAGGAAGGAATAGATGACAAGCAAGCATTTAACTGTATAGCTCTGCCAACATGAGATAAGTTCCCACATTCCAAGTATCTAATCTTTCCTCAAGGGGTGTTCGGATCTAGGGAGTAAACTTTAGAGTTTAGTCCCTGTCATATCGGATGAATTTGGAGTATTAAACATAGACTACTTATAAAACTAATTACATAAATGAGAGCTAATTCGTGTGACAAATTTTTTAAGCCTAATTAATTTATAATTAGCGTATGTTTACTGTAACATCACATAGGCTAATCATGGATTAATTAGACTCAATAGATTTGTCTCGCGAATTAGTTCAGGGTTATTGAATGGGTTTTATCAATAGTCTACGTTTAATATTTATAATTAGTGTCCAAACATCCGATGTAATAGGGGCTAAAAAGTCATCTAAACAGGGCCTCAAGTTTCTGCCATAGGAATACAAACAAACAAGGCATCTATTTGTAGCTAAAAGAACTCCATTGCCAAATATTTGATTTGGTTGAACTGGCACATTTACCAAAATTTCATATCACCTAGGATATTCAGTCTTACGAAAACTTCGACAGCATAATCACCGAATATTGTGCAGTGCATATGAACTATTATATTTATGATGTCGTATTACCAAATTGCCCGTCTAGCTCAGTCGGTAGAGCGCAAGGCTCTTAACCTTGTGGTCGTGGGTTCGAGCCCCACGGTGGGCGATTATATTATTAATTTTTGTGCCTCAAATTTCCTAATAAAAATCACTCCAGTCGCATATAAAAATTTGCAAATCCGCCTCAAAACCCTTATATCCTTTTCCACCTCGAATCCCTAATAAAAATCACTCCACAACTCCAGTCGCATATAAAAATTTGCAAATCCGCCTCAAAACCCTTATATCCTTTTCCACCTCGAATCCCTAATAAAAATCACTCCACAATCACAGATAATTCTTTTTTTTACAAATCTACCTCAAATTCCTGATCTCCTTTCCCGCCTCGAAATTTAAAAATCCGCCTCAAATCTCTAATCTCCTTTTCCACCTCAAATCCCTAATAAAAATCACTCCACAATCATGTATAAAAATTTACAAAACCGCAAATCCACCTCAAATCCATGATTTTCTTGCATATCATTCTGTGAGCATAATCTCCTGCATTATTAATTTGGGATTATGTGTGTTCTATGTTTCCGATGGACGATTGATTATAGATGTTGAGTTTGTGACAATTACTCGAGTAGATTAAATATTAGAAGGTTGATAAGTTTTTGTTTTTTCTGGCAAAGGTTGATTGTAGGTGAAAATGTTCTGGAAAAATCATAAACTTAAGGGGCTGTTTGGATGCCCACCTCAATTTACCACAGTTTTTATACCAAAGGTGTGGCAAGATGCAAATTATGTGGCTCAAAATTTGATGGCCACACTTGTGGCAAACTTTAGCTAAGAAAAGAGTCTATGACTAGTGGGACCAAAAGAGTAGAAAGGACCAAAAGAGTAGAAAGTGTGGCATGCCAAAGTTATAGAAACAAACCAAACACTAGCCACATTTCGTTAAACTAACATACCTCAAGTATGGTAAAATGTGACACTAACCAAACAGGCCCTTAGCCACAGAAAGGGCTAAGCTGCTGTTGCCTTGAGGAGCCCTTGTCGAAGAAGCAGAAAGCAAAGGATCAGCCAGCATTCAACTGGGCTTTGAACAAAACTGCGGGGCAGGTTTGTTCTGCTAGATTTTGTTTCTTTACTGTAACATTGACAAACCTTGCTTAAGCATTTATTCTGATTACAAGTATTGAACTTGAATCATGCTTTGGAGTTTGGAGCATTTGATTGAACTCCATCCGCATATTCTGCCCACCTGGCTAGCTGCTTTGCTCATGTATTGGATGGGAATTTCCAGTTTTGACGTTCGTGGGACATGATTTTTCTCAATCACATACTGTACAGCTGTTTGGTTGCACACTTGTACTGTTGGGTTGAACTGAACATAGCAATTTGTGCCAAAATTTATGTCCTTCCTGGGTTTAGTTGCCTGGCTTAAAGCAGGCTAACACCCCTACTACTACCTTTTTCTCCTTTTTTTTTTTATTTTTAGCATCCCGGGATGGCTACCACGTAATTTCTTTTACAACATGCTCCCTGGTTGGGCAGTTGGAACCGGTAGCATGCGGTTCAAGTTTGGTACCTCCCACCCCATGTGTCTGGTCTCCCCCTACATGCATGCCACGCATGCACTAGCAATTTTGCAAAGGGTAGCTTTATCTATATGTATTTTCAAATTCATTATATATAGGGAGAAAAAAAGACAAAATTCTAAAAGATTTATATTGAAAAACTATCTAAATTTTATCTTTTTAACGACTAAAATACAATGAATTTGAGATTAAGATTTTACACATAAGTGTGATGCTATTTTAAGTACTTGTACAATTTTTCCTAGATTTTTTTTGATAAAGTTTGTTACTCCCTCTGTTTCAGGTTATAAGATGTGTTGACTTTAATCAAAGTCAAACTGTTTTATAGACAAATATAGTAATATTTACATTACCAAATTAGCTTTATTAAATTAATATTAAATAATTTTTATAATAAATTTATCTTGGGTCAAAAATATTATTATTTTTATCCAAAAACTTGGTCAAACTTAAAATCAAAGTCAAAACATCTTATAATCTGAAACGGAGGGATTTGTTCGTTCGGGTTGGGTACCCACCTCCTCCGCACGAAAAACGGAACGATCCATTAGCACGTGATTAATTAAGTATTAGCAAAAAAAATTTTCAAAAATGGAACCGTTCTCCCTCTTCTTTTTTCCATCTATGTATAAGGTCAATATAATTTTTTAAGCAACTTTTGTATACAATCTTTTTGCCAAAAACACACCATTTAGTAGTTTGAAAAAGCGTGCGCGCAGAATACAATGGAGAGGGGTTGAGAACACAGAGCAAAGAGTATAGCGAACTACAACATCCAAAACATCAATAGCCAATTTAATAGTAAATTCATATAATAGTTATTTACTATACTATTAATATCTAATATCTAGTCCCGCATTCCATACGCTCGTTACGTCTTATAGTCCGTGCTGCAGCTGGCTACAGATTCATAGCCCACTGCCCTTCTCTCTCCCTTTTTATATCTTTAAAATATTAAATTCATATAATAGTTATTTACTATACTATTAATATCTAATATCTAGTCCCGCATTCCATACGCTCATTACGTCTTATAGTCCGTGCTGCAGCTGGCTACAGATTCATAGCCCACTGCCCTTCTCTCTCCCTTTTTATCTCTTTAAAATATATTTATAGCTCATAGCCCACTGCTCTCCTCTCTCCCTTTTTATCTCTTTAAAATATATTTACTGCCCTTCTCTCTCCCTTTTTATCTCTTTAAAATATATTTATAGCTCATAGCCCACTGCTCTCCTCTCTCCCTTTTTATCTCTTTAAAATATATTTATAGCTGGCTTATAGCCTGCTATTGTACCTGCTCTAATGGAGTACACGAAAAAGCTGGTGTGCGTCTAGTTACCCAATAGGCACGGCATACTAAACCATATCAGCAGCACACGTGTTTCAGGAGTTTGATAGACAACTTATTACTAAGCTACAGGTGATAATTATCGCATTTTGAATTACGGGACAACGGAGACACATGAACTACATATTTTTATCTAACCTTCATTAAATTTGTAAGACAAAACATAATAACTACGGAGTATAAATTTAAATTTCTACGGTGCAAAAAAAAAATAGGCATAGCGCAGCACAGCCGGACTAGAAAGGAGTTTGGCACAAGGGACACGTTGATTTGTTGGATGTTGAGAACCACTTGTAGAGGCAAGCACCATGAAACTTATGCCTGCACGTCTTGCAAGCCAGCCGGGGAAGGCTGTGGTTGCTCGTGTGCAGAATGCTGTAACAGATTGGGCATTCCTCCACCCCCTCAAACTCCTTGTCAAAATTGCTTTTCCAAGTGTGGATCGCCTCTGCTATTGCGCCGTTCTGTACACACAGGAACATAAGCTTAGAGACAAATATTACTGATGTACTAAGAACATTGTTCTTTTATTCTGATGGAAGGTATTACCTGGTTGCGTACGAATGCCGTGAGAGAAAGCAACCATTTTCTGCACTTCACTTCACTGATGCCCAAACTTCTGGTACATTCAACATCCACATGGCGCAGAGGGTAACAGCTCGGGAGGCGTATGACAAGATCAATTCCTGTCTCCTCCTTCTTGTATGTAGCAACAATTTCGTACGCCGAGCGGTTAACACTAACTGAGAAATTATCATCAGCATACAGAGAGTCCTTGACCTGTAAGATGGGGTAAAATCATTTTGTAAGGTAGGTTCCATGGATCAATTTGACAGTAAAATATCAATGTACCACCAATTTAGTGCAAAATCGATTCTGATTGGAGATGAAAATTCACAATTAACGAAATGAATAGAGCCAAAAAGTACAACTTGAAAGTTTGAACTGCTTCTGGTAAAAAAAGAAGTTTGAACTGCTTCAACACGTGGTTGTATCATAACCCTCCCGCATATGGAAACTTTTTAATATCTTTTCTCTAAATTTCAAAGTGGTTTCCACCTTGATACCCCTCCAGTTTGGTATAGAACAGAGAAGTAATATGCCCAAAGCAGCCCGAGGGTTGGCTAAAAAAGTTATAAACATTCTTTTTCACAATGAAATAACATACTGTGTCATAATATAGTGTCCAGGGTAGGCCTGTAAATAGACACTCGAAAGGGCTGAGTACTGGATAAAAAATTAAATATGCATATTTTTTAAACAAAAGTGTAATACCTGAGAAAATTCATCAAGTAGAAGAGGAGGACTGCACCATGCTCTAGTGAAGGACTCGATTGAGGATGACAATGAACGATCTCTTAAACTAGTAAACCATGTACGCACATAGGAAGGCAACAGCCTAATCATCATCCCATACAGTCCCCCTGCAAGTGAGGCCATTTGCCATGTCCCAACTGGCCAAAGGGATTCAATGCATGGGAGCAGTGAACATGTAATTATGGCATTCTTAGAAGCTTGCGCAGCAACTTCTGCTTCAGGCATGAGTTCAGCATCTTTTTTCTTTCCACAAGGTGCACCAGTCCTTAAAGGAATATGCTGGAAAATGCAATCCAATATACATGGACTAATCTTATCTTGTATATATTGAAGTACCCTTTCCCTAGTAATGGAAGCTGGTGGTAGTAATTGCAGGTGGGACAACAACAATGACCAGGCAATGAAGGCATCAACCTAGGGAGAGAAAATATAAGCCATCAGTTCACGAACTAGAAAACACACCTGCTGAAATTTATTAATATACATACCCTATCATGGGCTAACAGATCTGTCTGGAGAAGTTCAGAAGTAGGCATCTCAATTAACGATGAGAGTTCTTCTCTCAGATCTAGTGTCTTCTCTGAATCTGGCATCAACTCAATACTTTGTCCCATGCAAGATTCCTGAGTCAGTGGTCTATTTGATCCCAGAGAACACTCCTTTATTAGTGAAAATTGACAGAGGGGTTCAGAAAGAAGTAGAGAATAAGCAGCAAACTGCAGATGAGAGATTGGCTGTGAAGAGAACAAAATTGAATATAGCCCACTGACTGAGCCCTTCGCGAGCCCCCACAGTTCCATCGACTCCAGTGCACATCTTCTAGTCTGTGGTGAAGCATAAATGACAAATGATGCCACAAGTTCCCAGAAATGCATATAAGCAACGCGACTGGAAGCTATGATGGATGAAGCCTCTTCACAAGAAGACTTTGCAATTGCCTCTGAAACACCAGAAGCCAAGAACAAACGAAGCATACTTTCCATCATATTGTTATTTCTATCAGCAAAATCCCCTGATTTAATAATTTGCAAACTCTGGAAGTTCTCCGTTTCTTGGATATCCACGAGATGGTTGAGGTGACACAGTGTAACCAAAGCGAATTCACCGAAGCTTAAAGTTAACTCATCTATAGAGCTAACCACTAATTTAAGCTTCTCCAAAGTATCTTCATTTGATTTCTGGTTTATTACAGCATCATTGATGGCATCTGTCATTTCTTCCACAAGCAAAACAGCTGATTCAATCCACTTCTGTACTGTATGAAACACAAAATGCAAATCATTTTCCTGAAGTTCTGTCCAGCAATAGCCAACCATAACTGCTATCAGTTTCACCCCCAATAGTTCAACCATTGTTGACAGGGTAGTTCCACTGGTGGACAGCGACGGAGCTTCAATGGCACAGAAAATCTTGTACTTCTGAAAAAGAGTCAGCAATAATGATCTTTCTGTATCACTGATCTCTCGTTCAATCTTAACTTCTAGTTTCTGGGTTCCACATGTTATATTCAACGGGAAGCAAGACAACACCACTTGCATCCAATCAACAATGTCTGCCAAATATTATAGATCATATGAAATGACTGTAAAGCAGTGTTGTACTAGTACGACCAATAAAAGGTTTCAGTGTTAGCTTACCTTGTTGAAGTACTTCCCTCGGGCTGGATGATAGGCAAGAGATGGCTACATCAAGCCAACTCAGTATGTTTTGCCCCACCAAATCAGTGTAACAAGAAGCTTCATTTAATTTCAGTTTGCCTGACAACGGTTTGATGATTGTACTCATGACAAAGGGAAGAGTCTTTACACATTTTCTATTTACTGTGGAACCAATAAAAAGATTGCTCAGTAGTTTCTCAAAAAATACAAGTGCCTCGGATTCTCTCCAAATACACTCATTGATGCTATTGATACTAAATAGCAAAGCCACAAGAGCACGTAGAAAATGATCTTGAATTTTCTCAATCTCATTGTCAGAAATGTGCCAAGCATTGAACAGTACCCACTGGTTACACTCATGAAAAGCTCCTTCCAACAATGTGTCAAGCAATATGGACAATATGCTGACCTCTGCACATGATTCCATTTTCAAGTGCTGAATCATAGAAGGCAAGAATGTGCTGAATACACTCCCCCCTTTCCATTTCCAAGTGCAAAGAATCTCAGCAGCAACCCATGCTCTAGACAATGAAGGAACAGTTGAAGTAGTATCAATTGATTGTGATGTGTTGTAACATGTATTTCCTGGAACACCTAAGATCACTTCACCAAAGCCAAGGTTAAGAACAAGCTTGTCAACAAAAGCAACAAATTGATGGTGTTTCAGTCCCTGCAACAAAGGAAGTAACTATGTATTAAGTTCATTTACTTCACAAAATAGCAACGACTAACAACGGCCATAAACTATATATTTCTTCTGTCAGGCATTACGCTTTCACAAATTCCAGAACACGAACAGAATTTGTAAGAATGGCAGTAAAATACATGAATGCCTGCATTTATTATATTATGTACAAGAAAATGCACTAGTTTTGGTAACTTGAAGGGAAAATAAAGACAGATTCTTACCGTTTCATTTGTAATAACTGGCTCAAATTTGATCTTCACTGGTGCATTCTCATTTTGTAAAGATGGTTTCACCCAGAGTGGCCAATATTCTCCCTCAGATAAAAGAAGATAAAAAAAACTCTGCAATTTTGTGTGATCAAGAGAGATGAGCTTCAACATGTTCACCATCCACTCTGAGCATAAGACTGATGTGCTCTCAGTTGGCAACTCTAGTGTCTGAAATAAAGCACACCTGACAGATTGAGCTAAAATATTTAACAAATTATTCAAGGTGAATGGATGAAGATCACTCCAAAAGGATGGACTTAAGCTTTGGCAAAAGGTATGTATACTCTCTGCAAGGTTAGCTTTCAAATGTATTCCCTCATCCAAATGATCATCTGAACTGTTGCATGCAGAAGACCCAACATCAATATCTTCTTTATAACCTTTCAAGTCATGTTCTTCATCGAGTGTTAAGGCCATGCTATATTCCCATTCAATGATAAACAGAGCTGCCAGAACAGAAGGAAATAAAGAATCTTCCTCTAGTCTTCTCAGGGCAAATAAGCTACCCTCAAGAACTTTGAAAGCAAAATGAGCCATCTTAATGTTTGATGAAAAGGATTGTGCTCCTATAACCTTCGAGTCCTTTGGTTCAGTAGGCAATAACACCACATATGCAAACCTTGCCCACTCAAAAGTTGATGTCATGAGTACTGATGTCAAACACTTCAAAATGGACCCGAGCATTTTGTGGACAGTATCAGCAGAAAGAAAACAAATTTGGTCATCTTGATCTGAGCCACCAAGTGCAGCACTGCAATTTCACATATCAAACCCACATCAGCAACATATTACACAGGTCGGTCTACCACCACTATGGCAATCATATTAAACTAATTTTCAAAGTTTTGGTTGTTGCCTAATCCAAATGAACTAGTTCTTTTTTCTGTTTGATGTTTAGGAGTTAACAAGTGTTCTTATTATTTTGATATCTGTAATCCTTTTTAGGCCTGGGCAGCAAGGCTGCAGCAACAAGAAAGTGTGCACAACTCTATCATCAAATGGATTTAATGGGTAACACGAGAAACGATTTTAGTAGGGGTACGAGGTATTCTTGTATTTTATAGTAAGTGTGCACAACTCTAACATCAAATAAAATGGAACAATTCGTGTACAACTTATAATGGTTAAGCGCAAGTGTGCATCTCATAAGAAATATGAAGAAAAACCACCACATAATGTGCCTCAACAAATGGGCCAAATCCAAATTAGAAGCACATACCATACATAATGGACATGGGAATCTGTAGCAGGCAAATCACAGAAGACAGATTCTGCAGCAGAATCTAATAGGTCATGCCGCCAATGTTCTGGTAGAGAGCCATTTTTCTGCAAATTTCTCAACTTGCCCCCAGCAATTCTTTCTCTTACCTTTTGAAGTATAAGTGTCAGCAATTCAAATTGGTCATCAACGTGTGAGTTCTTATTATCAACAGGGTGCTTTTGCTTAGCACTAGTATATTTAATAATCGTACACCACTGGTCAAAGAAGCACTCATCTATAATTAAAGAGAGCAACAGATCGATCTTTGAGCTACAAGTACTATATTTCCTATCCAAACACCAGGGGACAAAGTCACCATTGAACACATCCAGATAACCTTGGACAGATTCCTCACTCTCTTTCTGTGAATTCTTCAAGAACAAAGGGACAGGCCTGAATATTTCAACCAAAACTGATAGAAGTTTAACAACAATTGGAGTGTCCTGCATGAAAGCAAAACATTTTAGAATATCAATCTGGCTGGTAAAAAGCGCTTGTTTGCATATAATAGCATAAATTCACAGCATATCTTTATCTTGAAGCTCATGTTGTTGTTTGCATTATATATGTTGACAATTCATAGAAGAAAATTGAAGCAATTGGACTTCTATAAAAGGAGAAAATTTTATGTGAATGATGAACCCCAAATATATATAGCATGGATGGCAGTTCCAGAAGATCTTAAGTCACTTGCTCTGCCTGCAGCTAGGTAGAGCTGATCCTGTTCCAACAGAATTTTGACCCACAATGATCTCTAGTTCATAGGGCTGTATCCCTACTTACCTTCTGGATCTATAACAGAAATCATTTGTAGACAAATGGAAAAAGACCAGCTTTTGTAAAGAAATGTAACACTTGCAAGCATTAAAAATAATATATAAATATATTCAGAGTACACTCAGCAATCCCTAATGTTAGACTTCAATGGATCTTTTTTCAAACCTGCTCTGCTCCCATTTCGAGTCAAGAGAGTCATGCTGGAGAGAAAAGGTCAAAAATTCGAATTCATTGGCATAGTATAAATATAGATAAGTTCAATAACAGCAAAATTATTTGGCAAATGTATACTCAACCCTGCTAGATACTCAAACTCTACTCTTCTTACACAAGTAGATGAATTGACTGAAAATAAAGCAATAGAAGGCTGGGATCAGATGTGTTAGTGAAGTAACGAAAATAAAGTTGACTCTTTCAAGAAGTATATATGCAAGTGTTATTGCAACAGAAACACACCTCAACAAGAAGTAAACAGAAGGAATGAATTCAACACTTGAGCTTACCATAGACTTGATAGCTGGCACAGATTGTTCAATCAGTGGTCTTGCTAAGCTTTCCAATGGCCATGTTTTACCTTTCTGTACAATGAGCTGATCCAACGAAATAAAAAAGGACACAACTTGTTCCACATGATACTGAAAATTTGGCAAACTCTCCCTTTGATGGATTATATCCAAACAGTCCTTCAATAGAGTCTCACAAGCAATATTTAACAAATGATTTTCCATAGCTGAAATCTCATCCAATATTTCAATGATGCATTTCCCCAAATCCTGAAGATAATAAGTTGGGTAGCGTGTGCTTGATGCCAACAGTGACTCCTTATGAGATAACTGACAATCACCACTGATTGCTTCATCAGACAATCCACTCAAACTAATATCCTGGTTTTTGGAAGATGGTATTCGAAGGTAATCATGCCAAACAACTTTTGCAAGAAAGTAAGTTATGAGCTTGATAGGAATATCATCCGAAGAACCTCCTCCAGAATGTCTGGGAAACAAAATTACGCAGAAACTTCAGAACTTACAAAGTAAATGAAAACAAATAGTAAAGAAAAAGGGTACCTCGGTAGAACTTTTAGAAGCCACAAGAAACTCTGTTTAAAGGTAGTAAAGAATGCCAAACTGTCAGCAGCTGATAATTGCCTCTGGTTTCTTCCAGCCCAGAGATTATGTAAGAAGTCAAAAACAAATTGCTCTGTAGTTACAGCTTTAGATGGTATAGACTCCAAAAACTGAACCAGGAGAGGGTATGAGGCTTGCTTGGATCCATAGCATCCATTTTGTAGAAAGTGCCAAAACCGGCTGAAAACAACCTTGTGAATGTTGCAATATGACCAAGCCTCTGGAAACCTTCTAGAGAAAGCAAGAAATGCATCCCACATAGAGGAGTGACATGATGGGTCCTTTTCATTGAAGGCACCAAGTAAAGCAGGAGATAGTACCTTCATGGCTTCTTCATTGAAAACATGAGAAACATGTTTGATATAACTTGCAAGCAGTGAGTATGTGGCAGACCGTATAATCGCACTTTTTGACTTGAGGAAATCAAGAAAATATTTATTCATAGAAAATGCAGATTCAGCAGAAGACAATGTGCCAGATAGAACTTTTGAAAGACTCGTATTTTCAGAACTGGAATTGTCACGGACACAATTTTGTAATTTTACACCTAGCAAAATGTCAATCAGAGTTGCCATTGCTAACAATGATGATGATATTACCTATAGAGTTTGGCAAAAAGAAGGCAACCATTAGTAGAAGTGCAGTAGAAATTACAAACAGAATGTTTGAAATCCATAAATCAAATATCATTTATACGCATAATCGAAGATAACTGAACATAAAGAATACTCTTCAGAAAATTTCTTTCATGCGGCATGCACTTTTTCCAAGAGAATATGAAGCACAGATGATAATTGTTAATGTAGGCAGTACATGTAGCATTAGTTGATGAGATACAGAGGAAAAGGAAGAAATTAAGGTTGTCAATATGGTTACTGTGCCCAACCTTTTTTTTTTTGGGGATTAGAGTCATCAACCATCATTAGTATCTAGAACTACAAATTCCATTTCCAATAATCACCAGTAGAGAAACAACTAAATAACAAGGTGAGTCCATGGGTGAGCATATATTGACATGAGCAAAGATTTTTCTTCAATAGGCCTCACACCTTTTTGCTCAATTTGAAAGACAACCAAGTTTGGCACATTTTTACATCGTAACCATGTTGTACCAAAACTACCTGATGCTGTATTGCATAAGATACTAAGATAATATAATTAGGATCATTCCCATCTAGTATAAGTAGACTTCTAAACTTCCCAAAAGCTGTTTTGTTCAGCTTATAGAAGCCCGGGTTTTGGTTACCATGTTAGGCGAACACCCCCCCCCCCCGATATCATGGTACTTCCTCTGTTCCTTTTTATAAGGGAAATTTTGATTTCAGAAATTCTACAAGATTGAACCTTGATGATTAGTTTCTCATAACATAAATTCTTAATAGATACAAAACCAATTTTGCGTGAAGTACTTTGAAGCATGAATCTATTGGTAAGTTTTACACGATAAATGCACTTGTGAGATAACTAATCATTCGCCAAGAACTTCAAAATTTGACTTTCTGAAATCAAAATACGCCTTATAAAAATGAACGGAGAGTAGATAATAAGATATTTTTGTTAGGGTCATGCTCATATACTACAAGTAGGCTCTCTGTTCTCTACTATTAGCGATCCACATAAAACAATTAATGGCCTATGCAGTTAATTCTTGTTAGGGTTGAGCACATCACTATGACTAAGGAGGGCTCATTTCTTCTGTCTTCTATTGTTGATTGGAATATTGGAACATTTTGTTGGATTTTTAACATCTGGATACTAAATAATGTCAGCAGAATGTAACAGTTGCTTGATTATTGGACCTACCCATCCAACGAATAACTGTTTGTGCTCGTCACTTGGTTGTTGCAGTGACTTGTGACATACTGTGCCAGTAACCTGACCTGCCTCAATGCCTCCCTACCAGTTACAGCAGTTTGTGCATGTGTGTATTCGTGTATCTGGCAAGTGGGTTGCCCATCATGATAAAAATGATGCCAGTTTTTACACAGTCACCCTATTACATTGGCTATAACTAGATCATACAGCTGACTTTTTATATTTTATCTGAAAATTGTTGCACATATTATAATGGAAAAATATAAAGCATACCCTCTGGTGCATATCTTCTAGTTCATCCATTGGTGTAGCCTTGTCAGACAATGCTTGTGTTGTTAACTTCAAATTCTCGTTCAAGTGAAGAAATGTTTCCTTCACACATAACATTAAAGCATCCAACCTTTTATCTGATTGTGGGAAGGCAGCCTATCAATAAGAGTAGAAACAACATGAACAGACAACTTTGTGATTCAGCAGATCTGTATGAGAAACCAGTAGATATATTACATCAAAGCATAAGATAAGACTCCATCTGAAAATTTCTTGGTTCTCAACACTCAAAAGCAAATATAACTAAATGAATAACCAAAATAAGTCTGATCATCATAGGTTCAGCTCAGTTTCAACAAGCGCGAACTTGACAAATGAGGTTAAGTAGCTGGCATGCTTTCTATGCTTTTGTGCTTTGACATTGAACTTATTCTGGACTCTCGGGAAAAGCTTATTAAACCAACATACCTTAAATTCAATAAAGCTGCTTATTTAAGAAGGCTAGGCCAGTATGCCTCAACCAAGTTATGAAACTATGACTGAATTAATGCTACTACATCAAGGACCCATTTCAGGGAGTGAATTTATTTGAAATGTTTTCAGAGTTCCTTCCTCTAAGCTAATGGATTTTATTTATTGTGACTAGCCAGTGATGCTGCATTGCAAGATCCCAAACAAATGCTACTGCAAATTATCTCAAAGCTAGCAAGCAAATGATGAAGTACATTGTGTAGAAATAGCTGTCATTAATTCTAGAAATTGCGTAAAGAATTAACATGTGATCAGCAATCCACAGATAATCATGCCACAAATAACACATACACAAATATATCAAATCACCCCATGCTCCACAAATATCCAAAAATCATCTGCACAGAAGATCCTCCAAGGTGCCAAGGTGAAATCACCGTCAGCACCAACTCCAACATTTCTAGAAACGACAAGCAACCCAGATGGAAAATGAAACCAATTGATCTAGATGAAGGTTCAGCTGAGAATGACTTGCAGCCAGTATCACCGATCAAGTAAATAGTGATAGCATATGATCTACCTCAAACGAATGCCGAGCAGCCTGTGCAACCTCAAGAGCAGGGTCAAACTGAGAAAACCACCAAGGACCCATCAAAGCCTTAAGATGCGGAGCAAGACCCTTCCTGAAACAGTCAATCAATGACATCCATTCAAGATTGATAGAAATTGTATGCTGGACAGAAATTGACCAGTAATTTCATGGAACCATGAGAAGTTAATAGCTGGTCCAAAAAAACAGGTAGCAAAAGGGGACCAACCAGTTGTGTTTGAGTTGAATGAAAGGAAATGAAATAATTAACATACTTGACAGTTTTGACGAGGCTAGACATGGTATCGTGAGTAGCACGACGAACTTCTCTGTTATAGTCAAGCAGCAGCCTCTTGTACTCGAATGCCTATATGTTTTGAAAAAGGTGACAAAGTCAGTGGAAAATTGTAGACCTGTGACAAACTCAGTGGCATATAATGGATTCTCTCTTTTGAAAAAGGTGATGCATTTTCAGAAATGGCATTAGAATAATCATGAAATAGATTTCGCTGTCAGTAAACTAGAGGAACATAACACTCTGAATAGCAATAATCCATCACCTAATACTGGAGCAAAGCATTTAACAAGAATTATGAGTTCCATCATTCTATACTTCACTAACACATAGTTAAGCTTAGTAGGAAGAAGCAAACCGTAGAGGTAGAACCAACAAGTGATTCCTCAAGAAGGGGCTGGACTACTGAGCTGGATTCATCCAGTCTCGTTTTACAAGGCAACAAGTCATAGACCTTTAGCTTTCATGAATTGCAGGAAAAACAATTATAAGAACCAGAGAACAAGGTATAGTTGTTTGATTGTAGCAACTAACTCCACTCGGATATTATATTTTTGAACAAACATCATATGAAGTATATATTACCATAGTTAAAAAAATGTTCACCAGCTAGCAGATGTGCTGATCTACAGATAATTTTTGCATGAATTTGAACTAACAAAATTTACGGTATGCATATGAGGGGAAAAAACCTACTGTGGCACATGGCACATTCTCACATAAATACTAAGGATGGTAAAAAGGGTTGTAAAGAAGGATCACTTATACTCTGCCGAGGACCATAAAAATAAAACATCACGATGAAAATGCAGCAGAGCCATCAAGGAAAATACCCATTGTGGAACAATTTGCACAACTTCCTGACCAGGTTTTTGTGCAAAGAGCATAGAGAGCGTAGATAATGCCTTGAGCTGCATTGATGAGTGAAAGAAAAATGCAGCAAGTTAGGCCTGATTTATTGTGGCAAAATAGATCGCTACAGGAAATACACATTGCTTTAAGATATTGACAATCTGAGGGTTCAGGAAGAAATAACACTTCTGAATGGATGTCTAAAATAATTTATTTCTTAGCGAAACTTTCCACAGCCATGAAAATACTAATTCTCTTTAGCAGCAGTCCACTAATATGCTTAATATAATCAGGCCAGCAAGCCTATTAGCATAATAACTTTGAGTAAGAGCAGTGTTAAGAAGAACTAAAATGCAGATAATAAGTTATAGATTATATGCCATCATATACATACAGTATTTATATGTTCTTTCTGGAAGGAAACCAAGCTCAAGTGCAGGAAAGGTCAGACCTTAACTTTACTTCAAAACAATAACATCTTGAAAAGCAAGGAAGTCATGCTACAGATTTCAAGTCTGTCTTCTTAATCGCTTGGACATGGACGGTTACAATCCTAAAAATATTTCATATCGACAGACGACAGTAATTGCAGAACCAGCTAATTATAACTAATGATGGAGGGAGACACTCATATTCCAAGCGCACAAGCATTAACAGAACATAATTGAATATGCAAGCGCAAAAGCATAACAGAACAGTATTGAATTAAGAAAAGAATTGAGTGAAGGATGTGTCTGACCTTTGTTGTTGGATCCTTCCTTCCTAATCTCCTTAGGTGCTGCAGCACCTCACTGTCCACATCCTTCCAAAATAAACAAAAAGAAAACAAGATTACATTATGGGGCAGCATGCGGATAGTATTGATGAGCATGACAACATGAAGGGGGCAGTTCAACCAGAGCTTGTGAAGTGGTGGCATGGTGAAGGTAAAGATGGGCGTGCAAAGCATAGTAGTTGAGGCTGCTCATAGGTAGGGTTTAGATAGGAGCATGGTTGTAGCAAATTGGAGTAAGCAGGTAGGGTGCTCGCTCATCCACAGTTAGGGTTTGGAAATTGGAAAGGAAAGATAAGGATGAGATTGCAGCACTTACGGGAGGGAGGAGAATCGAGGCATCGGGGTCGGTCGAGGACGAAGGCGCGGCGGGCTCAACACGGGAGGCGCCATGGTAACCCCCGAAACCAACGATGGGGACGGCACCCTGCGCATGCGGCAGCAGCGACGCCGCCAAGCCGCTGCTGGCAGCTCGGCCCTTGTGCTTCCCCATCGCCTAATCTCGGCCGCCGCCGCCGCCGGCCGCCCGCCCGCCGCCGAGGAGCCCGATCAAGCAAGAAGAAGAAGAAGAAGAAGAACCCTCGCTTCGCTTGCCTCTCTCTCTTGCTTTCTTCTTTTCTTTTGCTTTCTGGAATCTGGAGTCGGCGGCGGCTCTGACTCTGATGGGCCAGCCAATTGAGATTATGCAAACTTTTCTTCTCGCAAAACGTCCAATTTCACTCCCTCTACCGCAACTCCAGTACTAGAACCGGATTTGCTACCAAACAACTCTCATAACAGTATTGACAGTGGTCTTTGCTTACTCCCTCCGTCCAAAAAAAATGAATATATTAGATGTGACGTATTCTAGTACAATAAATCTAGACAGAGGTATATCCAGTTTCGTAGTACTAGGATGTGTCATATCCAGTACTAGGGACGAAAGGAGTACATGGAATATACGGACCAGTTTGGTTTGGTGCCCTACCAAAATCTTGGTAGTACCAAAGTTTAGGTAACTTTTGGCACTACCAAATTTAGGTGGACAAAATTTGTACTACCTAAGAACTGGTGTTGGTAAAATTTGGCACCAATCTAAACATATAGAAGCACTATACAAAATTACCAATGAATTAGTAGGGCGTAATTTGGCACCAAACCAAACAAGCCCTACATGACACGTTGACATAGTCTTCGTCCTACATAACATGTAAAAAAATACAACGAGAACCACATCTTAGCATCTCCCTCTTCTCCTCCCTCTACGGTGGTGTTTGGATCCGGGGAGTAAATTTTAGTCCATATCGCATCGAATGTTTGGACACTAATTAGAAGTATTAAACGTAGACTAATAATAAAACTAATTCCATAAATGAGAGCTAATTCGCGGAACAATTTTTTAACCTTCTGGAACCTTTCTGGAACGAATCCACTTTTCTAGGAAGATGGAACATTTTGGGTTAATATACCCTGGTTTTTTTCGGAAAACCATATGGTTCGTTATGAATCCCCTTATGCATTATGTTCGATATCAAGGAAAGGCAATTCTTGCATCAAAAGGAACTCTTCTTTTGAAGAAGAAATGGAAATGTTACCTTGTCTATTTGTGGCAATATTCTCTCTTTTTGACTCAACCGCAAAGGATCCATCTAAACCAATTAGCAAAGTCTTGCTTCGATTTTCTGGGGTACTTTTCAAGTGTACCAATACATTCTTTGTTTGTAAGGAATCAAATGCCGGAGAATTCATTTCTAGTAGATGCTAAGTGAAAAAATTCGATACCAAAGTCCCCGTTACTCCTCTTATTGATCTTTAGCAAAAGCCCAATTTTGTACTGGATCGGGGCATTCTATTAGTAAACCAATTTGGACTTATTTTTTATCAGATTGGGATATTCTTGATCGGTTTGGTCGGATATGTAAAATCTTTTTTTATTATCACAGTGGATCTTCAAAAAAAAAAGACTTTGTATCGACTAAAGTATATCCACTTACCAATAAGAAGACTTCCGCTACATACAGATTCGTAGTAATAGGATATGTCACATACATATAGTAATAGGTTGGTTTTTTATGAGAGGAAGGGAGTATGATCGATTGGAGACAGCTATAGCAGCGGCCGGCCGGCCGGCCGGCAGGGTCACGGAATTGTCGATCGATCGATCGACAGCTTAAATCACTTGGGAATTGACGATTGTAGCAAAGCGGGCGGCAGCGGCCGGACGGACGGATACAAATTAAGGCAAGCAAATTAAAGCAATCTATGTCTATGCATAGATATAGATCGATGTCAGTGACTCTAACGGGCGATGGGCATATATATATATATACAAGATCGATCCACCGTCCGAGATAGCTAGATTCACTAGAAGCAAGCCAAGCGATCGATATGATGAACGACAAGGAGGAGGAGACTACTCTGAGGATGGCGCGGCAGGAGCTGGAGGATCTCTACCTGGGTCTGGGTGTGCCCGACGAATCGGTGGACCTCACATTCAAGGACCTCCCGTCCGCGTCCGCCGCCAGCGAGAAGCAGAATGATCTGTTGGCCGTCAGGTCCTCCACCAACATCTTCGCCTACAAATTGCAGCAGGACGAGGAGGAGCATCGCCCAAGCGCCGAAGCGCCGGCCGGCCTTCGGCTGTCTCCCACCACTACCAGCAGCACTGTTGTCGCCGACCGCCGTGTTGGTGCCAACTACAACGACAAGCGGCGTCGTCCGGGCATACCTCACTCCAACATCTGCGCGCTCTGCAACAGCTACATCTACCTCTTCCGCCATCGCTGCTTGGTGTGCGGCCGCGTGTACTGTCGGCGGTGCGTCGGCGCTGGCATGGGCGACATGACAGAGGGCCGCAAATGCATCGATTGCTTGGGAAGAAGGTACAGCCACCGCTACATCCACCGGGCCGGCACCAACCTCACGCCCTCCGCCGCCTGTTGCACCTGCGCCTTCTGGGGCTACTACCCCGACGCGCAGGCTGTCAAGCTGCAGGAGCTCGTCTGGGCCGAGAAGGGCCCTGCACCACGCCGCCGACCGCGCCAATCCTCCTCCGCCTCCATCTCTACCTCCACCTCCACCTCCTACACTGGCACCTCATCTGCTTCCATAAACATGACCACCATGATCAGCTTAAACAATGGCTTCCACTCGACTAGACCTGTACTCGCGTCAGCTTCCACCACACCCACATCCTCCTCCTTCCTTGTCTCCTCTTCTAACCCACACGCCTTCCCCCTCTGATCGATCCTTTAACTTGATGATGCTGTAAACATTTGGATGCTATATATAGTATTAAAGTCACTACTTCTTTAATCTCCCACATATTCAATGCATAGGTATCAAATCAATTTTGTTGTTTTAAATTTGTATTCACAATTTGTTGTGATTATATCTTCTTGGTTCAAGAGTGCCGTTTGGTTTGGTTGTTTTCCTCCATAATATGCTAACAGGGTGATTCTTCCTCAGAGGTCCGTTGATGGAGGGGAAGAAAACAGGCATGTAGCTAGTGAAAAATGCTATGGGAAGACCTATGGTTGAATTGGATTTTGAAACATACTAGATGGTACCATGAGCTTCGCTACAGATAATGTGCATGAGTGTTTGTTCAATGTTGTAGAGATCATATATATATATATATATATATATATATATATATATATATATATATATATATATATATATATTGACGGAGCTTGGGGCTCCTCACCGGGAGACCGCGCAGGCCCCCCTTTGCCGGTTCGGTCGGGGGCCCTGGGTGAGATTCTAAGCTCCTGGTCTGTGGAAAGTTCGCGAGAGTGGAAACACACAAGACACGGGCGATGTATACAGGTTCGGGCCGCTGAGAAGCGTAATACCCTACTCCTGTGTTTTGGTGGATCTGTGTATGAAGAAACTACAAAGTGCGAGCCAGCCTCCGATTGTTCTGGGATCCTTTTTCCCTCCCCTCCCTCCTCTAAGTGGGCAAGGTCCTCCTTTTATATCTCAAGGGGATACCACATGCACCATCTCTCTCTCTTTCTTTTGTGTGGGGACTCATCCTCTCTTCCCTCCAACTTGACTTCTCTTCATTAATGGACGGAGATTTATATGGCTGCCGTCCGAATGACCTTCTGATGGGACGGCCCATACCTACCTCCACTTCCGCCGGAAGCAGGCGCGACGTGGGAACATGGCTGTCTGCTGACGACATGACCATTGTCAGACCGGTCACAAATCGGTCATTCTTGTCCACCACGTGTCAGTTTAACAATCTGCATGTTCGCCCTTCTTCATACAATATCTTGCCTGTAATGGTTAGGATGAAGCCTGGCATATATCTGACCGGAACCAACGTGCCATCTCCAGGAGCTAACACGCCGGTTCCGGCTAGGGACGAGTGCTTGGAGGCTCTCATCCTGACGGGATGGGGCGAGGCGTGCGTCAGACCGCCTGTCGCCACCTAACCCACGATCTGATCGGTCTGTGACTGGTCACAGACCGGATAAACGAGTGCGCTGCACTGCGTTACATGCGGCGTGACGCGCTCGTCCAAACCGCAATAAATGTGGTTAGGTGAGCCCCGCTATGCTCACCTACCCCATATACGCGGCGCAAAACCCACAAGGGGTTGGGGCGCCTCGGCCCTCGGGGCCGAGACGGGAGCGGTCCGACCCCTCGGGGAGACAAAGAGAAGGGCGGCCGTATCACCCTCGGGCCCGACCCCCCCCCCCCCGAGGGGGTTAGGCCACGTGGGTGATCGTGTCTGCCTCAAGTCTCTAAGTCATGATACTCCCGGTCCCATGTTACCGACATATTATATATATATATATATATATATTCTTTAGAACATTGTGGAATATGTGAGGATGTTGATTTGATATGCTTGCACACTGAATGATGTAGGATGCTTGTATCAATTTTAAGATATAAAAATTTGCAGTGGAGGATAGTGTGGCGTGTTTGCATGTTAATCTTTATGATGTACTGGGTTGTAACTATATAGAAGATATATAGAAGGAATACTATATGTGAAGGCGTGGGGGTGCCATTCTTGAAATAAAGGCAACGGGTAAAAAACAGAAGCATGTGCGACATACAATGTGTCCAAAATGTTGCATTCAACATGTCATTGAATATTTGTACATGCAAGCTTAATAAATAAATATATAATGGGCATAAACATCGGCATGAGCTATCAAAAGAGTGCTCCTTAAAATCGATGTGTTGATAAATTGCATTGTGATACGGTGAACCCTACAAATCGATGTGATGCTGGTGGAATGACTCGAGGCGATTTAATTTTATTTTTAAGTTAGAATTTGAGTCATAGGAAAGCTACACTTAATAGTGGGTCTCATATCAATGACCAGTTTTATCACGGTCGATCGAATTACCCCCCTGAACCACAAAACCGGACATTGTTCACCCTCAACTATGCAAACCGGACGAATTACCCCCCTTGACCCAATCCGCTGTGGTTTTGGTCTACGTGGCGTACACATGGCAGTCCAGTCAGCATTCTATTTTATAAAAAAAAGTGGGACCCACTTGTCGTACCCTCTCACTCTTCCTCTCTCTTCTCTCTCACTCTTCCTCTCTCTCACGGGCGGAAGCGGGTGAAGCGGACACGGCGGTGGTGGGGGATGAGGAGGCGGCCGCCAACGACCGCGAGGCAGAGGAGGCAGAGGCGGATGCGAGGCCCCGACGGCCTCGGCTTGCGCGGCCTCGCCGGCAGGGGATGAGGTTCGTGCCCGCGGATGAGCTCGAACCGCGGGTCGGCGAGGTGGTGCGCGAAGTTCTCCTTGCGCCCCGTGAAGAGGTTGTCGACGATGATGACGCTGTCCCCGCGGGAGCTCGTCGACGAGGTGGCTGCTGATGAAGCCCGCTCCCCCGTGACGACGACGTGGAGGGGCGGCTTGCGGACGCCGACGGGGAGGCGGCGCGCGGCGGCGGCGGCTGCGGAGACGACGACGGATGACGCGCCGCCGTCGCCGCCGCCATGGCGTCCTGTATGAGCATGGTGTCGCCGGACATCCTGCCGACGACCTCGCCGGTGTTGGTGTACTTGACGAAGAAGGCGATCTCCTGCCTCAGGATGGTCTTGAGGCACAGGTTCCGTATCCTCGCCGCCTGCCGCTCTCCGGGGATCATCCAGCATGTCACCTCTGGCCACAAGATCATCCAACAAGTTCAGCTTTGCAATCTTTGCGGCAAGACAGTACAGTAGAGTACAGTGGTGTGTTCCAGCACTTACGGACGAAGGAGGCGACGGAGGAGGCGATGGCGAGGTAGATGAACTCGAGGGAGACCATGGACACCCGGTTGACGGCGTCGATGAGGTTGCCGAAGAGCACCGTCATGAACGGCAGCGCGACGCCGTTCGCCACCGCGCCCAGCGTCCCCAGCGCCATCAGCGCCACGTCAGTCTTGTCCGCGAACGCGAACAGCTTGTGGAAGTGGAACGGCACCCACGCCGACGCCGACGCCGCTGACGCCGCGCGCTCTCCCCTTGCCGCGGCGCCGCCACCGCCCTTGCCATTCCCCAGGCTCGAGTCCGCCGCGGCGACGGAGGCCGACGACGGCGGCGCGGCCGCTGAGGCGTTCGCCTCCGCGTCTCTCCAAGACTCCGGCATGGCCTCCTACTCTCGCGTCTCTCACTGCTCTTCTTCAAGAATCGATTAATCCCACTGAGCTCCTGCATACCACCGAGCTCGTTGGCAGCCGCCTCCTCATCCCCCGCCGCCGATGCGCCCGCTTCACCCGCTGCCGCCGCGTCAGCTTCACCCGCCACCGCCGCTCCGGGTCCCCCGCCTGCCGCCCGTGAGAGAAGAGTGAGAGAGAGGAAGGGTATGACAAGTGGGTCCCACCTTTTTATATATATAAAATAGAATGCTGGCTGAACAGCCACGCGTACGCCACGTAGACCAAAACCACCGTGGATTGGGTTGAGGGGGGTAATTCGTCCGGTTTGCATAGTTGGGGGTGCAGAATGTCCGGTTCTATGGTTCAAGGAGGTAATTCGGTCGACCGCGATAGTTCCGGGGGAGGGTAATTCGTACTGTTTCCATAAATATATAATGGGCATAAACATCGGCATGAGTTATCAAAAGAGTGCTCCTTAAAATCGATGTGTTGATAAATTGCATTGTGATATGGCAAACCCTACAAATCGATGTGATGCAGGTGGAATGACTCAAGGCGATTTAATTTTATTTTTAGTTAGAATTTGAGTCATAGGAAAGCTACACTTAATAGTGGGTCTCATATCAATGACCAGTTTTATGTCAAGTGCTTTAGTCTCACATTGACCTTGTAGAGATAGACACAGGGCACCACACTCACAAAGGAAAAATGGGTAATATGAAGTTCAACATGCATCTAGAACCCCTAATTTATTGTGGTGATAATGACAACACAAATAGAGAGGTACTAATGGAATTTGTTGAGATGGTTGCAAGGTTCAAATGGAGTGTGATTCAAATAAAGGTTAAGCAACATCTTAAATGTGGTAACTCTTGTAAACTTTGTTTATTGAGTTTAGGATGTTGTACTATTAAGAGGGGGGTATCACATGCATATAATTGGTTAAACAGTAGTGCTCAAGTTCACTTTCTTTGAGTGTTCCTACAGTTTTCTGGTTTATACATGAGTATATCTTTATTAATTACCGGCGGATAAATGAGATGAGCTCGTGGAGTGGCCACGGGCAGAAGGGCTTAAGATCTGGGGAATGGAAGGACAAGTTGGCTATGAGACTTGAATGTTCAGCATTTCTTTTAGGTGTGGCAAAGGGGGTACGGTGAGTGAGCTAGCGAGTTGTTGATGGAATTAATTCGTGGTTCTTCATTAGACTATCCGACGCTATTTTAGACTATTCGACACATTAGACAATCCGAAATTTCACTGCATGTCACTCTCTGTCCTGAGAGGCATTTTTGCTCTCAAAGCATTGGATTGTTTGATGTAAGATCGAACTATATGATGCATCGGACTATTCAAAATTTAACCGAACTTCACTATCTGTCTTGGCTTGAAAGATCTCTGAGAGTGAAGTATTTGCGGCTAAACTCTAAACCCTAAGACTATCCGTTGAATCAAATAGTTCAAAATTATCAGAACTTCGCTCTCTGATTCTCGCTCTTTTTTCACCTTTTTCTTATTTTGGGGGGGAGCAAAATATCAGACTATCCGATCTAGAAATCGGACTATCTAACGTGGGCTAAAAGATTTCTCTTCATCGACCACATTTTGGGCGATCTATATAAACCCTCCTCCCCCACCAACGTTTTCCAGGGTTATCCCAAATCATTCAACTATCATCTTGCTTTGGGTTGAGATTTGTGCTAAGATGCTTTGAGTCTTTGATCTCTCTATTCCTCTCTCGAATCCCCTCTTGTTCTTGGTGACTTTAATCTTTGTGGTTGTGAATTTGGAGTTTGAGAACCTAATGTGTGTTTTTTTTCAATCTTGAGCACTAGAGTTTGCCAAGAGCTGTGTGATGTTTGTTACTTTTGGAGGTTGAGGACTCCTAGACAGCTAGGCGTCGCTCTCGAGGCATCGATCTATTGGTGGTTGGTAAAGGGAAGAAGATCGGATCTTGGCATCTCGCTCATGGAAAAAGATAACTCTAGTGGAGGAGTGTATTTGTGCAACCTCAAGAGGATATGGTAGAAAAAGCCCAGCTCTTTGTGAGTTCCTCAACAGAGACTAGAATTTCCTTAAGGATTTGAACTCCGAGAAATACATCGTCCCGTACATCTCAATGATATCCTCTCATTTTACCTTCTTGTTACTTTATTTTGTGTTGTAGTAATCTAGTTGTTGTTTGAGATTATATACTTGCTTGTTGGATCTAAACCTTTTGGGTCGTGGCTTGCTAGGTTTTCTCTTGAGCGGGTTAGGCAATCCGATCTCAGTTTGGACCATCAGATATACATCTGACCATCCAACCTTGTAATCGCTTTAGCTTCCACAACTTTATTTTTCAAAAAATTGCCCATCCACCCCATTGGGCCTACCAAGGACATTCCATAAGTCAGACTAGCAATATTTGTTGTCAATCTCGATCACACCGACCTTCGGCAGAGCCATGTTCTTGCCAACTACAAGTGGCATCAGGCATACCTCACTGGCTCACTTCAACCTTTGTGCAATCTGTAGTAGCTACATCTACTTCTCTCACCATTGTTGCTTGGTGTGCAGCCGCGTGTATTGTTGATAGTAGAGATAAAAACGGAGCGGATTCGAACGGATAGTGGTCATACCATATCCTAAACCATATTTTTAAGCAGATTTAGAGCGGGTGCGGATAGTGTACGGATGCCGATGCGGAGCGGATTGTTTCGGATGCCGGAAATGGTGCGTAGTCTGATCAGAAACGGATTAAATTTATCGGATGCTACATGTATATGCAATCAATACAACATCCAGCTAGCAATGCAAGGAACAACAATACAATAATCAATAAACTACTCATCTTAATAATTATGTGCTTAGGTGTTAAACAACATGAATACATGGTGTCTATAATGTAAAAAAAATAAAGCTACGCAAGTGTGACATGAGACGATGAAAGCCTCAAGCTAAGAAATCTAGGTTAATTGATGAATTAGGCCATTGGATGGACCAACTTATGTTATATCCAATCTGAACTCGCATGCTAACTTGAGACGATCGAACTCCTAACTGCAACTCATGATTTTATATATATATATATATATATATATATATATATATATATATATATATATATATATATATATATATATATATATATAAGCGAACTCCAACAGTGAATTTCATCTTAACTAAACTATATAACAATAATAAGATTAATATAGACTTCACCCGTTGCAAACGGGCATTTTTTCTAGTTTTAAAAAAATTATCAAAGAGACGCCATACCACGTATTATAGTGTTTATTTGCGCCGCAACTCATACATACTTATGTTGACATACCACAGCTTAATAAATGGATATAGTCCCTCCGTTTCAATTTGCTTGTCCCACTGAATAGGTTGTTTGGTTAAAAATTACAACTAACTAAATCCTAATCATTTTACCCAAAGCCAGCATTAAAATCTATCAACTTATTAAAGTAATAGAAAAATGAGTCTCCACGTTCGCTCTCACGGCTTAGAAATTCTCATATCAATCGAAAAAAAGAAAAACAGAGTACATATAGAAATACAATTTAGAAGTAGCTGAAATTCGGAATTAAAAAAAATGAATATTGGAAGAGGAGACTAGAGTCCATGCCGTAATAGAATTTCGGAATTAAAAAAAATAAGAAAATTAAAAGTAGGTTAGAGTCCATTTAGAAATACAATTTTGAAATAACTAAAATTCGGAATTAAAAAAATCCATATACAAATACAATTAAGAAATAATAGAAATTAAAAATTAAAAACAAGGAATATTAGAAGAAGAGTATAGAGTCTATATAGAAATACAATTAAGAAATAATAGAAATTCGGAATTAAAAATAAGGAATATTAGAAGAAGAGTATAGAGTCCATACAAGAATTTAGAATTAACTAAAATTAAGATTAAAAATAATAAAATTAAAAGTAGAGGGAAGAAGAATCTAGAGTATATAGGAATACAATTTATTTTTTCGAAATTAAAAAATAAATAATATTGAAAAATCAGTTCAGAGTCCACGTATAAATACACTTAGAAATTTTCAAAATTTAGAATTTAAAATAAATAATATTGGAAGAAGAGGCTAGAGTCTATATAGAAATACAATAGAAATACAATGTACAAATAACGAAAATTCAGAATTAAAAAAATAAGGGATATTGGAAGACATGTCTACAATCTATATAAGAATACAATTTAGAAATAACTAAAATTTAACATTAAAAATAATCAATAACTATCACGCGCAATATGAATATTACACATGGCTAGTTTGGTAAAGTTAGTACAAAATTTAAAATTATGTTATCATTTTAATATATTTTAATAATAAATTAAGAAAATATATATGCTATTATATGAGAAAAAAATATAACGATACTAGCCGCGCATTCTGCGCGGGCCTCCATGCTAGTGAGACAAAACATAAATCCCGAGCAAATTGCATTTACTAATCTCAATCTTGATCGATCGGATATAACCGAGACAATATAACATTGATATTAGTAAAAACAATAACTATTTGATTATGTCAGATTTCACTAATAAACCGATACATAACACTTGATAAAAGTGACACGGCAGCGCCGCGGAGTAACAAGCTTCTCCGGCCTCGCCGCCTTCCCCATCAAGCCGACAACGCACGTCGGCTCTCCTACCTAGCCGACAAGCTTGGCGGCGTGGAGCGAGGGGATGGCCGACGAGGTCTCTCTTCTCAGTCCTCCCTCTCCTTTCCCTTCTGGTGCAGAGCACGTGTAGGCCCTACCTAACGAGGAACATGTGAAGTTGTGACCCAAATTGACTATGTGATCTTGAAGAGTTGTGTGATTAGACGACGTGGATATAAATATTTGGTTTTCGGTGTTGAGGTAAACGCCTCCTCTGTTGAAAAAGAGTACACAGACTCTCGTCTGGATTCTGGATCTGGATCTGGATCTGATCCAACTCCCACCCAACTCTCCAAGTACGGCAGCAGCACTGGCTACTGCGGAGGAGGCGTTGCGACTTGCGAGTGGCGGAGGACTAGGAAGTCGCCTCCGCCTCCGCTGCAGACACACTGGCGATGGCTTCCTCCTTCGCCGCCGTCTTCTTCAGCAGCGCCTTCGCTGCCTGCTTCGCTGAGGTAAGCACGCTGCGACATCCCCAACCGCCTCAGCCCATCGGTCGATGGGGAAAGAAGAGCAACTTTGTGAATCATTCGCTGTGATGCAAGAAAAGGGCATCGATCGTTAGCTTTTAACTGGACAACTAGGAACTATCGAGTCCCTCACTTCCGATTTTAGCTTAGAGTGAGTTTGCTTGTTCTTACTGTAGACACTGATAATGTATCGATTCAACGCTCTCATCAGGTGTGCACCATTCCTCTCGACACAGCCAAAGTGCGGCTTCAGCTGCAAAAGAAAGCAGCCCTAGCTACAGGCGGAGGAGGAGGGACCACTGGAGGAATGCTGGGCACAATAATGTGCATCGCAAGGGAGGAAGGGGTGGCCGCGCTTTGGAACGGCATCATCCCTGGCCTTCACCGCCAGTGCGTCTATGGCGGACTCCGCATCGCCTTGTATGAGCCTGTCAGTTAGTGCTCCTTTCCTTCTGTTTCATACTACTATTTCATATACATTTTCTTCTTTCTTCTGTCAAAGCACTTCATGTCAACACCATTAATTATCCCCTCCTTACCTTGCAGGTGAAAGCCTTCTTTATCCGAGACGGAGATACTGTTGCTGGTGGTGTCAGTTTATTTGCTAAGATCCTTGCTGCTCTTATGACAGGTGGGTACTTTTCCCTATCCGTTTCTCTTTGCTGCACTTTCTCAATAATTTGTCACATATTAAATTGCTTTTGCTAATTAAATGCAGCCAACCAGTTTACATCCAAATTTCATGTGTTAAGGACTTAAGGTAGGTGCACTATGCACAAGTAAATATACTCTTATATTAATTACCGTTCTATATATTCATAGGTGTCATAGCAATTGTTGTGGCAAATCCAACTGATCTTGTCAAAGTGAGATTGCAAGCTGATGGAAAGGCCACCACTGTCAAGAGGCACTATTCTGGAGCCCTCAATGCGTATGCTACCATAATCAGACAGGTTGCTGCTACAATTCATGGTGATCATGAGCAGTAAATTAAAAAAAAAATTCATATTCCCCACGGCCTGTAAATCTTCATATTTTCAGGAAGGTATTGGAGCTTTGTGGACTGGCCTCGGTCCAAACATAGCACGCAATGCTATAATTAATGCTACCGAGTTGGCCAGCTACGACCAACTCAAACAGGTGCCTTTTGATTCTTTCACCTTGTATTCTTGTGGCCACTTTCTATGTGTGTTACTGTTCATCACTTTGTTCTGTTTGTGCAGATGTTTCTAAAACTTCCTGGGTTTACTGATAACGTTTTTACCCATCTTTTAGCTGGACTTGGTGCTGGATTTTTTGCTGTTTGCATTGGCTCTCCAGTGGATGTGGTATGCTCTGCACATGCTGTTTAGGCTCATCGTTCCCAAGTCATGTTATGTTCTACAGAACACTCTGTTACAAAATGTAACTATACATGACTTCCGTGTAGGTGAAATCAAGAATGATGGGTGACGCAACGTACAAGAGTACACTAGACTGTTTTGCAAAGACATTAAAGAATGATGTACGGCAAACCCTTCTCCAAAACTTTCATAGCTCTTCTGTTGTGTACAACCAAATCTTTTAGATTTTTCGATGCAAATGTATTTTGGTACTATACAACTAATCTTCAAAGTTCAAACACTTGTAGCGAGCACAGAAGTAATTTTCCTTGGGGATTAACAGTTCAACATTTCAGTTAAACATTCCCTTAAAACATTTATGTTCCTCTGCCCTAAATACTTGTCCCTTAAATCGTCCACTCAACTGAAAGGATAGAATATAGCTGACATTCCATTCTAAATAGGATTTCACCTCAAGTAGGTTGAAGAGCCTTATTTTGCCATGACTTCTGATTGGATTGGTCAACTTGAATTTAGGAGAGGTTATGACAGAAACTGGATGCTGCTAAGGAGAATGGATTTTTCTCCGTGACTTCGGATCAAAATCTGAGGCTAAGAACCTTGCGCGTGATGATTCCTAAGCTAATATGCACCAATTCTCTAATTAGATGCATAAGCAGCACATTTCACATTTTCACTTGCTCCTAATGAAGTGTCCAAAGTGTACCCTGCAACCATGGATATTTTATTTGAACTCAGTTCACTAGCTTTACTTTGCCTTGTTGCTCTATATAGTTTTTTCGAATTACATTGTTTTTTTTGGTTCTATCATTCGACTATAGTCTAGTTATATGGAGATTGAATTGTTGATTTGGCCTCTAGTTTTTTATATATTCAGGTATTATGATTGTTATCCTTTCTTAAATCTTTTAGAATTTGCAATCTGTTTGCTTGTTTGTTTGGGGGTATATAGTATGTAAGCTTGACTGGCTGCATTTTACAGGCCTGGTCCCTCTCTAACCCTGTGTGCGTTTTTCCATTTGGATTTTGCTCATGTTTGTAATTGTTTTGTAAGCAGACCTATATTACTAGGGTTTGCCCATTTTACTAAGAGCGTTAGGGGAAAAAAATAGAGATATTGAGAGCCTATTTGCCATTGAAAAAAAAACTAGCATGTAAAACGAAAGGTGTTTTGAAAATCTTACATGCCCTTAGGCCTTATCTGATTCAAAGGTTTGTTTCCACAAATGTCTACTATCTGATCATACTATCGAACAACAGGAGCAGTGTATTAGATCTTATACTCATTAACTTAACCTTAGCACATACATGATCACCTAAGCTTATGCGGAATGGTGTAATTAACTGAGCGGTTGAGCTTGAGGCCATCTTAGTCGCGGTAGGAGTCGTCGGTTAAGTCGAGGTCGCGGTAGCGGGTCGCCAGAGGTGAAGTAGAGGCTTGCGGTGCGGATGGCGTCGCCCTTCCGGCCTACGTTGGAGAACGCCCTTCAGTCTCCTTCCAGTGCTCCTTAGGATCGGTGTTAGGGTTTATCGGGAGTGGCTTAGTGTATTTAGATCGTCACCTAGATACAACCGGCCTCTCCCTTTTAATATTGTGCTAGAAATCAGGGGCGAATCCGTTATGGAGAATGATGTGGGAACATCGCAAAAAAATAAAAACATGGCATGTCACCAAGTGATCACTTTCTACCACTCAATCAGCGTAGTACATCTGAATATTACACATACAGACATACTAGGCTACCCACAACATAGGGATTCTGTTAAACGTAGCTGTCTCAGTCCTTGGTTTGTTTCTGGTTGCTGTAGATGCTCATGCATGTGGACTAGGTTGTATTCATATCTAATTTAGAAGGCGTTTGCACCACGCAATATTTCTATACTGATGATCCTTTTCTGCAGGGACTTCCTGCTTTTTATAAAGGGTTCATTGCAAACTTTTGCCGCATTGGGTCATGGAATGTGATAATGTTTTTAACACTGGAGCAGGTAACATTCTTTTTTAATGCTATTATGCTACTTTAGGGGAAAAATGGAAAGAAAAAGGAAGTCCTAGTCTCATCGCTATAGCCTGACATGCTTACACCTAAATAAGTGCTCTATTTGTTTTCACTCTGTCATAGCAAAGCTAATGATTTTATTTTTATTTTTGTGAAATGACAAAAAGGTAAGAAGATCAATTCTGTAAGTCTGCTGCACTGCACTGCAAGCCAAGGATCTATCATGCAAGTGAACAGCAGGAGCAGGACTGAATCGATGCTTGATTTAGCTGTAGCTCCTGAGTCCACTTTATAGTGCTGTTTGCTGAAGGCCACATATGTCTAGGATTAGATTTGTTTTGTACAGGACAATGCGTTCTAATTAAACCCATCAATTCAGCAGAGGACAACATCAACAGAGTCATTTGTGCAGAGATGATTGGCCATAACATGTCATTGTACTGTCTGAGCAATTTTTTAATTTTACCAAAAATGAAACTCACAAAATCTAATGCAAATATAGGTTACTCTTGGTAGTAATTTCATGTATCCGAGGTTTGTAAACAATATGAAAGGAAGTTGTGACTTAAACTTGCTTTTGCATCATCTATTGAGCGCGAGTTTCTCGAATTATCTTGTGGCGATTTTACCAAGATTGCTGCCACACATAATATAGGCAGATCATCATCTTCATATTTTTGCTAACACATTTGTGCGTATATGTGGCATCTGCTGAAGTCTGCCCAAATAGTAGCTCCTGACAAGCCATTCTTGTATTGGGTTTCATTCCAAGGTTGCAAGCTACACGTATTTCAGTGAAACTGTATTTCACCATTTCTATGATGGGGCTACATGCTTTTGGACTTACACACGGTGCTCTTCTTTCACCTCACATGATAAAACCATTCCTCATATCATAAGCACAGTTGCTCTTCTTTTACCTCACAAGTGTTATCATAATGTGATAAATGGATTAGATTTTTATAGACTTATCTTGATACGAAATTGATGGTCAAAGTTTCAAAATGTTTAAACCAAATCTGGTTCTAAATGTCAAATATTTATAATAAAAGGGAACATTACTTTGCTCTTCACACTGACCAACTGTGCCTCTTGCTTTCCCGTTGATTTTAATATCTTATTATGGATTTTTTTAATATCCTATGGATTTCTACAACACAAATAAATACTCCCTCCATTCCAAAATATAAGGCATAACCATCCTTAACCCAAAGACCAAGAAATAATTAATATCTCATCATTATCATGAATCACCCCAATTAATACAATACATGCAACTAATAGAATTGAAGATTTGTGAGTATAGGATTTAAAATAATAATGATTTAGGGGAGAGAATGTGCTAATTAATTGCATGCATGCATGCACTCACTTTAAAAAGTAGTATGCCCTACATTTTGGAATGGAGGGAGTATTATTAATGGTGAGGTTAGCAGCTATATCTATTTTGTATAGTATTAAGTATTAAAATAAAACTATAATGAACCAACTATCTACACCTCTGACAATTTAAAACCTAAATCGAAGATGTACCCTATCAACCTATCTTACTATTTCAAATATTAACTAATAATACCAATATTGAAATAAAAAAGGCTTATATCAACATCCACTAGACCTATACCAGCTCACAAACAAACAATTTTAACACTCGCTTACTTACATACATATATTTTGAAATTGAAGTTTCACAGAAGTACACTATTAACGAATGAGCCCACCCACGAGATGACGTGGCTATTTGGGCTGGTTTTATTCGTGGCCTAAATTGGCCTTACCAATTTTTGTGAATGTCAAATTTTGGCAACTTTTGGCATGGCTAATTTTGGCAAAGGAAAAAATTGTGTTTAGATTGAAGCCAAAATAGCCTAAATTAACTGTTGAAATGGCCTATTTCTTAGGCATGCCAAAATTTGGCTCCAAACCAAATAGACAATAAACACTATTGAAATTGACAAATATTGGTAAGGCCAATATAGGCCTCAAACCAAACCAATCCTTTATCTACATATATTTTGGATGCGGATGTGGCATCGTGATTATTCCGCCTAGGATGAAGCTCTAAGTCCACATACTAGGTGGAACAACCAAGTCCACATCCTAGGTGGAACAACCATGTCTTGTAAAACTCCAATACAGCGTCAAAAAAAAAACTCCAATACTAAAACATATATGTAACTAAGATCACAAAATATGTAGTTACGTAAAATTTACTTCAAACGATAATACCATGTCTTCAAATACCACACCTCGAGTGACAGCTCTCGACAAAAAAGCACTAGCAGCATCCGGAAAGCACTTTTAAAGTGCTTCATGCTAATTGATAATGTTTCACGGCTCTTCGAAACATTTGTTTACAATTACCAAACACCCAGCTTTAAATTTACGTATGTATTACAAACTGCTCCCAGATTGATTTAAGGATAAAAGAGAAGAGTAGAAGATGTTCAGAGAAATTTCACAGTACCCTCACAAGCCTCATTATAAGTGCAAAGGTAACTGTTTTATTTATCGAACAAACAGCTATGGAGTGGTATGATACTTCTCAGAAAAAAAAAACTAATGGCCAGAAATCTCAGAAACAATTATGATGTTGTGAACACTGAAGTTAGGCTCATGGTTCAGGTTGCAACTTCTCACATTCTTCTCTTATCGACTGAAAAAGGATAGATGAAAGGTACCTCTCACCAAAGCTTGGAAACACAACCTGTAGAAATGAGCCAAAAGGATGTAATTACATGAGATGATTTATCTATGTGTATTTGACATCCAAATATCCAATACCTCATGTAATAATATTTGGAATTGAGTTATGATTTGACAAAAGAATAGCAGATGTTTGGAAACTGGAAATGGTATTAGCACTTATGACAATAGAGTACTCACCACTACCAACTTTCCAGCATTTTCTGGTCTTTTTGCAACTTTAATGGCAGCTGCTGCTGCTGCCCCAGATGAAATTCCAACCTGAAGAACATCCACATAGTTTCAAATGATAAAATATTCTCAGTTTTATTCCTGAAGCAGTTATGAACTTGCCTTTGCAGTTATAACAAAATTATAAAGTGTGAAACGAAAACGGCAGGAAAGGCTCCTACTGTAATTTTCATTGTAAGGAGATTATGTTCAGAGTTTGATATTTACAAGAAAGGGTGAATAAAGCTCTTGTCAGCTCCTAACTTTCGGTAGATCCATCACACATCTTGCTGGCATTTCTGATTTTATATCTGTGTTCACTTTCGGTACAATAGTTGAGAAACTAAGAGGAGAAATCTATGGTCTGACATACAAAAGTGTAGGTTTCTACTAGTTAACCGCTAATCCCTTATTTTTAGATGGAAAATAGAGTAGACTGACTCAAGATAGTGCCTTGAAATTGATTGTTCTTGATTCACGAATAAGACTGGGGCATGCATGAAAAGCAAGGCAAGAAAGGGCATTATCTAGCATGCTGTGACTCGTGAGTAGCGATTTGCCTGTTCTCATTAGAATATAAAAATTTGCAACTCAAGAGCAAACCAAAGAAAGAATGACGCATTAAAAGAGTAGATCACAACATGAAATTAGAATACCAGTAATCCTTCCTGAAGAGCCAATTGCTTTGCTGTCTCAACAGCCTCATCACTAGATATCTGCAACAATCAGACAGGTGGTAAATTTCTCAGATATTAGCATGAGTAAACCCAGCAACAATCCTCGGAAATGGTGAATTTCTCATACACTAGTTATTCCATACTTGGTGAGCTATTTGGGCCAGTATGGATGCTCTGAAGAAAGGAGTAATCAAGATGGGCATGGGCCAGGCCCATGCAGCAGTTTAGGCATGATAAATTAGGAAGAAGTCAAATAAAGTTACGAGATTATCTAGTTAGGTAAGTGGATGAGGTTTGTTAGCAAACTAGATAGAGAGATTAGATTGGTTTCCATAATACTAGAGATTAGTTTGTTGGATGTCAAGTCAGTCCTCCCTACATGTAAAGGAAACCCTCTTATCAATCAAGCAATGAATCAGAATTAGCCAAGTTCTTCCCAACCTAAAGTAACCTCTCATCCCAACCAAGCCGATGCCACCCGGCTACCTTCATGCTGGTGTTTATCCCCAATGAATTCTAGGCCATAACACCAGTCAGTGATGAATCCATTATGTTAAATTAGCGTACAGGATGTTGTTTTATTCTGTACAGGTTGAGAGGAATAAGAGTCTTGCTTCTTCATCGGTACTGAACGATGAGTTTGTCTGGAGTCTAAGGAAGCTTAATGTACTGCCAAAGGTGATATTTTTTTGTAGAAGGTGGTGAAGGATTTCATTCCAGTTCACGATGGTTTGTTCAAGAAGCACATTGAAATGGCTGGAATCTGATTGCTCTGTAAGAGAGAATGAGACAGTACTGCACATTCCACTTTGGCTCGCTTGATTTACTTTGGCTTTGCAGATTATCAGATCTGCACCAAATAACTTTGGGTCGCTTGATTTACTTGTTACCTCAAAGTGCAATAATGATCATGCATAATCAGTGGTATGTACACCTTATAGACTAGCCGAGAATTATAGGAGGCATGGGGGCTGATGGGACAACCAATTCAAAAATGGCCTTATCTCTTTGCCTCCTCTCGTCTCCTCTCCTCTCTACTCTCTCCGCTGCTCTGCCGCCGCCCAAGCAGGCCGCCGGCACACCGAGCGGCTGCGAGGAAGGCGGCGGCTGGGCTCCTCGGTGGGGGCCATGCTCCCTGTTGCGTCGGAAGGGATGTGGGGGAGGGTCGGGGCTGGGGTTCCACCCCCAGATCTGGCGGCGCAGTGTCAGCGGGAAGGTGGGTGGCAGAGGCTTCGCAGTGGCGCCCGGAGGCGGCTGGGCCCGCGCCTGGCCGCGAGGTTTGGTGGCGGCAGGTGGTCGGGAGCGCGAAGGTTAGCGGCAAGGTGTCAGCGTCGGTGTCTCTTCGTGCGGCGACGGAAGCGGCGGAGGACGGCGGCGGCCTGTTGACGGCCAGTCTGAATATAGAGTAGAAAAGATTGGAACAAGTGCAGACCTCAATCACTTCATCGAGAACTTCACTATCCAAGTTCCTTGGAACAAATCCTGCCCCAATGCCTTGAATCTTATGTGGGCCTAAACAAATGGGGTGAATTATAAGGGAAAGAGCAGACATTTGACAAACCTTAAGGAAGTAAGAACACAAACATACCAGGTTTTCCACCAGAGAGTATGTTACTCTCAGAAGGCTCAATACCAATAACCTACAAAAGATAACTGTGTAAGGACTATAAAGTGCATATAACATCAGATTTTGCATGGATGGAACTTAAAGAAACCTTAATTCCAGGATTTTTCTCTTTCAGGAAACGGCCAGCACCAGATATTGTTCCACCTGTTCCAATTCCACCAATGAATACATCCACCTTCCCTTTAGAATCCTCCCAGATTTCTGGCCCAGTAGTCTCATAATGTACCTGCTTGAAAATGAAGAAAGACAAACATTGGGCACAGTACAAATCTAGACAGACATGTGGCTAGTTCTATATGTTACCTTTGGGTTGGCAGGGTTGTCAAACTGCTGCAGCATATAGGCATCAGGTGTCTTATTTAAAATCTCTGTAGCCTTATCTACAGCCCCCTTCATCCCTTTTGCGGCATCAGTAAGGACAAGTTCAGCGCCAAAAGCTTTGAGTAGAACTCTTCTCTCCATGCTCATTGATGCAGGCATGGTCAATATTAATTTATATCCTCTGGAAGCAGCAATGAAGGCAAGACCAATGCCTGTATTTCCACTTGTTGGTTCCACCAAAACACTCTGAGCATAGAGCATAAAGTAATATGTCATGCATGGTAAGTCACTGGGTGAGAGCTGAAATAATGTACAGAGAGAAAAGAAACAATGAAGTAGGATTGGATAAAGTTTTTACACACTTACACACGCACGCACATGCGCGGTCACTAGGCTTAGAGCTGAAGTAACGTAATGAGAAAAAAAAAAGAAGAAACAATGAAGTAGCATCTGAGAAAGTTTTCAATAATTCAAACCAACATGACATATCCATATAAATTTAAGAGTAAATTTCACAAAACTACAGGTATTTTGCATAATTTATCACGAAACTACAAATTTAAGAGCTTGTTTCACAAATCTACAGATTCAGTGTCTCCGTTTATCACAAAGCTACAGGTATTTTGTACAATCTATCACAAAACTACAGATTTAAGAACTTGTTTCACAAAACTATAGATTTAGTGTATTCGTTTATCACATAGCTACACATTTAGTGTCTTCATTTATCACAAAACTACATATTTAGTGTCCATTATCACAAAACTACATTTTTTAATAATGCTAAAACCTGTAGATTTGTGATAATGAAGATACTAAACTTGTAGTTTTGTGATAAATGAAGATATTAAATCTGTAGTTTTGTAAAACAAGTTCCTAAATCTGTAGTTTTGTGATATATTGTGCAAAGTACCTGCAGTTTTGTGATAAACGAAGACATTGAATCTATAGTTTTGTGAAACAAGTTCTTAAATCTGTAGTTTTGTGATAGATCGTGCAAAGTATATGTAGTTTTATGAAATTTACTCTAAATTTAATATCCGTGGAAAAATTTCATAACTATTTGGATGAATATGATAGTGCATAGAGCCATGGACATCGATGCATATACTACTGTAGTTGCTTTTCCAATAGAGTTGCCATAATTTTATTTTGAACAATGAATAGCAAGTACCCTTGTTTTAGTGATGGGTGGAGGAATTATATGGCACTGTTAATGCACTCTGTTCAAAATGTGAAACTGGACAAATGGATTATTCATAAACCATGGCTCCTAGTTCAGGCACAGTTTGATTCTTGGGACACTCAATATGTATTGGTGTCTGAAACCAAATGTTTGTTTCTAGGAAGCATCAAGAAATCTAGATGAATGAACAGACCATGTTTCCTCACTTGTCTTCTTAGTAGTTAGTACTACCTCCGTTTTTTAATAAATGACGCCGTTGACTTTTTCTCACATGTTTGACCATTCGTTTTATTCAAAAATTTTATGCAAATGTATATGATATAAATCACACTTAATGTACTATGAGTGATAAAACAACTCATAACAAAATAAATTATAATTACGTAAATTTTTTGAATAAGACGAATGGTCAAACATGTGAGAAAAAATCAACGGCGTCATCTATTAAAAAACGGAGGGAGTAGTAATAATCAGGAAGAAGGTCAAAATGTGAAAGACGGCAACAAGTGGTTATGCATATATATATATAAACAAAAGAACATTGATTCACCTTTCCAGGAGTTATCAAGCCTTTCTCTTCCGCATCAGAAATCATACTGTATCCTATCCTGAAAAGAAATTGGGGGTATAAGGTGAGTCCAGCAAGGCAAGGAAAGGAAAGGAAAGGAGAGAGGGCGGCGAATGTGTACCTGTCCTTGACACTGCAACAGGGCTCCATAATCTCGAGCTTAGCAGCGACATTGGCAACACATCCCTTGACGATGTTGTTGAGATATACCATTGGAGTCTTGCCGATGAGCTGCAATCAGACATTAAATCCTCAAACAGGCAACTACTTCACATTAGAATACAGCGCACTCGTCGGCCAGAAATGTCTCTAAACGATGTTGCTGCCGATTTCTCTACTTTTGGCTGTGTTCGGCAGCAGCGGATTGGGAGAAAAACTCCCTCTGCATATGCTTTCCGAACTACTAAACGTGTGTTCTTTTTGCAAAAAAAAAATCTATAAGAAAATTGCTTGAAAAAAAATCAAAAAATTAAAATAATTAATACTTGATTAATTATGGGCGTATCTACTCAGCCTTCTCTTTTCCCCTCCTCACAAACAGGCATCTTGCAGTTTAGACTTGCAGGAGTGGCATGAGTAAGATGCGGGTAATTTGTACAAGTAGGTAGGTAACGCGCAGGGTAAGGAAATTGCCTGGGTGACGTCGTCGGCGATGTTGAGGCCCTCGACCTCGGCGGCGACGGCGTGGCACATCCAGCTGGAGGAGGAGGAGGAGTTGATGTTCCGGAAGGGATGGGGCCGGGGCTGGATGGTCAGTGTAGGGTTGCGGGCGAGAGGTGGTAGGAGGAGGGTCTGTCGTGGCGATCGGGCGGAGAAGAAGCAGGAGGACCCGAAATGGACCTGCAAGGCGGCGGCGGCGACGGGCGACGACCACGACGCCATCTTGCGTTGCTCGGACTCGGAGGTGTTGGATAGGGGAGTAGTTCCGTATCTGCGGATGGACGACGAGCTTTTGTTGCCTAATCCCCTCCCTAATGTACGGTCTTTTGTGAGGCGTTTACAATGCTCCTCCACATGTTCGGCATATTCGGTGCCACGTCCTCATCCACATGTGTAGCCTAGTGAAGACCGAGTGGCCAAACTTGGTCACCCGTTCTTGGCTGAAAAGCGAAGCTCAGGCGCAGGCGCACAGCTGAAAAGCACCGCCCGACGCCGTCGCCGCTCGGGCCACGGCGCGGAGGCCGGACGAGGAAGGGGGAGACGCCGCTCCAAGTCGTCCGCTCGTCGCCGTCGCCGCTTGGGCCACGGCGCGGAGGCCGGATCCGAGCGTTGGCGCGCCGGCCTCTCCGCTGCGGTGGAAGGCCGGCTGTGCGCCGCCGGTGGGAGGAGAGGAGGGAAGAGGAGTAAGCGGCGGGGGTCGCCGCCGTACGCCGCCGAACCGCCGTGGAGTTGGAAAGTACGAAGCCAGCGGCGGAAATTAGCGGTGGAAGTTGGGGAGACGCGGTTTTCTCTGAAGGTGGGGCCCACGTGAAAAAAAAGTTTGGTGGTGGGTCCCATGTAAAGCTACGCCCACTGTGGAGATGGAGACTCGTTTTGCTTTCTCCTACGTGGATGGTTTGGCTCCGTGGTAGACAGCGACCCATTGCTACTGCCATATATTCCCTCCATTGAAAAACAAATGACAACGAATCCAGACGGCTAGACGGCTAGATTAGATTATTAGGATGTGTCATATTTACTTTTTTATACAACAGAGTGAGTAGCTTTCACTAATTCTATAGCGCAACAAACATTATATATCTTCTGGTGCATCGTCCAATAAAATATTGTTTAGTTTGCGAGACGAAAAGTTTTGGCGTGTCACATCGAATATACGGACATATAACATAGTCTAATAACAAAACAAATTATAGATTCTGCATGTAAACTGGAGACAAATTTATTAAGCTTAATTAATCAGTCATTAGCAAATATTTACGGTAGCACAACATTGTCAAATCATGACGCAATTAGGCTTAAAAGATTTGTCTCGTAATTTACACGCAATTTATGTAATTAGTTTTTTTTCTATATTTAATACTCCATATATGTGTTCAAACATTTGATATGACAGGGTGAAAAATTTTTGTTTGGAAACTAAACAGGGCCTTAGACTTGGTCAGCTCTAGCAGACCCTATTAAAAGACCCCTTAACTCCTACACAATAGAGGAAAAAAAATTGGAGTAGTACAGGCCAGTCACAGTGTAAGCACCGGCGCGAGGTCCTGGAGCGGCGAGGAGGAGGAGGAGGAGGAGGTGGGGGCGTAGATCTGGCGGGCGGCAGCGGGTTCTTGGCGGTGGGTTCTTTGCAGCGGCGACGGCAGCCGGTTCTTAGCGGCGGAGGCGTCCCCGGCTGTCGCGGCGGTGTCGGCCACCATCACCGGCGTCGGTTTCTTTTTGCGATTTTTTTTTCTTTTTCATCTTGTGGTGGACATACGCCTCGATTGTTGGTTTCTATTGATTTTCATTTCTTCAATTTCTTGTTGTTTAAACTATAAACGATTCTCCTCTTCCAATCCTCAAGATTTTCTTGCCTTTTCTCTGACTCGGTGGCAGGAGGAAGAATGGTTGTGGCGGGAGGGGAATTTTCGTGGGCACAATGGGGATTTCGCGATGGGATTCGGCGCGAGGGCACGCGAGGGCGAGGCTACGCCGCCCACAGTGCGCGCGACCCGCGTCCTTCTCCTCCGCCCGTGGACTCGCGAGAGCGAGGTTTCGCGCGGCGTTGCTTGGGGGCGAGGAACTCTACTAGGGTGCGATTCCTTCTGCCACGCACGCCAAAATCCTCGCTGGCACCGTGTAGCACCGGTCCACATAGGTGCATTGTGATAGGCCTCATAGTAGAAATTGAACGTGTGTTTAATTCACGCTAAAATTAGAAGTTTGGTTGAAATTGGAATGATGTGACGGAAAAGTTGAAAGTTTGTATGTATAGAAAAGTTTTGATGTAATGGAAAAGTTAAAAGTTTGAAGAGAAAGTTTGGAACTAAATAAGGGCTGAGACTAAAGGACCGAGAATAACCAGATCGTATCCATCCCCTATTAGCGCCTGCTTGCAATTAAGTGAATCTGTATTAAAATTCACCCTTTGCATCCCTGGTTATTCTCGGCTGAGTCTCTTGCCACACATCCCCATCCACCCAGATTTGTCAATCCCACAAAAGCACCATCACAATTAATTTTAATTAAGTGTAAATTACATCAGCGGTACACAAACTTGTTAAGTAGGTGTAATTTAATACATGAACTTATAAAACGCTCGTTTTGGTACATGAACTTGTTTGGTGCATGTGAACAAGGTCAAAATCACACTGCAAGGTTAATCTTACTGATTCTGTTGTTGATTTAAACTTTATATAAACATATGTCTAAGAAGGATAAACATATAATAAGGCGTAATGATTGCATAAAAACATAAAAATCTAAGTAATGATGGAAGGGATAGAAACAAAGAAAGATAAAGTGAAATCTAAGTTTACAAATATAACCTTTCTTCTATGTATACGCAAATCATCTACTAATTTATAATTTATAATGTTCAATATAGAAAAATTGGTCTTGTCGTGCCATTTTAGTCTTAGTTTACATGTATCACACAAGTTCATATATCAAAATGAGTATTTTACAAGTTCATACACTAAATTGTATGCATCTGACAAGTTTATATTGTTGTTTTGGTGGTTGGTGCGTTGCTTTCAATTGTATAAAGTTGTGCAAATTCACTTAGCTCCATTTTACCTGCCAATTCACAAGCCGTTGCCATTCTCCCTCTTGAGTTTATATCATTTCTTGCACCCTACATTGTCCACATGATAATTAGGAATTTTAAAAGCTCTAATGGATCTCTACACCACAGAATTTGCACAAAATCTTCGAAGCTTCTACAGCTGCCCAATTGCTCTAGCTGCTTGCTTTTAGCTTGCCTAATCCTCTAATCCTTAGGGAGCATATTTTTATGAGCGAAGTAAATGGGCGGTACTTACATCTATATTCCTAAACTCTCAAAATGTATTTTTGTATCTTCGAACTTGTATGGGTGTCATATATAGGTCCAAACGTGCTTTAACCCGCTTCATGCGCTGACGTGGCATGCTACGGTGGCGCCTACGTGTTACTGTAGACCCATATGCATATAAAATTGAAAACCATATTTTTTTTCCTCTTAGGTAGAGAGGAGACAAGATAAAAAAAATAATTCTAAGGTAGAGAGGAGAAAATACGTATTTTTAATTTTTTTTTCATATGACTGGTATGCAGATCCCACTAACATGTAGGCGCCACCGTGGTATACGTCAGCGAATGGAGCGAGTTGAAGCCCGTTTGGACTTATATGACACCGAAGACAACTTTGAGGACCTGAAAATATACTTTTAGAGTTTAGGAACCTATTTGACACATCCGTATAAGTTAATGGATCGCTCGTTTACTTCACTCCTTTTATGTTAAATCTAGGATTTATTTTTACCAGCATAAAATTTGACCGCATATTGATAATAAACCAAACATGCGCAATATAACTATACCATAGTGGTAAATTGGTAGTGCTATAAAATTTACTTAAATTTTGATATAACAAAAAAATAATTGTAAGATTGAGAACCAAATATGTATTTTTTATTCAAAATTCTTCTTACTCTTTTTTTCCTCCAGGGAAGCATAACTTTTGCCACGGAGTAAATCAAATCAACAAGAATATGTGCAAATTGATCTTTTTGTTTACTAGCAAAATGCCCATGCGTTGCACCGGGTAATGATATAGTGACTGAAATTTGATTTGAACTATTTATATGAAGAAAATGAATTGTAATTTAATGAAATATAAAATTTTCTGCAATATTAATTAATTTGGGTATTTGGGTATTTGGGTATTTTTTAAGTAGGTAGGTATATAATTAAATTAATTTATAAGTAAAGTAAGTGTAAGAAATAAAATGTTATGGTTGGATTTAACTTTTATTAAAATTTCTATATTAATTAAATTCATTGAAATTTTCTTGGAATTTACATAGCTTAATTGCTAATTTTGATAATACAAATATCATTTCAGCATTTATTGAAATAAAAATCTAAATAAAAATCATTTTTTCTCTATGGGCCTTTTTCAGCCCGCAAGAGAGCAAAGTCTACTTAATACCCCATACCCCCATACTCCTCCTCTCCCTTAGTGGACCGCTGGCCCACGTGCGGCCCAAACCCTCGATCGATCTCAGCCGTTCGTTTTGATGGACGGCTCAGATCAATTTAAAATTGATGAAAACCTAACCCTAACCCTAACCCTAACCTTCCCCCAGTCGAGCCGAACTGGCCGCCGCCTCCTCTCCCTCTCCCTCTCCCCACCGGCGCCTCTCCCCCTCCCCCCAGCCGGCCGACTCCCCCGCCACCGGCGCCGTCTCTCCCACTACTGGCGTCGTCCCTCCCTTCTCGCCGGCACGGCGCGGCGACGGCGGGGTGCGGTGGGGTGTGGCGGCGGCGCCGCCTTCCCCCACGGCGAGCGGCGGCGGCGCCCTCCTCCCCACGAGCGGCGGCGGCGCCGCCTCCCCCGCACCGAGCAGCGGCGGCGGTGCGCCCTCCCCCAGCGATCGGCGGCGCGCCCTCCCCCCAGCGATCGGCGGCGGCGGCGCCGCCCTCCCCACAGCGCGACGCCTCCCACTCTCTCCACTTCTCCCCCTTTCTCTCTGTGCGGCGGCGGCGGGAGGGCCGGCGACGCCCTCCCCTCCGCTAGATCGAGGGGAGGGGAGGTGCAGCGGTGGTGGTCCCGGCGGAGCGGGAGGGGCGGCGGCCCGGACGGCGTGGAGGCGGGCGTCGGTGGCCACCGTTTTTTTTTCAATTTTTTTCCATGGCTATTGCTAACCGAATCGGATTGTGTGTGGACGAAAATTAGATGTGATGACCGGAAAAATACGAATATTTATATTAGTTATAGATTTGTTTCGATCTTGGAGTCGTTTTCTTCAACGTGTGGTTCCTCCGCTGTGCTGCTTCCTTTTCCTCCCATATAATATCTCTTTGCACTAATTTTGGTTTTTCTGTATTATCTGGATATTGAATTTGGACGAACCGGGTATATTTATGACATGGACAATGAAAGCCACATTCATAAGAAAAAATGACATCACATGGGATGAAACCATATTCGTGATAGACCATACCCAATACATGCCACATCCACATGCCTTTTTTTACCCCCTTATCAACGGGTTATATCTTGTATTTAAATCCTCAAAATTTTTTCTATTCGTGTATAAAGTCCAACATTTGGCGGTATATACCTTCAAAATTAGAAACATGCTTCAAATACCCACCCCTGCACTTTCCCCTCTACCTCTCCGTCACTTTTCCCCACTTCCATCAGCCCCTCCTCATCGCCTCTCCCTGCCCAGTCCCCCCAGTGGAAGAAAATTTGGTAAGAGTTCTACGCTTATCAGAAAGACTTTGCTTCCCGCACGACACCTGTCCACACAAATCTTAGAGCAACAAATATCTCTCCTGTTCCCTTCTTCCTCCGGCCGGGGACTTGGTGACAAATCCAGCTCGCTCTTGGGACCGAGAGTCCAGCATCTTCAGCCGCAGCAAGGTCCGGGGGCAAGGTCTAGAGCAGAGTTTCCGGTTGCCACCGCACCCGTCATGCTTCTTCCATGGACAATATTCACCTGACATTGTTATTAGTCAAAAGTAATGGATGAACTTGCAATGCACTATAACTTGGGAGAAAATCAAATTGATAGATGTCGCCATATCGATACAATGCATCATAGTAAATGATTAGGCCTAATTGTGAAAAGAGAAAAATGATTAGGCCTGACCTTAAGATCTATTGACAGCGGCTGGGTTGGGAACTTGGGCACGAGGTCGATGCCGCTCGCCGCCTTGTCCCTTTCTTCGACACGTCGTCTAGTGCTGCTAGCTGTGACCTCGCCGTGGCAAGAGATGCCATCAGTCAAACGGCTCGATGCCTCGCCGGGTAGTAGGAAGATGGGAGATGGGAGATTGGAGAAGATAGAGGAGAGAACTGTTGGAAAGAAGGTGTCGCACGAGAAAGCAAAGTCTTTCTGAGCGTTCTTCCCCACCCCAGTGGTAGTGCGTTGTGAACTGGAAAGCAACCAGCAGGGGCCCTCGGCCCTCCCATCTGTCTATACTACTGGAGTAGTATCTGCTGGTTGCTGCCCATACTACCCACTCACCCACCCACCAGTCCACCACTGACCACACCCTCTCGTCCGCGTGACATCTGGATCGCCGGCGGAATCGAGTATGGAGGAGGAGCGGCGCGTGCTCGTGACCGGCGGCAATGGTTTCATCGGATCCTGGATCGTGCGGATCCTTCTCGCACGCGGGTACGCCGTGACCGCAACCTACCAGCCGGGCACGGACGCTGCGCACCTCCTCGCCCTCGACGACGAAAGGCTCCTCCTGCTCCCCGCCGACCTGCTTGATGCGGGCGCCATCTCCGCGGCGGCGGCAGCGGGCGGGGGCTGCCGGGCGGGCGTGCTGCACGTGGCCTCCCCGTGCACGCTGGCTGACCCGCGGGATCCGCAGGCCGAACTGGTGGAGCCGGCGGTGCGGGGCACGCTGCACGTGCTGGAGGCGGCGCGGGGCGCGGGAGCGCGGCGCGTGGTGGTGACGTCCTCCATCTCAGCCATGGTGCCCAACCCGGGGTTGGCGGCGGGAGAGCTCGTCGACGAGCGAAGCTGGACGGACATGGAATTCTGCAAGGCCCGGGGCAAGTGGTACCCGGTGTCCAAGACGCTGGCCGAGAGGGCGGCGTGGGAGTACGCGGCGCGGTGGCCCGGCTTCGAGTTGGCCACCATCCTGCCGTCGACATGCCTCGGCCCGCTCCTGCAGCCCACCCTGAACGCCAGCTCTGTCGTGCTGCAGCGCCTCTTGCAGGGCTCCACGGACGACCAGGCGGACTACTGGCTCGGCGCCGTCCACGTCCGCGACGTCGCCGCCGCCCACCTCCTGCTGCTCGAGGCTCCCACCGTCTCCGGGAGGTACCTCTGCACCAACGGCATCTACCAGTTCAGCGACTTCGCACGGCTAGCTGCCAGGATCTGCCCCGCGTACGCCCACGCCATCCACCGCTTCGAGGAGGGGACTACACAACCGTGGCTCGTGCCGCGCGACGCCCGTGACGCAGCACGCCGGCTCCTCGACCTCGGCCTCGTCCTCACTCCCCTCGAGGAGGCCATCAAGGACGCGGAGAAGAGTCTCACCGATAAATGCTTCCTTCCTTGATACTCATAATAATTACTGTACCTATAGGAGTAGTATATTGTTTCCTTCATTTTGTTTTAAGACTCAATTTATACTTAGTAATTGAACCGTGCTAACGCTACGGTAATATTTAGTAATGCAAATTAAACTATTAAAGTTTAACATTCTTAAAAAAAAGAATGACAGAGCCAATTACTATAATATTAATTACATAGCGATGTGAGTAAAATAACATCGTGACTTTTCTATCTTTTGATTTGAAACAATGCAAGCCTATTGTACAACTTCACAATCAGGCATAGACATAGAAGTCCATAGCATCTAATATTTGATCTATATCTGGTTTACGATAGAACTTCAATCTCAAAGCATTTCCCTTTTTCATTTGATCACCTGGCCTAAGAGAATTGAGAGTCCAAGAGACCTTGCATCTTCTTTCCCTCAGTAGAACATACAGAGCAAAGACATAAGTTGAGTACGCAGGTGACTTTGTCACTCACCCAGTCACCAAGGTCTTCCCGCCGATCAGAAAGTACTATAAACTTAATGGATCTGGGAAACAAATTTACATGTGCATTTCAGCCAATTAAATGATCCAAGTACTTAAGCGGACCAAAAATGTCCAACATGCTTCAGCTTGGTGTCATCTACCTCAAAAGCTAATGGCGGTGAAAGTTTACAAAATAAATTTCCAGTTCACATATAGTACCAGATGATCTGGAATGATTCACTTTGGCAGCACGGGCCGCGCCTCAATTGATCAATTGATATTAGCCGCTGCATGTTCGGAATTTCAGATTTTCAGACTTTCAAACCAAAGTTAAGACTTCCAGAATTAACTTTTATCAATGAATATTCCAAAGTTTAGACTTTCAGAATCTTAACCATGGTAACTTATAACTTAAACTGTCTTATCATGTGCTTCCATGTATGCCTATTTACATTCTGAAATTTTAACATAGCTCTATACATATTCTGAAATATACCATGTGCTGAATGCCTGAATCTGAAACAACAGCATTAGTTTTCTGCAAGTATTCATTAAAAAAATATGCAGCAATCTTGTATAATGTACCAAACTACCCAAGCAAGACAAGCAAGATGATGTTGATTTTAGGTGCTGAATTAAGGTAATGTAATAAGAAAAAGAATATATTTATAAAATTTAATGATTTTCCTCATCAATTTGACTATATCACAAATATACTCCATACATTAATTTTCAAAGCATAGGCATAAAGCTTCAAAAAGCAAGCCATAGATAAACACTTATAGTGCCCAAAGCACAAATTTATTCCAACACTGTCAAAATAGAGATCATTATATTTTCTCTAAATAGCAAATATGGGGTAAATAAATGAATAAATTTCAGAAGTGAAACAACCCTTGCCAAAGCCCGGCAAACAACTATGCATTCCAACATTGTGTACATTATTGAGCTCAGAACTAACATATGAATTTCAGTCGATATAACACATGAATCTGTCATGTACTGCAAACTGAAATGCTAATTTTGTAACTCCAATCCAATATGAAGAATCGATGTTTGTTGGTGACAAGAGCGAAGTGGTATTTAGGTGCAAATATAAACAACTTAACCGGGAGATAAGCAACAACCCAAGCGTAGAACCTATCAGGAATATCCTTAACCTTTAGCTACATCTACCTTCCAGCACATCTGAAAAAGTTGCTCCCAAGTTGTACGCTGGTGGATAGCAGAGGGCTTCGTGCAAGGGAGAGGTGGAGACAAAATGCAGGAATTGAGAAACACTGTATGAAGGCAGCGACCTGATGTTGGCAAGCCAGCGCACTTGATGACTGATAGCATACTTTATGGAGTAAAATAGACAATTTCCTTAAAAAGAAGAACTGATGAAGAACCACTACTTTTACTGCATTAGTTGTTAACCAATAGTATTAAATTTAAAAGTAGCAAATTATCATGAGTTGCTCATATAATGCTGAATGTTACCTGACCAACATCGGCACAGTAGAAGTAGGAAGGCCTCGCAGAATCAAAGCTGCATCTCCACGGGTTTCTAAGAATGCCCAAACTTCTAGTTCTAAGTCACTGTCATCAGTGTATGGGTTGTCTTTTGGAATGGAGTAGTTACCTCACAAGCTGGTTAGCAATTTCACTCTGTCCTGTAAAGGGAAAAAAGGGAACAAATTATCAAATACAATACATGCTGATGCTCCATATATTGCTAATTGTTTGTCTTATGTGAGAGGAGATTTATCACAAATAAATATGTGAAGTCATTTGCAAAAATTTCAGTTCGTACGTTTGAAGTTCATCAGAAACATATTTATCTACCTACCCCGGTATCTACTTACACAAATATAAGTAGTGAATCCAGATAACTGGGTTGTTGTTATATGGGAAAAAATTGCAGCAGTAGCAGTACCTATCTCATAACGGTGGAAAAAAGACACTCAAATCAATTTGATTACCTGTATCACCATCCTGTTTTGCAACTCGTAGCAAAATAGAGTACAGTAATAAAATCCTATTACCAGTTGCAATAGTACAATGGAACTTAGTTGATTCCCATAATTTGTAGTATACACATGATGACATAAAAGGATGGATGGGGTCTAGTTGTACAAGAAGGGCTCTGCAACACTATTTTATCTCCATTACCAAATTCTCTGTAACACTATTCTATGTGCATTACCAAAATCAGAACTCAAAAAAAGCAGGAATTCATTCAGATTGTAACCTGGTCAAATTCTTGTGAGCAAAAATTTACCTTGGGCACAGAGGAGATCGGCAAAGGTGGCCGTCGGTGACGATGCGGACGGGAGAGATCGACGCTAGCGGAGCAGATCGGTGAGCGGCCGTCGGTGGCGATGTGGACGGGAGAGATCGGCTCGGGCGGAGGCGCGGAGGAGATCGACGATGTTGGTGACGCCAGCCGATGGGAGAGGGATGGCCGTTGTTGGCGTGGCGGCGTCGCAATGGCGGATGGCGCTGGATAGGGCGATGGAACGATGTGAGAGAGAGGAGGTGGCGTCGCGATGGCGGATGGCGCTGGATAGAGCGATGGCGGCGGCGTGAGGGTGCGGCGTCGGCAGCGTGCGATAGAGAGGAGGATGCGTGTGAGGAGCGTGATTGGGGGGATGCGCGTGAGGAAAGGGGAGAGGAGGATGCGCGTGAGGAGCGCGTGCAGAGGGGAGGGTCCGCGATGATTTTGAGGCGTTGGATCATATGATTCTGGACCGTCGGATTTGATGAATGGGGTTTGTAGGAGTGTAGTTGATGAATTATAGGGTAGATAGATATATTAATAAAAGTTTAGGGAAATATAAATTTCCCAATACATCGCCTTAACTACAACTTAGAGACATACATAAAACCATCCTTTTGGAAGGTAAAGGTAGCAAACTTCAGGATACAATCGTGCAGTAGAAATAGACGAAATCGACAGGAGCTGCTGCGTTGCTGCGACGATTTCATCCACAGGGCTCTCCTAACGTGCACTGACAAACCGGCGATCCTTCTGTTGCCTCCACAGACACGGACACATCGCGTCATCCCTGCAGACCAGAGTCGCATTTGTGGCTGGCGCTCAACCCGAACGGCAAAATCAACATGGTTACAACTGCAATCAATAGTAACAGAAGAAACCCCCACAAACAACATCCCATTTTCACGCTAGCACTAGGATGGAGGCGATTCATTGTATGTAATATTATCAGGATCAAACATGAGGTGGTTGGGAAGGAGACCTTGGGGTGCTTCATGAATCCCCCAGGGAGATCAACACCTAGGCATTGAATTAAGCTCCTGCCTTGTTGGATCTGCCGTGCCCAATGGCCGCCGCTCCTGGGACCACCGAATGGGTGTGCAGGTGTTGCGGCTCCCCACCAACGAAGCCGACAAGCGAAGGGATCGCTGATGCCAGATTCATCAGAAGAGAGCACCGGCAACCACTCACCTCGTCCATTTGCCAAGCCTGGAAGTTGAAGCAGCCAGATTCACCGCCTCCAGAACCCACCACCACCTCGGGCTACCATGCATGGGGACGACACCGGCGACCTTGTGCTAAACGGGACAGAGCCCGAACTACGGGAAAGACCAGAAAACGGAAGGGACCCGACTCACACTAGGCTAGGAGGAGGCTAGACCCCTCTTCCGGCCGTCGCCGGTGGCGAGCCGCTGGGAACGAGGGGGAAGAGGGGCCGAGGGAGGGGAGTTCTTTTTTTTTCTCTCGGGAACGAAGGAGTAGAGCTAGACCGCACCCGTCTTCACGATATTATGATATTGTTTCCTCCTTGATGTCTTGTGCACCAATAAAATTACTTTCTTCATTATCCCCAAACTAATCAATCAAATTGAACCGATCACCTCACAAGTGGAACATGGTGTGGTGTTTGCCTTTGATATAACTGACTAATAATAATTCTTTGACTCGATTAAAGATCCCCGCCTTGCCTCGGGTGGCACCTCGAATCTCGCCACTGGCCCTCTCTGCGCACTATCCTCTTCACTACCGCTCGAGCTAGCTGCTGGGTGCAGTAGCAAGGACGGAGGCGACGTGGCTAGCAACTGGCGGCGTAAGTGAGATGGCATCGAATAGTGCGAAGCGAGTGGCACGAAGGCGGTCCCATGGAGTGGCTGCAGATGCGCCCGAACCAAATATGGCCGATTGCATTCGGTGGTCAGTGGCGGCACACAGGGGATCGAGAGGGTGGCACGCTTCACCTCGCAACGATAATGCTCCTCGCGACATTGAGGCCCCTCCGCAATGTTCTCCTCAGGGCATGTACAACGTGGTGCCTCGAGCCATGTGATTTCAAGATTCAGTTAGGTTCGGATGCCATGCTAGAGGTTTGGAGTGGCCTCGCAGGGTGGTAGAGGAGCCTGCAAATGTAACAGAGGAGGAGAAAACATTGACAATGCCAAAACATAAGCAAATTTTGATAGCACCAATTTTTTCTGCAAACTTATGTGTCTTATTGGCCCATCTAGGAATGATTAACCCGCGCACAAATCGCGGGCGCTGGGCTATGCCACGTAGGATAGGAATAATGTGCGGGGTGGCGATTTTGTGAAGTCCCTCATGAACAGTACCCCTGAGAGGATGTTTTACGTGGAGGCCCTTCTTAAAGCCATATATTTCATGGAAAGGAGAGGAAAATCGCAAGTTAGGACCGAACTGTAAAAACTGAAAACCGAGGGGGTTATTCGCAAAATGGTGCGCACTAACCTTGAGTCCTTGACACCCCAAGCCATATCCTGGTATCC